GATGGGTCAAGTTAAAGCAAACAAACCACTTTCGCCATCATTTTCGGGAAAAGATAGAACACTCAAATTATCATAAACAATATTTGTATTTTAAGTGTAAGGGAATTTGCTTATATTATAGGTCAATACAGGTAAATGATATTTGAAAACATTGGTATTTTTTTTAATCCCAAACTTATAAGTATCTCTCATTACTCACTTGTCTTCCTATATATTTAAACGTATTTTAAAAGATGCTTAACTACAAAGAGAGCTACAAAAAGGTGTGTTCTAAAAAAAAGTGTGTCCTGCCTGACACACTTACATTGACACACAATATAGATTGCTACAATCCTACACACATTTTTTTTTTAAAGAGTAAAAGATCATGAACATGTTTTAAGTCAATAACACTAATAGAAATACTATTGGCCACTTTCAAATTTATGATATGTGCCAAGAACTTTATATACTTTATATACTAGGTCACAAGAGTAATGGGTTGTAACAGCATGTCCCAAAAGACCACTTTCGGTTTCTAAATCAATAATGGAAATGGGTAGGACTTCAGAGTAGAGGGTATGGAGGAAGAGGAAAATAATGTCAAAAGAGACAATCAGGTATTAATGATGGAATGCTGTTAAGCACATTTTCTTAAAAGTAAACCAAAAAAAGATACAAAAAAAGGTGCCCACTCTCCCTTTATCTCAGTTTTATTACTTTACTAAAGCTGGTCTATGCCCTAGACCTTCTCAAAAATCAAACTCAACCCATTAACCTCCACTTTGGCTTCACTGTCCCACACTTTCAGACAACCTTACTTTTTGTTCAACATAAGTTCTCTTATCTAATTCTTCTACCTATTACTCATCCAATCATCCAGTGGCTCGGTGCAGTAGCCAATCTCCAACATGGCCCCCACCTTCCTGTTAGTGATGCTCTTTTGTGGTTCGCCTACATACACACATTGTACCAGGGTTGGTCCATTTGACCAACAAGATATAACAAAAATAAAGGAGGAGTGTGACTTGTGAGGTTATGGCATACAAGACATTGCCATAAACACTTTGCACTCTCTTGGATTGCCTTCTCTCAGGGAAACCAGCCACTGTGGAGTGGGGACACTCAAGAAGACTATGGCCCCTCTGGAAAGGAACTGAAGCCTGTTGCCCAGAGTCACATGATTAGTAAGCCATGTTGGGAGTGGATCTTCCAGCCCTAGTCACACCTTTAGGTGACAGCAGACAACATCTTGACTGCAAACCTACGCCAAAATTCCTGTTAAGCCATTCCTAAATTCCTGCCCGTAAAAACTGTGAAGATATTTAATGTGCATTGCTCTTTTAAAGCACTAAATTTTGGGGTAATTACAAGCAAGAGTTAATTGATATTAAAACAATTATCCAAGGAGCAGCTGTTTTTCTAAAAGTACAATTTTGGTGAAACTTCCTTGTATTCACTACCACCACTAAGGGGCACTTGCTCCTTTCTTTTTTTAATTTTTAATTTTTTTGTTTATTTTTTAAGATTTATTTTTATTTATTTATGCATCCAAGAACTGGGGTGTGGGCCAAAGTTGCGGGGGATGATAGGATTGACCAGAGTAGGGAGCAGAACAGGCAGGTACTGAAATACACTGCTGAGGGGAGCAGCAGGTGAGACAGGAGAGGACTGTTTGCCCTCATGTCTACTAGACAAACAATTGCTGAAATTCAGTTATAAAAAAGGATTGTGGGCCTCCTTTCTTTTTTTTAAATTGATTATCAATAGTTTTGTAAGTGCACTTTAATTCTTAAAGAACAGCAGCTTCAGAGGCCTACTTGAAGGCGCCACCTGCTGGTTGAACTGAATAGTACACCAGAGCAATAATTGGTGCTGACAACCAATGCTAACCCCACCTTTCCAAAGGAGACTCTAGCTTCTACCGTAAGTCAGTTCTGAGATGTAATGTCTTCATTTCCTAGAGATAAAAACATTTACCCTCCCTTCTTCACAGAAATGCTGAAATTTGATATCCCTGAGTACAGAAATCATAAAAATGTAAGGAATTATTATTATTCTGTCTAGTATCTTAAAAAAAAATTAAAGATATCCTCACCAACCTTGCTCCCATCCTCTTCACCTCTGGAAACCTTAGTTAAGTTATCAATGTCTATTAGTTTGCTTTTATTTTATCCATTTACCCACTTTGTTTCCTTATATTACACATATAGGTGAGATCATTCAATGATCTAATTTCTAATCTGACCTCATGTAATTCTAATTTTTAATTTCACCTCATGTAACTGAGTTCCATTTTGTTGCAAATGGCAAATTTTCATTACACTAACAAGTAAGTTACAGAAAGAAATGGCAATAACAGAAACTGTCATCCCTGCCTGAGAAGCTAGTCTGAGTCTTCTCTAAAGCAAATTTGCAAAATGATTAAACTGGTTGTGAAATATGAGGCAAGTTAAAATAAACAGTAGTTTTGCTGTCATTTGAAAAAAAGAACTAAGGATAGCCAGGTCACTCTGTCATGGTTATCATTTGTATTGTAAATTCAAAGATCAGTGCAGAATGAAAGAGTTGCCTTCCTTTCCTATCCTCATTTCTAACTTGTGGAGGGAGGTTCTTTTAACATACTGAGAGGCAATTAATATTAAAGTAATTAGAGAATGATTTCCACTCTGACACTCTAAGGTCTGAGGTATATCTAAGGCCTTTACCACATCAAACAACAACAGAGGGTACTGCATCTGGATAAAGGGAGCAAACTGGGCAAGACTGGACTGAAGAATACCCACTCAGGGGCCTCCCTGGTGGCACAAGGGGTTAAGAGACAGCACTATGAATCTATCCCCTGCCTTTGCAACATGAGTTTGATCCCTGGCCAGGGGGGTGACCAACATGGCACAGCAGTCCTCTCCTGCCTTGCCTACTGCTCCCCTCAGCAGTGTGTTTCGATGCATCCACCTATTCTGCTCCCCACTCTCTGGTGAATCTTCTCTCACACACACCCCCCCATACCTCTGGCCCATACCCCAATTCTTGTATAAATAAATCTTTAAATAAAGAAGAAAATACCCATCCAAGGTTAACTGGGTAAGGACAGAGACTACCTGAGGGAAAAATAAGTACTTTGCACCATTCTCTAGACTGTGTATATTTTTGATGGCTACTAATAAAATTGATAATGAACTATAACAGCACACTATGATTTGACAATGGAGCCCACCTGCATATCACCGCAGACTTTGAAGGGCATAGCAGTGAGGTTATGCAATATGTTCAATTTTCTAGTGGAAAAGTGAAAAAGAAATTAGTGTCAAAACAAAAAAAAAAAGAACTGAAATTCAGCAATATATACATTTCCAAGCATAAACTATTAACTGAACTTTGATTTTAAAAAATGGGTATATCTTTCTTTTAAAGTGTAGAGCTTTTCAGGATTTTCAGTTTTTTTACAAAGCTCTTTTAAAGTGTAGAGCTTTTCAGGATTTTCAATTTTTCTACAACAGAGGGGAAATAGCACTGGGTACATGTAAATGTCAATGATGCCCTCTCTAGGAAATCACCCGAATTTCCTAGTGAGGTGAACCCATCTGCAAGGTATACCTTCAGGAAATGTTGAGAAGTGCCTCATGTGGCTTATAAGGCCCCTCCTCGAGCTTCAGTACCCTCACACCAGATTTCTGCACCAACCCACTCATTGCCAAGCCCTTCTCCCCACTTACCTGGGGCTTGCACAAGTTGTTCCTTTTGCCAGGCCCCTTCCTTCCCACCACCCTCCTCCTTGAGGGTGGAAATGTTGAAAGTGCCTCATGTGGCTTATAAGGCCCCTCCTCGAGCTTCAGTACCCTCACACCAGATTTCTGCACCAACCCGCTCATTGCCAAGCCCTTCTCCCCACTTCTCCTGGGGCTTGCACAAGTTGTTCCTTTTGCCAGGCCCCTTCCCACCACCCTCCTCCTTGACTAAATTCTTTCCTCTTTCAAGCCTGAGATGAGACATCCCTCCTGTTGGGGAACCTCAGTTGCCTAATAGCAACTGAGGCACGTGTGAACCAACGATTTCACTGATGGGGAAACTAAGGCACCAACAGCAGGACTTTGTAAAATCCACCTTCAAAGCCGGACCATGAGCTCTAGCATAAAGAAGGGCACAACAGATGATGGGAAAATGGCATGAGGAAGTCAGTAGAGTTAGAAGTCAGTAGAGTTAAGAATCGTGCTGGGACGTGGCCTTTTGAGCCAGCATGGAGAGAGAGTAGAAGGTTTCGGTAAAGGAGGGGTCATGTCAGCACTGGATATTTCTGGAGCCGGTGCAGCCTCTGCGGGTGACCCGGTCCCGGGCACAAGCTTGGAAATGGAGGCTGAGTGGAGGGCGCCTTGATGATGCTTAAAAACAATTCCCCGTGTCTTTCTAGCACCCAGAACAGTATCTGCGAGATCCGCTTCAACTACTGAATATGTGGGACAAAATGCAGCCCTGGCCGAACTCTCCTCCGAAGCTTTGTGCTTTGGCTTCCCTGTCCTCACGAGAGGACTTTCCCCCACAGCCCACAGGCACAATCGCTCCCGAGCTTCCCAGGCTGGACTCGCGCCTCAATCTAAGGAGGCAGCTGAGCTGTCCGTCCACGCCGGGCGAGCAGTCCCCGGAGAGGAGAACTCGCCTCACAAGCCGGCCGTGCCAGGCGACGCGTGCTGCGAGGCCCGCGAGCCCCAGAGCCGGCCAGCAGCGAGAATGAGGGCGCTGGCTGACGCGCGCTCGAGAAGAGGCGCGCCGAGGCTCGGCGTGTGGCGTCTGCGGCTTTTTGTCAGAAGAAAGAGCCCACTCAGCTGCCGGCCGCGGCTGGAAACCTCGCCTCGCGCTCGCTTCGCGCCTCCAAGAAGCCGCCCCGCTGCCCCGCGCGCCGGCCACTAGGGCGGCCAGGTCGGCGCGAAGCTCCGCCCGCCCCGCCCAACCGCCCGGGAGGGGCGTGTCCAGGGCAGGCCCCGCCCACGCCGCGCGGGGCCCCTCGGCAACCGGCACAACACAACAAAATGGCTGCCGCGCCGCTGCGCGCCTAGAGGGAAAGAGCCGCGCGTCTCCCGCCCCCCGTCGTCAGCCCGCCCGCTCCGCTCCGCTCCGAGGCGGTGAGTGCCAGGCCCGGTCGGGGCCGTTCTCGGGTCTCCGGACCGAGCGGTGGGGTCTGTGGCGACGGCGGGAAGGCCTGGATCGAGCGTGGGGTGGGTCGGCTCGGGAAGGGTTCGGGGCGGGGGCGTGTGCTGGGAACTGGGATTGGATGGGGAGGAGGGGAGGGCCCGGAACCGGCGTGGGGAGGAGGCTGGCGGAGGGAGGTGTGGACCAGGAGTGAGGAGGTCCAGGGTCGGGGTGGCGAGGGCGGTGTGGTGTAGTTGGGTGCGACGCCTAGAGGAATGGGGGTCCCGCCAGAGAGGAGGGAGGGGCGCGGTGTGCCCGGTGTCTGCGGGGAGTGGCAGCGGCAAAGGATGGGTCGATAATACCCTGACAGGTGTCACGCTGTGGGGCGGGGTAGGTACTGGAGAAAGACGAGAGGATATTGGGAAGAAATGTTAAAAGGCGGGGAAGGAGCGAGTACTTTATTGTATAAAGAATAAAGGACAGGTGAATTTTGAAGACAAAGCTTAGATTCAAGCGCTGATTCTGCCACCTTGTGCTGCTTAACCGGCTCTGTGATTTTGGACGTGTTCTTTAACCTTCCCGTTGTTTTCTCATTTGTAAGAATTATTGCCAATTACTTTTCAGTCTGCAAAATGTGTCTAATTCAGGACTAAATCCTTTGCATGTATTAACTATTAGAATTTAAAGTAACTTATATGACATTACCACCCCTATTTTGAAAGTGATGATATTGAAGATCAGAGAGGTGAAGTAATTTGTTTAGTGTCACACAGTAAGAGGAAAATCAGGGGGCCTCCCTGGTGGCGCAAGGGGTTAAGCACCGCACTATGAAGCAATCCACAGCCTCTGCAGCACGAGTTTGATCCCCATCGGCCAGCAACCCACATGGCGAAGCAGACCTCTCCTGTCTCCCCCGCTGCTCCACTCAGCAGTGTATTTCGTCAGTCTGCCTGTTCTGTTCCTCACGCTGTCTCTTGTGAATCCTCTCACCCCCCTCCCCTAAATCTCTGGTCTGTACCCCAGCTCTTGTATGCATAAATAAATAAATAAATCTTTAAAAAAAAAAAAAAGAGGAAAATCAGGGTTTGAACTCAGGCTGTTTAGTTACAGAACCTAAGTATTTAATTCTTAATGATATACTGCCATTTGTAAATAAGGTTAATAATTCTGATCTTAGACAATATCTGTGAGGATTTAAAACTAGTCATGTCTTTAGAGGGCTTAGCACAGTCTTTATGAGTCCAACAAATATTTACTGTGCACCAAATAATAGAGAGATAGAATCCCTGCTGTCTGAACTTAAACACTAGAAGGACAAACAAGCAATAGTCAAATCATTTCACAAATAATCATTTAGTTTTAATTGTGAGTTGTGATAAAGAAGACTACTTGGTGCAGAGGCCATGTGTAATAGGGAGATATATCCTGTTGTGCATCTTCAGTGGAGAAACCCTGCCTTCTCAACTCTATTCTTAGAGGCTGGCACAATTCTTGAAATATAAAAGTTCCTCAATAAAATCGAATGATTGAATAAACAAATTAATGGAAATTGATTGGAAACTTGGGTTTTAGGGTACCTGAGTAGAATTCAGGACATTATTAGGATTGGGAAGGACATAGAGGTCAGGGTGAGTGAAGGGAAAGGCAAGTAGGAAATCAAATTTCTTGGGATAAAGAGAAATGGCTGGTGTTTTGACTATTTTGTTTGAGAAGGGGAATAATTAGAAGTCAGAGATTTGGAATGGGTTAGGATATCAGAAAACTTGCTGGGATGAACAGTTTGGGAAATCAGGGTGGTGAAGTGTTGAGCCGGAGTATTAGAACTATAAATGAAGGACAGTAAAGACAGTGTTAGTGTTAGAGAAATCGGGACAGTATTTGTGGGGAAACTTGGCAAAGAAAGATGGGAGGCAGAGGTTGATGGCACAAAATGGGGAATTGCCTTTGGAAAGGAGAGTGGCTGGGTTAGAGACTTTGGAAAGGAATGGGAATCAAGCTATTTGAAAAGACTAAAGAAAGTTCCAGTATGTAAATGTGTCAGAGGGCCTCCAGGGAAAGTATTGAGATGTGTGATTAAAGGGCTAAGGGTTGTAGTAGAGAGGACATGGAGGTTAAGAAACAGCAATGGTTATTTGCATAGTGGAGTGGACTGGGAAGAAAGATGGAGGATTTGTGGATTATTGAGGTCTGCCTCATTTGGAGGAAATGAGAGGAAACAGAGAGTTAGCAATGTTAGGAAAGGCTGGATGGAGGAGGAATGGGTTCTACTAAGCTGTGGACAGGATTGTTAGATTAAGGCAAGCATCTGAGTTAGGGAACAACAGGATGGGTGTGTTTTGTGCCAGGTCATATGATTCTGAGTAGCACATCATTCCAATGACTTTCTCTCATTCCGTAGACCACCTTTTGGTTCTTCAAAATATATCTCCAGCTTGGGATTTGTTTTGCTTGTTTTCTCTTTATTCTGCTCCTTTCCACACTGCAGCCCTATTTCTCAGCTACATCTTCTCTTTTCTATTGCTTGGTCTTTGTTTATGTGATTGCAAACTGCATCCTAGGGTCAAGCAACATCCCCATCGCTCCCTTAAAATTATTGTTCAAGATTTACTACTACCAAGTGATTGTCTCTGAAATAATGCCAGCCATTCTCAAACACAGTAAATCCCTAAGCCTAGTTCACTGAGCTAGCTAGCTTATAGGATGGCAATGCATACCTGTCTTTTGATGTCCAGGCTTTATAGGAGCTATGGCAACCCAGGGAAGGGATCTGGGAATGCATTATGACTTTGGAACCATCGTTTAATTTTTAATGTTACAATTCATAAAAGGAAGGAGTTGATCTAGATTTTGGAATCCATTTGAGTATATATTCTAATATATATATTTAGCTCTTTGAGTAAGGCAGCGTTTTGCTAATCGGGGAGATAACGAAGGATCTCATGATAGTCTAGGATGCACAGAGGGCCTTGGTCATTACAGTAATATGAGAGGAATTCAGAGAAGTCAATTATTAAAAATTTAGAGAGAAGACTAATTTCTAGGTTGAAGAATATAATTACATTTCATAAAAATATAGGATGCACCTTTTGACCAAGAAGATATATTTGTTTTTTGTTTTTTGTTTTTAATAGAGGCATGTTTTATTTATTTATTTGTTTGTTTGTTTTGTTTATACATGCACTGGGTACAGTCAGAAGTGCGGGAGGGTGAGAGAATTCACCAGAGCCAGAGCTGGGAGCAGAGCAGGCAGAAGGACCGAAGTACACTGCTGAGGGGAGCAGCCGGCGGCAGGAGAGGTCTGCACGCCATGTGGGACCCTCCTCCGGTGGCCGGGAAGCAGCCGGGGATCAAACGGGCGCCGCAGAGGCCGTGGGCAGCTTCGCAACCCAGCGCTCAACCGCTGCGCCACCGAGGAGGCCCAAGAAAATATATTTGTATACACACACACACACACACACACACACACACACACTCATAAAAAGTATATATCCAAAATATGTAGCATACACTGTTGTTCTAATTTTATAATTTTCTATTATGCTGTGAGATAGAGAAAGATATATAGAAGTGAGAACTGGGCCCTGTTTCTCTCCCTTTTTATTTTTTATATTTCTTGCTCATGTGAAAACTACATTTAATTCTGTAGTGAACAGTTTTACCTTCAAAGCACATGACTTTTAACTCTTCTCAAGTTGGAGCATATTGTTATCATTTAGAAAGAATGCTAGTGCAGCTTAGTATAAATAGCAGTTATGTTAATTGGAGGAAAGCTTTTGTGGACAAATGATAGTTCCAAAGTCATAATACATAATGCATGGAGGGTTTAACATGACAAAATGAAAGAGAAAGTAACTTTGCAGCTTAAAGTAGTGAACTAGACTATAGGAACTAGGCAGTTGACAATATTACAGTGTGTAGCTATGAAATAATAATTGACTTTTAAAAAACGAACGCACAGGTCTTTGTTCCCTTCAAACTCTAGTCACTTAAGAGGCTACATCATGATTTCAGTACTGTATTTTTCTAATAAACCTTATGTTTTTCCTTTAAGAATTTTTTATAGTACCTGTCATTCTTTAATCCAAGTTATATAGTGGCATTTGTTGATGGTCTGTAAGGCATCGTGCCACGCCCTAGAAAACAAATCAAGCGAATCAACCATGTCAGCAATAAGATACGATGATGAAGATATGGGCTTTAGAATCTGAAAAGGATTCAAGTCTTGGCTTAAGCAATCAGTTATGGAACTTTGAGCAGGTTTACCCTCTTCATCTTTAAAATGGGAGATATTAGCATAGAGTTATATTTAATCTTTCCGAAATACTGGTTCATATAAAATTTTACCACAGTATTTGGCACATTTTAGTGATCAAACTGGGGAAATAAAAACTATTATGTAGCTGAAGTGATGGACCTGATTTTCTTGTCATACTTATAAATCAGTTCTGCAAGCAGGACCTGAAGAGAGATTCCAGAAGTGTTTTGGACAAGATCATCATTCTTAGAATAACTGTATGGTCATTGAAGGGTATTTGTTTGCTAAAATGTTGGTTAATTAATTGAATATACTAATGGCAGCTCTCCTTTGCATATACTGTCTATATGTCATTAAAAAAATGTTTCTTCATAATTACTACCCATATACCTGCAACGTTGTTATATGTGAAGATTTAACAGTCATTCCACTATAGTGTCCCTGTGTAATTCCAGTTAATTCCATTAATATTTGAGCTACACCAAATCTTTGGATTAAAACTGCTTTCCTGAAAAATAATTTGTTTTGTCTTTATATTTTAATCAATGAGAATAGGGGTCATTGTGGATGTTGAGCAAAAGGTCCTTGTTTAATGCAGCCTTGCCAGAGATCTGTACATCTTACAAGGTTGTTTTGCCTAATATTTTTCAATTTTATAATTTTTGTAATGTTTTTAGACTGCATGTACTGATAAAAGCAAATGTATGTCATGAAAATCTTTTTTGCATAAACCTAACCATGCAAATTAGAACTCTTGACATTGAAGACTAATACTGCACATGAAATTATCCTTTTCTGAGGTATTAGGTAGCATTTTTATCATTTCCATGTATTTTATGACTCATTCATTCAATAACTATTAATTATCTACTATCTGCTAGGCTCTGTTCTAGGCTTGGACTACATCAGTGAACACTATCCCTGCTTTGATGGAATATAGCATCTTTTATATTGATGATGTTATATGACTGACAAATTAGTTTGAGAGGAGGACTTGTTTGCATCTTTACTCTGCTAGCACTGTCTGACCAGGTAATTTATTATTCTGGGCCTTAATTTTCTTATGTGGAAAGTAAAGCAATTTGACTAATTTCATCAATTAATGCTTTAGTTCCTTCTCAAAGACCTAAATTTCAATAACATTGGTTTTTGAATAAACAGTAGTAGGTATGTGAGTTTGAAGCATTGTTTGCTATATAAAAATTCATAGTACACTTACGATTTGTGCACCTTTCTATGTGTATGATGTATTGCAACAAAAACATGCACACACAAAAAGAGTATACTGTTGAAAGTATGTTTTTTTTAAACAGGCTGATTTCTGTATACAAGAAAAATCTTGTATACATTTGTGACCTACCAATCAGCTTGCTGAGAATACTGAGATAAATAAGATGTTTTCCATGTGGGAGTTACATTCTGAAAATATACAAATTGCCAATAAGCACAAGAAAAGATGCTCAGCATCACTAATCATTAGAGAAATGTAAATCAAAATTACAGTGAGCCCCCGGTCTCATTAAAATGTCTATTATCGGGCCTCCCTGGTGGCGCAAGGGCTTAAGCACTGCACTATGAAGCAATCCACAGCCTCTGCAGCACAAATTAGATCCCCAGCCAGCCAGGGAGAAAGCCACATGGCGAAGCAGATCTCTCCTGTCTCACCCGCTGCTCTCCTCACCAGTGTATTTCGTTCAGTTTGCCTGTTCTGTTCCCCACTCTGCCTCTGGTGGATCCTCTCACCACCTGCATCTCTGGCCTGTACCCCAGCTCTTGTGTGCATAAATAAATAAATCTTTTTAAAAAAATGGCTATTATCAAAAACACAAAAAATAACAAGTTTTTGCAATAATAAGGTAAAATTGGAACCCCTTTTGGGAAAGTAAAATGGAGCAACTGCCATGGAGAGCAGATGGTGGTTCCTCGGAAATTACAAATAGAATTGTATTGTGACCCAGCAATTCCACCTCTGAGTCTCTGCCCAAAATAATTATAAATAATGTCTCAAAGAGATATTTGTACACCATGGCCATAGCAATATTATTAACAACAGCTAAAACATGGAGGTAATACAAGGTCCATTGTTGGAAGAATGGATCAGCAAAATGTGTTCCATACATGCAATAGCTATTACTCAGATTAAAAAAAGTTAATAGGGAGGGAAAGCGGCAGGTCCCAGTGAGAACTGGGACACGGAAGATAAACGGGTGACTCCAGCAAACTACCCGAAGAAGAAAGTGGCCATAAAAAAAGGACTAGAAGGGAGGAAAGCGCAGAACCCTGCTCTCCTCCCCCACCCACAGAGTAGGCACTCTCCGACCTGCAGAGAGGAAGGGAGAAAACAAACCAAAACGACCAACAAGAACAAACTACGCAGCAAGCAGGACTGTGAGTGGAAAGGAACTATTGCAGCCACCACACCCCGTGAACGGGAGCTGTGGAGAACCCTGCAGGATTCGCCACAGCGGTGAGCGAACGGCTCCGGGCGCCATTAGAGAAGAACAAAGAGACTCTGGAGACAAGCACACAGCCCCGGGCCGCCGGTAAGCTTGCACGGAAAAGCGGCGTGCTTGGTGCTCTTGAAAAGCAAACGCGGACTGGGATCGTGGCTGCCCAGGTCCCCGCGCCTGTGACCTAGGCTTGCGGGGAGACACGCGGAGGCCCTCACTGAGTAAGCAGGAACCAGGTGCCAAGGCACGGGAGCGGGTGCAAAAGGCGCCATTCCCGCGCCACTGAACTGGGCTGCGTCCTGGACCTGAGGGCTTTGAACTGAGACCCGGGGCACGAAGTTCGGGGTGTGGGTTCTCCACGATGGTGGGGCACAAGGCAGACACAGCACCCCAAAGCTGTTGAGGTGTACCCTACCATTCCCGCTCTGTTCCCTGTCCCACGGGGTGGGGGGGGCGAAAAACAGCCCCCCAAGGATAATAGGAGAGATCTCTGGCGCCACCTAGCGACCAGAAAAAAAAGTCACTAACACCCCATAGAACAGGGAAATTTCTTAAGTCTGCTTGAAAAGGGCAGAAGGCTCCCGGAGGTGACAGTGGCCAGCTGGGAAGTTAGCCCACGCCAGGCCCCTTCCGACCAGCAGTCTGAGCCCACAGAGGGAACAGGCACCCACGGCCGGGGCAGACAGGGCGCGCAGAAGAGTGTGCCTGAGACTGGATGCTCAGGGACTGAGTCCCGCGTTGCCATTTTAGAACAGGGACATTTCTTCAGTAAAGTCTTCCTGAAACCAGCAGAAAGCTCCCTCAGAAGCCAGAGATGGCTCCTGGAGGAGCCAGAGGGGAGCGGAGAAGTTCACCCAAGATGCCGGCCACTCCGAGCAACACAGTGTCCCAATGCATACGACAAATTAGAAAACAGATAGTAGGGAGTAGAAGAACCACACGCAACCTAGCAACTCCTCAGGAAAAAAGCACACCACAAAAAGAAAACCACCCCCCAGATTGCAATGACAGTAACTTGGAAGAACTTCTGAGCCTTCCAGAAAGAGAATTTAAAATTGCCGTGATTAAAAAAATGACAGAACTCATAAAGGAAAACAATGATCAGAAGAAGGAAATTGACTCCCTAAAGAGGGAAGCAAAAGAAACGCAGGGGATCAAAGAATTAATGGAGGAACTAAAGAACTCTGGGAAAAGCAATGAAAGCAGAATAGATGAAATGGAAGAACGAATAAGTACTCTTGAAGACACAGAAATAAAAAGAACCAAAACAGAAAAGGAAAGAGAAGTACGAAGGAAAAAGAACGAAGAAAGACTTCGGGAACTATCTGACTCCATGAGGAAAGGAAATATAAGAGTTATAGGAATTCCAGAAGGAGAGGAGAGAGATGTAGGAACAGAGAAAATATTCCAGGAGATAATTGAAGAGAACTTCCCAAATGCGAAGAAGGAGCTGAAAATTGATATACAAGAAGCAAGAAGAACACCAAACTTCCACGACGAAAGGAAAAATACAGCAAGACACATAATAGTAAAGCTCCCAAGAATCCAGGACAAGGAAAAAAATAATGAAGCTGACAAGAGGGAAGAAACAGATAACATTCAAAGGAAAACCAATCAGGCTGACATCAGACTTCTCTGAAGAAACACTACGGGCAAGGAGAGAGTGGAGGGACATAGTCAACAGACTCCAAGAAAACAGATGCCAACCAAGAATACTCTATCCCGCAAAGCTCTCCTTCCTCTATGAAGAAAGAATAAGGACCTTCCCAGACAAAGAGAAACTCTGGAATTTCATCACGACTAAACCCCCACTCCAAAATATACTACAAGGAATCCTAAAGCCAGAACCTCAGAAGGACGAATAACAATGAAAGAAGGCAAAAAAAAAAAAAAAGTTATTAAAAGAATAAATAAAATCAAAGGAAAGACAAACACAATGGCAAATACAAATGCTAACATATCAATATTAACTCTAAATGTAAATGGACTAAACTCTTCAATAAAAAGACACAGAGTTGCAGCCTGGATTAAGAAACAAAACCCAACCTTTTGCTGTCTCCAGGAAACACATTTAGCTACAAAAGATAAAAATAGGCTCAAAGTTAAAGGATGGAAAACAATCCTACAAGCAAATGGACCAAAAAAGAAAGCAGGAACAGCTATACTTATATCAGATAAAACAGACTTCAAACTCAAAAAAATAAAAAGAGACCCCAGTGGTCACTACATCATGATCAAGGGGACAATACTTCAAGAAGAAATAACACTCATTAACATATACTCACCAAACGACTTCAAACTCAAAAAAATAAAAAGAGACCCCAGTGGTCACTACATCATGATCAAGGGGACAATACTTCAAGAAGAAATAACACTCATTAACATATACTCACCAAACGAAGGAGCACCAAAATATATCAGACAACTGTTGTCCTCTCTGAAAACAGACATCAGAGAAAACACATATGTAGTGGGAGACTTCAACACACCACTATCAACAATGGATAGATCAACAAGACAAAAAATAAGTAAAGAAACTAAAGCTCCAAATAAGGACCTAGAGCATTTGGGCTTAACAGACATCTATAGAACACTAAACCCCAAAAAAACGGAGTACACATTTTTCTCAAGCGCATATGGATCATTCTCCAGAATCGATCACATACTGGGGCACAAGACAAACATCAACAGATACACCAAGATTGAAATCATATCAGCCATCTTTTCTGACCATGAAGGCATCAAACTAGAAATAAACCATAAAAAGAAGGCAAGGAACTTTCCTACCTCATGGAGATTAAAAACCACACTACTGGAAGACCACTGGACTAATGAGGAGATCAAAGAAGAAATTAAAAAATTCTTTGAATTGAATGACAAGGAGGACACCAATATCCTAAATGTATGGGATGCAGCAAAAGCAGTAATAAGAGGAAAATATATAGCAATAGAAGCCCACATCAAGAAACAAGAAAGAACTCAAAGAAACAACCTAATCTCGAAGCTCAAAGATCTAGAAAAGAACAACAAAAAAACCCAAAACCAGTAGAAGAAAAGAAATAATAAAAACCAAAGCAGAAATAAATGAAATTGAAACTAAAAAAACAATCCAAAAGATCAATGAAACCAAGAGCTGGTTCTTTGAAAAAATCAATAAAATAGACAAACCCCTAGCCAGGCTCACAAAGGAAAAAAGGGAGAAAGCACAAATAAACAGGATCACAAATGAAAGAGGAGAAATCACAACGGACACAGCAGAAATCAAAAGAATAATCAGTAACTACTATGAACAGTTATATGGAAACAAGTTCAACAATCTAGAGGAGATGGACAAATTCCTACAACTCTACAATCACCCAAAGCTAGATAAAGAAGAAATAGAACACCTAAACAGACCAATTACAAGCAGCGAAATTGAAATGGTAATCAAAAACCTCCCCAAAAACAAAAGCCCAGGACCTGATGGATTTACAAATGAATTCTACCAAACATTCAGAGACGAATTAGTGCCTATCCTTCACAAACTCTTTCAAAAAATTGAGAAGGAAGGGACAATACCAAACACGTTCTATGAAGCCAACATTACACTAATACCAAAACCAAACAAGGACAACACAAAAAAGGAAAACTACAGGCCAATCTCCCTAATGAACACTGATGCAAAAATCCTCAATAAAATTTTAGCTATCAGAATCCAACAATGTGTCCATAAGATAATTCACCATGACCAAGTAGGATTCATTCCAGGGACACAAGGATGGTTCAACATCCGAAAATCAATCAACGTTATCCAACACATCAACAAAAAGAAATATAAAAACCATATGATAATATCAATAGATGCTGAGAAAGCTTTCGACAAAGTGCAACACCCATTCATGATAAAAGCCCTTGAAATTCTTGGGATACAAGGAACATACCTCAACATCATAAAGGCCATTTATGACAGGCCAACAGCCAGTATCATTCTCAATGGTGAAAAGCTGAAAGCGATTCCATTAAGATCTGGAACAAGACAAGGATGTCCACTCTCACCACTGCTCTTCAATATAATACTGGAAGTCCTAGCCAGAGCAATAAGACAAGAGAAAGACATCCAAGGAATCCAAATAGGAAAAGAAGAAGTCAAACTATCACTATTTGCAGATGATATGATAATATACATAGAGAACCCCAAAAACTCCACAGAAAAACTAGTTCAACTAATCAATCAGTTCAGTAAAGTGGCAGGATACAAAATCAACACGCAAAAGTCAGTAGCCTTCCTATACACAAACAATAAATCTGAAGAAGAAGAAATCAAAAAAACCATCCCTTTTATTATTGAAACAAAAAAAATCAAATATTTGGGAATAAATCTAACAAAAGAGGTAAAGGACCTATACAAAGAAAACTATAAAACACTGTTAAAAGAAATAGAAGAAGACACAAAGAAATGGAAAGACATCCCCTGCTCATGGATTGGAAGAATAAACATTATTAAAATGGCCATCCTCCCAAAAGCAATCTACAGATTCAATGCTATTCCAATCAAAATTTCAATGTCATTCTTCAAAGAAATAGAACAATTATTGATGAAATTCATATGGAATCACAAAAAACCCCGAATAGCCAAAGCTCTCCTGAAAAAAAAAGAAGGGAATGGAGGCATCACACTCCCAGACTTCAAACTCTACTACAAAGCCATAATCATCAAAACTGCATGGTATTGGAACAAGAACAGACACACAGACCAATGCAATCGAATAGAAAATCCAGAAATAAACCCACAGATTTATGGTCAACTAATCTTTGACAAAGGAGCAAAGACTATGCATTGGAGCAAAGAAAGTTTGTTCAATAAATGGTGCTGGGAAAACTGGGTCGCTACATGCAAAAGAATGAAGCTTGACCACTACCTCACACCATACACAAAAATCAACTCAAAATGGATTAAAGAACTAGACATAAGACCTGAAACCATGAAATATATAGAAGGAAATATAGGCGAAACACTACGTGATTTGCACATCAAAGACATCTTTACAGACACATCACCCAAAGCAGTGATAGTGAAGGCAAAGATAAACAGCTGGGACTACATCAAATTAAAGAGCTTCTGCACAGCAAAAGAGACAATAACAAAAGCAAAGAGAAACCCCACCAACTGGGAGAACATTTTTGCACACAACACTAATGATAAAGGACTGATCACAAAAATCTGCAAAGAGCTGATGAGACTCAACAACAACAAAGAAAATAACCCAGTCAAAAAATGGGCAGAAGAGCTAAAAAGAAACTTCTCTGAAGAGGAAATGCAAATGGCCAACAGACATATGAAAAAATGTTCAACATCACTTGTAATCAGGGAAATGCAAATCAAAACTACCATGAGATACCATCTTACACCAGTGAGAATGGCACATATTAAAAAAACTAGCAACAACAAGTGTTGGCGAGGGTGTGGAGAAAAAGGAACTCTTCTGCACTGTTGGTGGGAGTGCAAACTGGTCCAACCACTATGGAAAGCTGTGTGGAGATTTCTGGACCTACTAAACATAGAGCTTCCATATGATCCAGCAATTCCACTCCTAGGTATTTACCCAAAGGACACAGAAACATACATTCCAAAGAACACCTGCACCCCTATGTTTATAGCAGCACTATTTACAATAGCTAAGCTTTGGAAACAGCCCAAATGCCCAAAAATAGATGACTGGATTAAGAAGATGTGGTACATATATACCATGGAATATTACTCAGCATTCAAAAAAGATAAACACATGCAATTTGCAGCAACATGGATGGCGCTGGAAAGGATCATGCTCAGCGAAATAAGCCAAAAAGAAAAAGAAAAATTCCGGGTGGTCTCACTCATAGCAGGAATCTAGAAAACTTAAATAAGGGACCAGAAAAATGAATAAGTATAAGAAAGCGAAAATCAAAATCAACAAAAAACTATGAACCAGAGACACTTTTTGGGGGGTGAGGGGCAGGAGGGGAGGGATTGGGGTTAGAATGGGGGGGTTGCAATTGTATGGGGAATATAAAAATAAAATTTATTATTTAAAAAAAAAATAGCTATTACTCAGTCTTAGGACGGAAGGAAATTCTGACCGAGGCTACAACATGAATAAAACAAGACATTATAGTAAGTGAAATAAATTAGTCATGAAGACAGAAATATTGTATGAGTCCAGGATGGAAGGTGAATGAGGGAGGAATAAGGGGGAATGACATGTTGAATTTAGGGTATCAATGAGATATCCAGTAAGCTGTTGAGAATAGGATTCTGGAACTCCGAGAAAGGTTGCATTAATGATGTAAGTATCAGTGTACAGACTGCACTGGGCTCCCTGGGTGTGCATCAGATGTCAGCATGACATTAGAGAGAGACTAGAAGAGAACTTTGAGGAACTCTGACATTTAAAGACTAAATAGAGGAGTGTAAACCAGCAAAAGAGACTAAGGAGTAGTCGGGCGCAGGAGGACACCAGGAGAGTGTGGTGTTCCAGAAGGTAAAGAAACTGTTTCAGGAAGGAGAGAGCAGGAGAGTGTGGTGTCCCAGAAGGTAAAGAAACTGTTTCAGGAAGGAGAGAGCACTCAATAGTATTAAATCAGCATTAATCACTGAATAAATCAGTATTAAATACTGATTTTGAGCTTCCTGAATTCTAGGACTGCTTATGGATAAAAAGGATGTTGTGACTAGCTTGGAACAAAAAGTTGAGAACAAAAATGACAGATAAGACTTCTGGCGGAAACATTTATCCATATAAGACCCTTTGGAGGTCTTTATCTCCCTCTGACAAGGTGATCAACAATGTTTGAAATTATGTTTGCTCTTATCATCTTGGAACAGTTGGGGCCAAGCATCTATAGCCTTTGAGCTTATAACTTTGTAGTTTTGAAAATTTTAGAAATAATTTAATGGTTTTGACAGCTCAAAAGATAATCTTGTTAAACATACTGAAAACTCTTACAGGTTTTGATGGACACCGGGCTTTGCTTTTGCAATGAAGAGAGGTCCTAGGCAAAAAACATTCTCCAAAGCAAAGATGCCACCATCCACTCACTCTTCTAGTCCCTCATCTCTTAAATCTAATATGAGATCTAGATCACTTTCACCTTTAAGTGGAGCTGAGATTCTGCCTTTTCGTTCTGGAAGACAGTGGCCTGAGCAAGTCGAGATTACGGATAAAAACAATATGCTTTTGGACTACCAAGACCATAAAGGTATTGCTTTCTAATCTAAGAATTTTACTGTCTACTGTTAAGTAGAAATGGAAAATATTGAGCTAATGTTTTCAGTTTGAATTAACGTGTATTCTGGTACTAATTTGACTGTTGTTTTTATTGGCAGAAATTATATAAGGACAATAGAGGATGGAGCCCTATGGGTGAGGGTAAAGATATCTGAGTTAGGAAAATAGCACTTTCTCAAAGAGAAAACTTTTATTTCCTGTGGTGGGAGAGTACCTTAAAGCTCAAACCCTAAAATTATCATCATCCTTGGATAGGTGGAGGGCATCTGTTCACTTCAGCATGATTGATTCATTTTAAAAATGTTATCTACTTTGGGCTACGCTAATTGGTTTGTTAGCAAAGTGCTTATCTATGAACAGACTGATTTCATGGACGTATAAGACATGTATATGATTTGTTTGTACAAATTAAAATTTTAGATGTAAAGCACTTAGCAGAAAACTTGAGGCAAAAATGTTTGTTAAGAGTGTAACTGTTATTGTCATTATAAATTGCTATATAAGTAAAATATTATTAAAACATTGCAATTAGAACTAGCTAATTTACATTTATGTGACTTTTTAAAAGTTTGTTATATAATATAAGCCATTTGTTTTTCAGAGTATTCGTATCTTCCTCTACTGACAAGTATATGTTTCTATAATTTCAGAAGTTGATTCACACGTAGGAGTCCGATATATTACAGAGGAGCTTATTAAAAAACTTGCTAAACAGGACAATTTGGCCTTGGTGAAATCTCTTAATCTCTCACTTTCAAAAGATGGTGGCAAGAAATTTAGGGTAGGTTTTCTACAATTTCTGAATATAGGTGTTGTTTTTATTTTTCTGTGCTTTAAAACTGAAAAAAAAAAAAAAAAGGTTAGTTTTACAGTGACATCTCAACCTCAGACCAGTTAATTTATAACAGACTCTTTATTGTTTCTGATGAAGTTCTATAGCAGAGATATGATATATCCAAATTCATAAGCTCCTATTATTCTATACATTACCACCTCTCTTTAGAGGAGGCAAGCTATAGTCTACAGGCCAAACTGAGCCTACTGCCTATTTTTTGAAATATAATTTTATTGAAAAATGCTCATTTTTTTAACATACCATCTGTGACTGGTTTTGCACTATAATAATAGTTGTAACAAAGACTCTGACCAAAAAAGCAAAAAATATTTACTGATCTTTAAAGAAAAAGTTTGCTGTTATCCTTACTCTATATAGTTATATTACACATTATTTAAAGTAGAAAAATTTGAAATAACCAAATGTCTTAATAATCTCAATTTAAAATTTTTTTTTCTAAATGTGTATATATATAGATATGAGTGAATAGAAAGTTCTAGATGTATATACACCAGCTTCTTAACAATTGTTACCTTTGAGCAGTGAGATTTTTTTACCAGGGCCTGGGGATCTGATATAGTGTGCTTCCTATATTTTGCTTAAACTTTTATAAGGATGCATTTATGTTTTGTATAATTACAAAGGAAAAAAAGGAACCATAGTGTTCCTTAAAAGTTGTAAAAATGAAATATTAAGTTTTTGTAAATCTTACTTTGTGGTTATTATATATCTGGCATTATATTAACTGTGGGAGTGGATACAGAGGTAAGTAAGCTTCCTTCCTGATCTCTGGGAATTTAGTGTTTACTATGAAGAATGCCTAGAATTAAGAGGAGAAATAGTAAGAGAGAATCAGAGAGAGATTGTGCACAGGAAATGCAGAACTAGTGAAGAAGTCTGAAGGGTTCTTGGGACAGAAGATCCAAGTGTATGATGAACAGACTCCAAAGGAGGGTGAACTTCAGGTCGGAAAGGATGATGTAAAAATGCTACAAGATAGTCATATAGGAAAACTTGGAAGTTACTGGACTTGATAATTTAAAAGTCATTTTTTCTATTTCACAAAGCCACCAAGTTCATTCTTTTAGGGCCTTTGCATTTTTTTTCCTCTGTCTGCTATTCTCTGCCCCCAGATGTTCACACAGCTGGCCCCTTATTATTAAGTTCTCCACTCAGTATTCTTTCTCTATGAGGTCTTCTCTTAACATCCAATTGCAATTAGCCACCTTCTCCTCTGTCACTCCCTCTCATTCTTTCAGTTGACAAATACTTCTTAAGCACCTATTGGGCCAGGCATTAGCATTATAGCAGCAGAGAAACTGCCTCCTTCACTGGTTCTCCATTTCCTGGTGCCACAACTGATATGTAGTAAATGTAAAATGAATATGTAGTGAATAATGACTGTTTTTAAGCCTGAGAGGGAAGATCCAGGTAAGAGAAAACAAGTGAGGATGCAGGAGCTTTGGCGAGGACATGGGTGAGATCATGCAAGAGCTTAAGTACCAACTTGAACTTTGAAGAAGGATAGGAGGGAAGGAAAAGAATAGGAAGGTTGAGGTGGAATAGCGGATTTCGGGGGACTCTTGTTGGATAGTTTTGAACTTCTTAGAGAGCGGGAAGAGTTTGGAGACTGTGGAAAGCTGCTACTCCTGCCCAAGGGGAGCCCATCAGGGACTGTCAGGAGAGCAGCAGGGCTCATTGCTTTCTGCTGACTGGCCAGCCCACCCTGGTGCACATACTTACATGCTGTGGTTCATGTCAAGACATCTGCTGTGTAAAGTATTTATTCATTTATTTCCAATTAGTACATTGAAAATTTGGAAAAATGCATTAAACTTGAAGTACTGAATCTCAGCTATAATATAATAGGGAAGATTGAGAAGGTGGACAAGCTGTTAAAATTACGTGAACTCAACTTATCATATAATAAAATCAGGTAAGTAAATTCTTCTTTAGGTAGCATTATATAGTCCTTATTTTTGTTTGAGACAGAGATTGATGCTGCAGATGTTGCTGAGAGAATTCTTTGAAACAGCAGGCACTGTGATCCTTACTCATTGATAATGTAACCTTCAAATGTGATCGCTGCCTTCATGTTTTGGTATTACTAAAGTACAGAATAATATCTAGCATCGTCAAAGGAGATATATATTTGAGTACCAAAGAAAGTTGACATAAAGCAGAATGTTTTAACCCTGTTATTTGATCCTAAAGATACTTCAGCCTGTTTTGATCCTACTTGTCCTTATGGTCTTTGCTCATTTCTTGTTTACACTTCATAATATATACTAACTTGAGAAATAAACATCATAAAACAGTCAGTTACTAACTAACACAGCACATTGACAACTTGTTGTAGACAAAAAGATGCAATTATCAAATCTTGAACATCTTTATATCTGAATACTCTCCCCCCACATTAGACATGGTATGTATATGGAAATAGTTGCCCAGTGTGCACTTACCTTGGGGAAATATTCAAGATGGGTGGTAAATGTTTTATTAAATTATTCTGATTAAAACATTTATCTTCATAAATTCAATATTATTCTAGGGGTCCCACCAGCTCAAAACAGCAACTCTATCCTGCTGATATAGCTAATCTTTTAATGATGACTTAAAGCAATAGTTAAGGATAATTTTCTTGTGCAGGACTTCAGCACACAGCAGTGTGTTGAGTTTTCCAGCTTTCCCCTGGCTGTCCACTGGTACTCGTCACAGTGGTTAGTAAGGCTGTCTAACCAATAGTGACAGTATTCCAATATTGACACTATTGGAATATCTAGTATTCTAATAGTGACAATATTCTGTGTTGTGTGATCCTGACATCTGATAGTAAGATGGATAGGGTTCCTGGACAAAGTAGAGAAGAGTTGGCAGCTTAGCGCTTCTGGTAGATTTATTTTTAGACACTTTATTTTAATTCTTATTTATGAAAAGGGTTGATAAGCTATAATTAGGAAAATAATATAAAACCAAGGTGGTTTATTCTAAAGATATAATGGAGGGACTCTATCATTGTCTACTTATTGTCAATCTTGATATTATCCTTTTGTTTCCAGCAAAATTGAAGGCATAGAAAATATGTATAATCTGCAAAAGCTAAACCTTGCAGGAAATGAAATTGAACATATTCCAGCATGGTTCGGAAAAAAGTTAAAATCTTTGCGAGTCCTCAATCTGAAAGGCAACAAGATATCATCAGTAAGTTTTTGAAGTAACAAGAATTCATTTCAAAGTTTTGGATTTGTTGAAAAAAATTAAAATCTAAATTTTTTTAAAAAAAGGATTTCTTCTTTTATGGTCCTTGACCCTTTGACCAAATATCAAATTCAGACATAACCTAGGATTCTCTAGGGTAATTAAAGGATCCTAGTTCTGGTTTTGCGAGGTTCCATGCTAACTGAGAGTTGACCTTGTAGCATTTTCACATCTGTCCTTTCATTTGCACTCTTTTTTTTTTTTTTAAGATTTATTTATTTATGCATACAAGAGCTGGGGTAAAGGCCAGGGGTGTGGGGGTTGAGAGGATTCACCAGAGACAGAGTGGGGAACAGAATAGGCAGAGCGACTGAAATACACTGCTGAAATAGAGGCAAGTCAGGAGGGGTCTGCTGTGCCATGTGGGTTGCTCCTTGGCCGGCCGGGGATTGAACTCATGCTGCAGAGTCTGCGGATTGCTTCATAGTGCTGCGCTTTATCCCTTGTGCCACCAGGAGACCCTGCACTCTTATTAAGGAGACACTGCAGGGATTATTTCTATAATGCTATGAATTAAGTATCATAGTCTTGTTCCCTAAGAGGGGTTAAGTCTCTTACCTAAAATCACACAACTTATGCCAGAATCCAGGTGACTGATTATCTAGAACAGAGTTCTTTTTTCAAGCTATGGATTAATCTTTATAATAAAGTTAGGTGTTATAGTGGTTAATTACTAGCTTTTTTATAGTAGAGCAGCTTTGTTTTCATGGTTCACTTAATCTGATGATGAGGAAAAATTTCATATGATATTTATACAGCTAGATGTTCAGTAAGCATTTGCTAATTAAAAACATAATTTACCTAAATCTGTTTCAAAATTGAAACAGTCATACTATAAAGAAAATCAGTCAGAGGATAGAAAACAATCCATGTGATTTCTGAGTCTGGACTTGCCTTCTGTGACTTTGAAGGTTCCCTTCATCTAAGACTCACCATTTCAGTTGGAGAAAACAATCCCTAGACTGCCTCATTCACAGGAGTGTTAAGGGGCTCAAATGAAGGGATAGATGTGAAATGCTTTAAAACACTGAATAACTCTGAAGGTTGTGTTCCTTAACCTTTGCTAATGGAAACCAATAATAACACACTACATTTAATGCTGTGCAGTTAACAATGTCTAGCTTTCTTATTTCATCTTTATAAAGATCTTGTAAGGTGACCCCATACCATTTCACTGTGACAACCTGAGAGCTTCAGCCCAAGCCTCATGCCATGGTTTAAAGCATCACCTTGGAGCTCATGGAGCTTGTGGGGTGATGGGAAGAGGTAGCCATGAAGCTAAAATTTGCAAAAATATTCCTCAAAGTAGTTGATACTTTAAAAAGTACTCAGCTGTTGTTAACCAGAAAACCATTCAATCAATATAATTTCTAATTTTGTATGACCTTTTTATCCCAGTTATATTTGTCATTGGCATCAGTGAGTGTGATATTTGGGAGAGAAGATTTGTTTCTACTAACTAGTAGGAATTGTGTTTCTCAAACTTTTAAAATGCCCTTTGGATAGTCAAAAATGTGCTATCTCCACATATCCTCATTTCTTTTAATTGTCGATTATAACTGTTAGTGAAGCCTTGCCAAAATCTTTTTTTTTTAACAGACATTTTCAGTTTATTCAATCAGTTTAGGGTTAGACAGACTTGAATTCAAATCCATTTTCAGTCATTTATAAGTCCTGAACTTTCGGCAACTCTTTTAAGCTTTGAATTTCAGTTTCTTCATCTGTAAAATTAAGATAATGCTTTTAGCATAGGTTTTGAGGAATCACCAATGAAATGGTATATGGGAAATGCCTAGTACTTCCTGGTATGTTATAGATGCTCCTTTTCTGTTCCTCCCCTCCTACCACTATTGGATAATAGGTTCTGTGAGTAGGTTCCTTCCCATGTTAATAAAATTTCCATGATTTATTATTCCCTTTAGTTATGTTTACTCTTTTCAAATTTAATTATACCAATACTAATTCTATATATTGTTTCAGCTCCAGGATATTAGCAAGTTGAAGCCACTTCAAGATTTGACTTCTCTGGTGCTGGTTGAAAATCCAGTTGTGACCCTCCCTCATTACTTCCAGTTTACAATTTTTCACCTCCGTTCACTGGAAAGTTTGGAAGGTCAGCCAGTAACCACTCAGGCCAGACAGGAAGCTTTTGAGAGGTTCAGTTTAGGTAAGGTAACTTTTAAAGAAAAATTAAATTTGAGTGGGGGAGGAATTCATTTTTAGATGTTACTCAGAAGAATATATTGCATTATGAGCTTTATAATGCCATTAAAATTGGCATGAAAAAAGTCATCATAAACTTATTAATTCAACAAGTATTTACTGAGCATGTACTGCGAGCCTGGCACTAAGGATATAGTGGAATTTTAGTAAAGAAGACAGACAAAAAGCCAGTGAACTCAGATGAGGTATGTAAGGAGAAAAATCCCCCTATTCCCCTTTTGGGAGAGGAGTATAAAAGAATGATTCTGAGGAAGTGATATTTAAGCTGAAAGCAAAGGCAAGAGAGGATCCGCCATATGAAGAAAGGTATTGAGGGAGAGGGAGCAGCGTGTCCTTTGAGGTTGGAAGACCCCGATGAGGTGAAGAACTGAAAGATCAGTACGACTGGAGGGTAGCGCAAGAGAAATTTTAGATAAGGAGAAATGAAGTAACACAGGGCCTTGGAGTTTGGATTTTATCCAGGTGTGCAGCTTTTTGTGGGGGTGGGACATAATCCATTTTATATATTTAAAAGATTGTTGATGTAGGATGAAGAATGATTTGGAACAGAGCAAACTGGAGGTAAAACTTTTGTTAGGAGACCCTTGCAGTTGGTTAGGGTAGAAATGTTGGTGGCCTATATGTAGGCGATGAATGTGGAATAGACCAATCAGTTTTGGAGGCAGAATCAGCCCCACTTCTAATGAATGGGATAATTCCCAGGTATCTAACTGAATAGGCAGTTAGATGGTGATATCCCTTATAGAAATGGAAAATTTGAGGATTTACATACAGAATTTGAATATCTGTAAGACAGCCAAGTGGAGATATCAAGTAGAATATTGGAAAAATGAGTCTGAAGTTCAAAGAAATCTGTACTAGAGACATAAAATTGGGAGCATAAAAATATTAAATTCCATGGGAATCAGTAAACTTACTTAGACAGGGGCTGGGAAGAGCACAATGGGGAACCTGACAGCGAGATCAGCAATTATTCTGAATCATATATAGTGGTATAAACCAATGTTACCTTAATAAAAGAATTAAAAATTTTAAAACATAATAAAAGTAAAAAGAAGAAATGTAAGAAGAGCACCCCTTGGAAGATGCCTCGCTTCACAACTGAAAACTAAAATACATCATTTAATAAAAGTAAATAAAACATAAGTAAATGGAATGAGCAGGCTATTGAGAGAAAGAGAGAAACCTACAAGGTAGGAGAAAACTAGGAAGTAGTGGGTTGCAAAAGCATAGAGAAGATTTCAGAAGAGGAAGTGGTCAGCTAAGTTGAATGTTGCTGAGATGTGAATTAAGATGAGCACAGAGATGTGCTTTAAATTGGCAACATGATCTTAGGGAGTGATTGGGACAAATGCTAGATTATAATAGATATTTTTTTGTTTTTGTTTTTGTTTTTTAAAGATGTATTTATTTATTTATACAAGCACTAGGTACAGTCAGAGGCGCGGGAGGATGAGAGAATTCACCAGAGCCAGAGTGGAGAGCAGAACAGGCAGACTGACGAAGTACACTGCTGAGGGGAGCAGCAGGCGGCAGGAGAGGTCTGCACGCCATGTGGGTCCCTGACCCAGTGGCCGGGGATCGAACCGGTGCTGCAGAGGCTGCGGGCAGCTTTGCAACCCAGCACTCAACCCCTGCGCCACCAGGGAGGCCCTGGATTATAATAGAGTGAAGAATGAATGGGAGGGGGCATTTGGGCAAAGAGTAAATAGAAGCAAAGAGGATATTCAAGAGTGCAGAGGACAGGCAAATCATGGCTCATTTGTTATGGTTTGAGAAGACAGGATGCATTAGAGGAAAAGAGAAAAGATTATCTCTTGGCCAAAGAGAGACTTTCTCCAGAAAAGAGGGAAAATGTATGCAGGCATTGGTAGTTTTTGTTGCTTTGGTAGAAAGAAAGTGAGGAATTTCCCACTGGTGGGGTGTTTTCTTAATGAAATATAAGATCATCAGCTGAGAAAACAGAAGGAGAATGAGAGATTTGAAGAGAAAGAGGAAGGTATGAAATAGTATTTTTAGAATGTTGGGAAATGAGACTGTGCATTCAAACATTTGAAATTGATGTCAGTCCATTTGACTTATAAAAACAGCAGTTTTAAATAGTTTGAGTCAATATTTGAGAAATAGAGTAAATTTTTATTAGTTTGGGATCCCTGACTCAACATTTGATGCCCCAAAGTTTCTATTTTGCAGTCATTAAAAATATAAATAAGGGCCTCCCCGGTGGCGCAGCAGTTGAGTGCTGGGTTGCGAAGCTGCCCACAGCCTCTGCAGCGCCGGTTCGATCCCTGGCTGACTGCGAGGGTCCCACATGGCACACAGACCTCTCCTGCCGCCCGCTGCTCCCCTCAGCAGTGTACTTCGGTCCTTCTACCTGTTCTGCTCCCCGCTCTGGCGCTGGTGAATTCTCTCACCCTCCCGTGCTTCTGACTGTATCCAGTGCTTGTATAAATAAATAAATCTTTAAATATATATATATATATATATATAATACAAGAAAAGCCATGATATAAATATACTATGGGAAGAAATGTTTAAACTACTAATGATGCATCCATGACTTTGAATAGTAAGTAGGAGCCTTTAATGTGCAGAGTTGTTGGGATCCAGAGGTAAGACAGAGGAATGTGGTTTCTGCTTTCCCAGAGCTTCAGTGAGGGAGGCAAACAGCTCAAATATTTGATCACATTTCACAACTCTGTGTGTGACAAGGTCTGCATTAAAGGTGCAGGGTGGTGTGAGAACATCCCTGAGATGCATCTAACCTGGAGAAAGAGTGAAGTCAGGGCAGGCTTCTCAAACCAAAAAAAAAAAAAAAGAGAGAAAGAGAGAATTCTTAGAATATAAGAACAAAATAGTGGTTACCAGAAGGAAAGGGAGAAGGATGGGTAATTGGAGCAAAAAGGGTCAATTGAATGGAGAAAGAGGGAAACTAGACTTTCAGTTGTGAACATAATGTAGTATATACAGATGTTGAGTTATAATGCTATGCATGTGAAACTTGTATATATAATGTTGTACATCAATTTTACCTCAATATAAAAATTTTAAATTAAATTACATGTTTTCAAAGAAGACTTTCCAAATTGCCCCAAACAAAAAATGAAAAATTCAAGACCTGGAGGATGTAAAATAGCCTACTAGGAAACAGAAAAGGCCAGTTTCAGGCAAAAAGTGTGAATAAAAGCCTGCAGGTCAGAAGCAGCATCACCAATTCCAACAAGTGGAATCATTTCAGAAAGACCACAGTGGGGTGTGTTTGAAAATGAGGCTGGAGAGGGAGTTTGGGACGAAAGCAATGAAAAGCCTTGACAGTTCTTTATGTAAGAATGGGGCCTAGGGCCTCCCTGGTGGTGCAGTGGGTAGAGTCTCAGCACTATCAAGCTTTCGCCAGCCACTGTGGCATGAGCATGAGTTCGATACCCAACCAGAGGATCCTTTCCTTTCTTGCCTACTGCTCCCCTCAGCAATGTATTTCAGAGATCTGCCTATTCTGCTCCCCACTCTGTCTCTGGTGAATCCTCTTATCCCCTGCATCTCTGTCCTACACCCCAGTTCTTGTATGCATAAATAAAAATAAATCTTTAAAAAAAAAAAAGAATGGATCCTATCCTAACAGTGATAGGAAGCCCTGAAGGATTTTAAGTTAGCACAGTATTTTGAAAATATGCTTGTAACATCCTTTAAAGTATAATTACTAATACCAAATTTTTTAATAAGAGGCCTGGGGAAAAAACAACCCTCATTTGTCAATGCATTAATTGAATTAAATACTTGGAAATAAAATGTTATCTTTTAAAATTGTTATCCAAGTAATAATACCTTTTTACCTTTAATGTAAATATAAATCAGTTTCAAGCTCAAAATAGTCTTTTTTCCCCAAAACCATAGTAAATCTTTTTTTTTTTTTTAAAGAGGCGTGGGACGGTGAGAGGATTCACTAGAGACAGAGTGGGGAACAGAACAGGCACACAGTCCGAAATACACTGAGGGGAGCAGCGGGCGCTACAGGAGAGGTCTGCAGTGCTATGTGGGATTCTCCCTGGCTGGCCAGGAGTTGAACCGGCGCTACAGAGGCTGCGGACAGCTTCACAGCACTGCACTCAACCCGCTGCGCCACCGGGGAGGCCCCATAGTAAATCTTTTTAAAAGTAGAATTGTATTTATACTGTTCTAAGACTTCTTAGACTTGCTAAGTCTTCTGAGACTTGCTATTCCTTGTGAGATAATTCTTACTTTTTTTCAAGTAGAAACTATAACCAGTAAACTATTCAATTTGTATTGGCAGAAGAGGTAGAAAGACTGGAAAGAGACCTGGAAAAAAAGGTGACAGAAACTGAAGAGCTTAGGAGCAAACAAGCAAGGTTTCTCGAGGAAATTAAAAACCAAGATAAGTTGAACCAATCCTTAAAAGAGGAGGCTGTGCTACAGAAACAGAACTATGAGGAGCTAGAGAGTAACCTGAATACAAAAAATGAATTGGTAAGTCCCTGTTTTACATTGGGTTGACTTAATTCTCTTAAAATAGTAAATTCTTTACCTGTAGGCCTAAAAACACAGTCTTCTGACTATAGATAGGGGAATATTTGGCTTAACAGAAATAAGTGCAAAAGATTATATGAGGGCCTCCCAGGTGGCGCAGCGGTTGAGCGCTGGGTTGTGAAGCTGCCTGCAGCCTCTGCAGCGCCGGTTCGATCCCCGGCTGCTCCCCGGCCGCCGGGGAGGGTCCCACATGGCGCGCAGACCTCTCCTGCCGCCCGCTGCTCCCCTCAGCAGTGTACTTCGGTCCTTCTGCCTGCTCTGCTCCCCGCTCTGGCTCTGGTGGATTCTCTCACCCTCCCGCGCTTCTGACTGTACCCAGTGCATGTATAAACAAAATAAATAAATAAATGAAAAACATGCCTCTATAAAAAAAAAAAAAAAAAAGATTATATGAATAGTCATTAACTGTGCTCTGTATGATGTCTGCCCAAGAGGTGAATGCTGTCTTCGGTGGCTATATTATGTATGGCATGCTGTCCAGAGCCAAGGGGAAAGGTAAAACACACACTATGAAGAATTGGTCAGACTGCCTCTACATGTTTGTATTTTTTAAAAAGAGCAACAATGTTAGTGAGACTGTATACTGGCAAAGACTTTTAGAAGACAATTGGCAAAGTTAGCCAAACTTAAAGGGACATACCTTTTGTCTTCTGCACTGGAAATATTACATGTAGTTATATTTCAATTGTTATGATATTAATTGGTATTATGTAATATGTAATATTTATCCTGGAAAGTGGTAAATCTGTAACTCAGAGTGATAAAATGTGCCCATATAAGAATAAGAAAGGTGCTAATAATCATATCTCAAAGGTATGTTTCCAGCAAAGAGCAGCAAATATTATTACAGTTTAATTTCTAGAGTCTCCAGGTGATGGTCTGTTTGCTCTTTCTCCCTTTAGCCCTTGTCTTGGTTTCTTGCAGACCCTCTTCTGCCGATTCTTTATTCTTCCTTAAAGGTAGTTCCTTCAGGGCTGACTTGCATACTGTGTTTTTCATGATTTGCATGATAACTTTTATTTATATATTTGTGTACATTTTAAGTTTTGAAACTGGCTTGCCTTCTTGAGAAATGTGCTTGTGTGTATATGTATAAGTTTTTTATAGATGTGTAAATAGGAGAGGAATTTGAATGTGGGGGAAGAATTTATAACATTTTTCAGTTGGTAAATATGTTAACTGCAGTCAGCTCTTGATTATCCACAGCTCATACCAGAACCCTGGACTCCAATTTTGCTCTTAGTTATGCTAAGCCTAGAACTATGAAAGACACAAAAGTATTTTAACACATGCACAAACACACACACACACACACACACACAGAGAGAGTGTTTGCTCTTATTTGCCTACAGAGACCCATCCATGCATTCTCCATGTTTCCAGTCACATTTGCCTTTGACCCTACTGCCAGTGATCTTTGGGGAAAGGCGTCCAAGATCAGTTGATACTATTGTTTGTGAATTGCTTTCTTGAGACATGGGAAATTGTGAGCATTCAGTGAATACAAGATACTCAATGTAGTAATACACTGGATACCCTGCAGTTGGCCATCAAGGCAGCAAAGTATAATAGTGTTGGATTTAAAATCAGGACACTTGAAAATTCATCTCTGCCTCTTCCACTGCCACTGTGCAGTTAGACAAGTTGTTTGACCTCTCTGTGCAGCTTTTATCATCTCTATAGGTTAACTGTGAAGACTCAGTGAGCTAGCACATTTAGATACTTTGTTGTCTGGCACACAGTGAAGTCTCATCAGTATTACCTTTTATCCAGGTTAGCATTAATTCCACACTTTGGCAGGTAATCAGGAGGTGACTGTAAGTTAAATCATGCACGTCTTTGATTTCCTGGGCCTTGTAAAATGTTCATGTTTGTTTATGTTTTATTCTTTTTAGTTTGCATTTTTACATTATAAAATTTTTCTGCATGTTTTGGGTATGGTATCTAATGTCAGACACTGGTTTTAAAAAAAGGCAAAAATCACTTAGTGGACCTTTGAAATGAACTCAAAGAATTGGTTGGTATACTGGTACTTAGTTAATAAGCTATTTAACTCCTTTCACTAATATATTGTGTAACTTTTGACAAATCAGTTCACCAATCTGGGATGTAATTTCTTTATAAATTCAGAGAATTAAATCAGATGATTTTTCTTTTAGCTTCAAAAATTTCTACAAATAATTTAAAAGTTGTAATTATAATAGAATTGCTTTATTAAAATATAACACTACATATTTGGGTCCGATCAAACTTATTCACATCCTCTGTTACAAAAAATAAAGTTCTGAACAATTGAAACTGAAATGCTGTACATTAGCCAAATACAACAGCCATAACAGTGCAATTAAAACCAATTTCATATTTTTTTTTCCTTCTCATTTCTCCTACTTCCTTTGTAATTAAGGTCAAATATCATATCCATCCATACTTTGGATGGAACAATCATTAAAATCATAGAGTAAGTCAAATAAATTAGTGCAAATTATTAGGAGAACAGGTACCAGACATTTAGACTAGTTACTTAAAAATAATTGATAGAAAAATCAAATACATGGGAATAAACCCTAACAAAAGAGGTAAAGGACCTTTACAAAGAAAACTATAAAACACTGTTAAAAGAAATAGAAGACACAAAGAAATGGAAAGACATCCCCTGCTCAAGGATTGGAAGAATTAACATTATCAAAATGGCCATCCTACCAAAAGCAATTTACAGATTCAATGCTATTCCAATAAAAGTTTCAGTGACATTCTTCAAATAAATAGAATATTGATGAAATTCATATGGAGCCACCAAAAACCCCAAATAGCCAAAGCTCCCCTGAAAAAAAAAGGAAGGGAATGGAGGCATCTCACTCCCAGGCTTCAAATTATACTACAAAGCCATAATAAGCAAAACTACATGGTATTGGACCAACAACAGACACACAGACCAATGGAACCTAATAGAAAATCCAGAAATAAACCCACAGATTTATGGTCAACTAATCTTTGACAAAGTAGCAAAGAATATGCGATGGAGCAAAGTTTGTTCAACAAATAGTGCTGGGAAAATGGGCTCGCTACATGCAGAAGAATGAAGTTTGACTACTATCTCACACCATGCACAAAAACCAACTCAAATGCATTAAAGAACTAGACATAAGACCTGGAATCATAAAATATACAGAAGGAAATATAGGTGAAACAAAGTCAAAAAATGCCAAAAAGAAACTTCTCCTAAGAGGAAATGCAAATGGCCAACAAGCATATGAAAAAAATGTTCAACATCACTTGTAATCAGGGAAATGCAAAGCAAAACTACAATGAGATGCCATCTTTCACCTGTGAGAATGGCACATATTTAAAAAACTAGCAACAACAGATGTTGGTGAGGATGTGGAGAAAAAGGAACTCTCCTGCTCTGATGGTGGGAGTGCAAACTGGTCTAACCACTATGGAAAGCTGCGTGGCAATTCCTCAATCTGCTAAAGATAGAGTTTCCATATGATCCAGCAATTTCATTCCTAGGTATTTACCCAAAGGACACAGAAACATTAATTCAAAAGGGCACCTGCACCCCTATGTTTATAGCAGCACTATTTACAATAGCTAAGCTATGGAAACAACCCAAATGACCAAAAATGGATGACTAGATTAAGAAGATGTGGTATATATACACAATGGAATATTACTCAGCAATCAACAAAGATAAACTCATGCCATTTGCAGTAACATGGATGGAGCTGAAAGGGATCATGTTCAGTGAAATAAGCCAGAAAGAAAAAGAAAAATACCGGATGGTCTCACTCATAGCAGGAATTTAGAAAATCTAAATAAGGGACCAGGAGAAAGACTAATTATAATAAAGTAAAAATCAAAATCAGCAAGCAACTGTAAACCAGAGACACACTACAAGGGGCTGGGGAGAAGAGAGTAGGATCAAAACTAGGGGGGTGGGAATTGTATGGGGACTATAACCAAGATGAAAATGCATACATTGTGCAAAAATGAGCAGTGATGTAAAAAATATATAAAATAAATTTTAAAAAATTAGACACAAAAAAATTGATAGAATTATTTTCATAGATAAAGCAAATTTAAATGATTCTTAAAATCTTCATTGAATTCTAAAATAGCATATAAACTTCAAAAGTCTTTTATGTAATCTCTTATGAAATAATTTACAATAATTATTGTATTTTACAATAATTATTGTAATTTACAATGAATTACAAAAATACAATAATTTTGTATTTCATTCTTTCTGTTACATTATACTTAATATAAAATGCTCTGAAGTTTGTGCTATGTGCTGTGGGGTTTTAAAAATATTAGTTGTGATTAGTTATGATTAGAAGTTGCCATACTAACTTACTGATCCTATATATTGTTTCATATCATATTGGGCCAATAGCTAAAACAGAAGACCATTGAACTAACGCGAGCATGTCAGAAACAGTACGAGCTGGAACAGGAATTGGCCTTTTATAAAATTGATGCTAAATTTGAGCCACTAAATTACTACCCATCGGAGGTGAGTTATTTCAGTTTTTTAATAACCTAAAATTAAGCCAGCATAGGGGTGCTATAGGGAGGGCAGGGGACTGAGACATTCCAAAGACTTTATCAATAACCACTCCACTTTCTTGTTATGAAGACACAAGCATAGTAAAGTGTGTTTTGACTGAATCTGCAAAATGTTTTGTTCAGTGAATTTGAGCATAGTCCAAAAGAAGAAAAAAGTACCAGCTGTATCCATAACCCAAAACAGCTGTCTAGCCCCCAGTTATCTCACTCAGCAATGTGGTTCTCATTGTCAGCTCCCTTAAATTCATACTTTCAGAAAAAGTGTACTACTTGCTTCAGTGACCACAGAATATCATCTCCCTACATTGTTCAATAATCGCTGGCTCAGTATAGTCAACATTATTTGTACAAAGTGCCATAAATGCCACTGTAAGAGATGTATCACTTATGACCCACTAAGTCTAATAACTAATCTGTTATAGAGTTTAAAAATGCAATTTTTTTTAAAGATTTATTTTTTATTTATACAAGTGCCGGGGTACAGGCCAGATGCACGAGAAGGTGAGAGGATTCACCAGAGACAGAGCAGAGAGAGCAGAACAGGCAGACTGACGAAATACACTGCTGAGGGGAGCAGCAGGCAAGAGCGCCTTGTGGGATTCTCGCTGGCCGGGATCAAACCCTCTGCGCTGCAGAGGCTGCGGACAGCTTTACAGTGTGGTGCTCAACCACCTGTGCCACGAGGGAGGCCCTAAAAATGCAATTATTAAAATTAATTAGACTGAGAATCTATATATAAACTAAGAAACCAAAATAAAACTTCTAGACTTCTGACTTTAGAGATTAAGCATGTGAGAAATCACATAACTGTAGGTAATTCTCTAATCAGTTAATCCACATTCACTCTTCAGGGATAGACGGGAAGAAGAATCCTTTTGAGATCACTTTTTTCCTAGATCCTTTTCTTGTATTAAGACAAAGATAAAAGAATGATACATATATTTCAACTTCTAGGCATGTAGGGTTAATATTTAGACAGTTTTGTCGTAGTTTCTTCACTAATAAAATCAATGTTTCTTGACAACTTATGTATTAAACCATAAATCTATTAATTGATTTTGTTTTTAGTATGTTGAAATTGATAAAGGTCCAGATGAAAGCCCTTACATTGGCAAATCCAGATACAAGAGAAATATGTTCACCACAGAGAGTTACATTATTGATAATGCCCGGCCAATAGAGATCAAGAGGATGGAACCAGCTGAAGGAGAACAACTTAAACATGAACATGTAAACCTGAGAGTACATGAGCCCCTGGACATACAACTAGAAGACAAAGAAAAAAAAATAACTGCAGGTTTAAATGCTATTTTAAATTCTTTAAAAATATAAAAGAATTGGACTATATAGGCAAATTTTGCCATACCCATTCTTTTAGTTAAGTATGCTGGAGGTATTGTTTACATGAAAAGTCTAAAACAAAAGTAGTGACTCATCAAGCAGATTACTTTTTAGTGATTCCTATTATGGTGGAGAATGGGGTTTTTGACAGTAGTTTGGTGATATCATATCCAGCGGTCCAAGAATCCTCATCCTGCCAACATGTCCTTCTCACCGTTGGAGCTATACATTCCAAGGCATAACTAGTAATAATAAAAACAAGGAAAGTACCACCTCACTGATAACTATGCATGTAGCATAGCTGTGCTTTGGATAAGCTAGATGAGTGTACTCTCCTTAGACTTAAGCCTAAAAACTCCCCTCTAACTTTTCCTGATCTATCGCACCTAGCCCCCAAAACAATTCAGGGAAACTTACCACCTTCTGGTGAGTCACAAAGAGGAAGAAGTCAATCTAATAGGGGACCTAGAGACCCTGCCAGTGACACTCTGAATCTTCTGACCACTAAGCTGCATAGATGGGGTAGGAGAAAGCAGTCCTGAGTGCCTGCTTCACATTAATAATCATGGCCCATCTTGGATGCTCACCAGTCAGATTAGCAGCTTATCTTCCCTTGATTGATAGTTAAATGGAAAACATAGAAAGCCAGTGGAGTTTAATCAGCAGGAGAAAAGACACTTAGTTGTCTGTGTCTGCATATACTAAATGCAAGGCTGTGTAGAAGAGAAAAATTAACAGATATGTGTGCAGACTATCATCTTGAGGCTCATAGTTTTACAAGAGGCAGGGAGGAAAGGAGAGAGAGAGGAATTGGAAATTTGAGGTAGAAAATAATTGATGTGAGATCACCTCCAGCTGAGAAGACTGTTCCATAATAAATTTCTTGATATTGCATCCCATCATATATAGCATTTGCCTCTTAACACAGTTTTTTTAAGGTTTATTTTATTTATTTATGCATACAGGAGCTGGGGTATAGGCGAGAGGGGCAGTAGCAAGGGTGGGGAGGGGGGCTGATGTAGAGGATTCACCAGAGAGAGTGGGAAATAGAACAGCTGAATCTACTGAAATACACTGCTGAAGGGAGCAGTAGGTAAGACAGGGAAGGTCTGCTAGGGCATGTGGGTTAGCTCCCTGGCCAGGAATCTGGATCTAATTAATGCTGCAGTGGCTGCTGATAGTTTCTTAGTGCTGAGACTTAATCCCTTGCACCATCCAGGGAGGCCCTCTTAGCACAACTGCTTATTTACCAATAAAATTCTTATTCTCTAAGAGTTCTTTAATGTTGGGAGTACCAAGTAAAGTCCCTTTTATGTTAAATTTATAAATAAAAGGATTGATTGTAGTTCTATAGCATGTTGAGATTATTCTAGAGAATAATAGGAAAACTAATATGAAATCACTGTTTTTTAGTCCTTTGATCTGTAATAACACCCATTAATTGGGAGGAGGAAGTTATAACAGAAAAAAATGGTAGAAATGTGAGAATTCAAGATTTTTCTTCTCTGTGTCTCTGTGCATGGCTTTTAAATTTGCAGCACAAACTCGACTATCAGAACTGCATGATAAAATAGAGAAAGCAGAACAACAAATTTTAAGAGCTACTGAAGAATTTAAACAACTGGAAGAAGCTATACAACTCAAAAAAGTATGTAAAAGCAGCAATGCTGAGAGGAAATACAAAATATGGACATTTTTTATAATAGTACTGGCCAAAGCTTTAGATAGATTGACTGATAGATGTAAATACTGTACATAATTTTTAAATAAATGGATGGAAAAATAACTTAGAAAAAGTAGTTATTTTAAGTGAGTAAATATATTCCTACATTTATCATTATACTATAAATTTGTTTAACATACTAATAACATGGATAAGTACTACATAAAGTCAGCCACCACGAATATTATGGTTATTTATAATTTATAAACTGCCTTATGCTAGAATGACAACTTCATCTCTACCTGCTATTAAATTATTAGTTTTCATAAACTTATAAGGTTTTTACATAAAAGTACAAAAATATAAGCTGAATGGAGTGCCTAGAGAACACCTACACTTTACTTTTATTAAAAAAACCTGGTAGAGCATAGAATAACTTTTTAAATTATGGAAGTTGTTTTCTTCAAATTTGTGAATCAGTGTTGCTGTTCTCTGTTAATCATGTGTTGGTTTGTGGGGGGGGATTAGATTTCAGAAGCTGAGAAAGACCTTCTTTTCAAGCAGTTGAGTAGTAAGATACAACTTCTAAATAAATTACGCCAAGAAGCTCTGGATCTGGAAATGGAGATGGAAAAGCAAAAGGAGGAAATTGCTGAAAAGCAGAAGGAGATCAGGGACCTGCAAATTACCATAGACAACCTGGATTCCAAAGACCCAAAACATGTGAGTAAACGAAGAGATGTTGGCCTGTTCTATGGGAACTAGAAAATTTTTCTAAGTATTTTATCTCATCATTTTTAGAAGCAGAGTCCCTGCTGAAAGTCTCTTTTAGTCTCTTGCACAAATTTGAGTGATATTATATGTATGTGTATTGAGTATAAATACATAATATATGTATACATATTATATATACATGTGTCTGCATATTTACATACACACATGCATTTACATACACACACACATTCGTGTGTGGGTGTGGGTGTGGGTGTTTAAAGCAAAACAACCTAGGCTTGAAAAAAATAACTTTTCGGTAGAATGATCAATGCATGGTACATTTTTTTCTAAATGGTTGAATCTAATTATATTTCAAATCAAGACACTTCATTGTGTCAAACCTGCTCCAAGTTGCTCTCCCAAGCCTCTTCCCCTTTCCCTCTCCCCGTGTTTTTTTTTCTTTATTATGCACAAAGTGGTGAGACAGGAGAGCTAAAGGGGGTTCAGAGATCTTTTTTTTTTTACCATTTCTTTAATCCTTTATGCAAGTATTATACTAAAGATATACATTGTTTCATATTGTTTTGTCCTTAAAAAGGAAATATTTCTCCACAGTATGTCTTCCTAAAATGTGGCCAGAGGTGGGCCTCCCAGGTGGCGCAGTGGTTGAGTGCTGGGTTGCGAAGCTGCTCGCAGCCTTTGCAGCACCGGTTCGATCCCCGGCTGCTCCCCGGCCACTGGAGGAGGGTCCCACATGGCGCGCAGACCTCTCCTGCCGCCCGCTGCTCCCCTCAGCAGTGTACTTCGGTCCTTCTGCCTGCTCTGCTCCCCGCTCTGGCTCTGGTGAATTCTCTCACCCTCCCGCGCTTCTGACTGTACCCAGTGCATGTATAAACAAACAAACAAACAAATAAATAAATAAAATAAATAAATAAAAAACATGCCTCTATTAAAAAAAAAAAAAAAAAATGTGGCCAGAGGTGATTAAGGGTTAGGTTCTTTTTACTGTCCCTGCCATGAGAAGTCTTACTAATGGCTTATATTTTATCCAGCATTTGAAAGGTAGAAATAAAGTATTCCCTTCATGTTTTACTGGTATACTTTGAGAAGTAAAGTGATTTTTAAAAATAATTTTAAGATTTCTGAACTAAGAGAAATTGTAAAATTTAATGTGGTAAGGACAATGAACTAATAATTGCTTTATTTACCTGTTTAATTATCCCTTTAAACATTTTAGTAAACTATCATAGATATTTTTTGCAGGTCAGCTAATTTTGACAAAGGGTCACCTCATCTTCATAGACATAAGGTCCTTTCTAACAAAAGCCTAAGACAGTGTTAAAATTGAAACCAAAAGTAGCTTTGACTACTTTAAAGAATTTTTATTACAAAAACAAATTGAAGATTTTAAGTAATGTGTAATATGGCCAATAATAGCTTACTAGATTATAGTTATTTGTTCAGAAGTCTGCCATCATCATAAGGCCGCTGAGGATAACCGAACTTTATCCCCACAGACTATGCTTATGAATGCTTTCATCAAGGCAGATAGGAAGGAAGCAATCTATAACCACTACCCAAATATCCTTTCCTGCCTCTTCTATGAGTCTAACCAGAATCCAGAACTATTTGTTTGCTTTCAGTAAATGACTATGATATTCTTGGCAGGCAGGGAGTCTAATGCTCATTGGATTTTTGTAAAGAATTACATATAGGAAAAAGTTAAATGAGAACTAGGAATGGCATCCAAGTGTTGAGGGTAGTCAAAATCAATTTGTGTTAGTAGGAATGAGATATACAAACAGATTTAAGGTTCCTCTTTGGTTTTGTTAAAATTACTAGAGGTTGCTTCATTCTTAAGGTTATAACCTTAGTGGGAGTGCCAGAGCATCACTGATTTGTTCACCCAGAGGGAGCATCATTTTCTAAATTGTCACCTTATTGACTAGTGACAGACACACCATTTTAAGCTACAAAATGTGAAAATTTTAGCAAAAGAGAGAAAATCAATATGTAATCCCTGCATATTTTTCTATAGCTGTAGGTACTTTAACTAGTTTTTTTTTAATCTAATCAAATGAAGTGTCTTTCCAAATAGCAAATAGCATTAAAAGTAAAAGCTTGTGAGATTAAGAAATAGTATGACTTAATAAGTGCCAGCTGTATATTTGCACTGTGCTGGGGTTTTTGCATATACTAGTGAGGAGTTTTATGTATCCATATGGGATTGGTGGCATTATATTTTCAATTTTCAGAAAATGAAAATGTGATTTTTAAAAGATTAAATGATTTGCCCAAGGTCACTCTTTTAGGAAAAAGTAGAACCCAGGCATATGCTAATATAAATGGCTCTTTCTCCACAAGAGAATTAAAGGTCTAAAGAGACTAGTTATGTTTAAAATTAGCTCAGAGCCAAGCCCAGTCAGGTTTTCAACAAAGCATTTAACTAGTTTTCAAAAAGTAAAGGTATTATTTAAAAGTCATATCTCATTTTAGGTATAAAAAATGTTAATAGCTAGAAACACAAATATCACAGTAGCAAACATCATAGAGGAAGATTTGTTTTCCTCTTTCCCATCTGGAAATGCTCTGTGCAAGTAAGTAACAGGTAACAGTTCTCTGGAGAGAATTTGCCTGTAGTAATCTGTTGCAAAGGCTGTGAGTGATTGGCCCTCCAGAGCTTCCTGTGTTGTGATTTAAAGTGAGGAGGGTGGGGCCTGCCTGCTCAATCTGCCTGTGATTGGGCGACTAGGCTGCCGCTCATCCCCACCGGGACTGTGCTTTGGAGCACTGGGAAGTTACAGAGGCTCCTAGGCGTTTACCAAAATGTGACTGTCAGAGAGGGAAGTGCACATGAATTTGAAGACAGCATTAGAAAGCGTTCCGCCCACAATTTCGCTGTTCTCAGCGGCTCAGTTTTAACCGGACAAAATTAAGGTATGATCATTTTCTCTCTGTACAAAGGACTTTAAAGGAGGAGGAGTCAGAGATGTAAGTTCCTGTTTCGACAATAACTCTTTTGTGAGCGCCGAGATAATGAAAAATCGCTCTCTGTTTTTGCACCATGTGTTTAATGCTTCGGCATGTTGAGCCAGTTGCCCTCCCCCCCCTCCATTTATAGAATTTATAGAATTCAGTGGAATTCTTAATGGTGAATTTTAAAGATTCATTGGTGTAGATAAGAGAGCAGGAGGGTTTTTTTAAATTCTTTCTTGACCCATAAAATCCTAAATTTGTGCAGAAGGTAAGCTGTATGTGCAGTTACCTTTTCAGAAAGATTTCAGATGGGCATTTTGAATGTGGCCAGGGAAGTTTTGAAAAGCCCATCAAATTTTACCAATAATGAAATAACCTTCCAATCATTTGGTCTTCAAAAACAAAGAGACTTTTCTTTCTTATTTTGGAGGCAGCAGACATCTAAAACTGAGAAATGTTCTTTTATAATCAAATGAGCTCTTAGACTTGGAACCTTGGAGTCTGATTTTCAGGCTGGGAGCTAGTTCTTTCTCTTGATATATTGTTCTGTTCTTCTCAGTCTGTGGAGACAAATGAGAGCAAGAAGAGTGTGAGTGAGAGGGCAGTGCTTCTTTGGGGAATTTTGTCTCCATATGAACAGTTGCCTATGGAATTATTTTCTCTCTCCATGGGCAATTCGTTTGATGGAGCTGATATTCGGAGTTGGCGAGATCATTGGTTCTCATTTTTGTCTCCCAGCATACCTGACAATCCACTCATTTCAGTTAATAGCTCCCTAATGTGATGACTATCAAGGGGTGAGAAGGTGTGTGGGTACATGAAAGCTCTTTTCCACCATGCCTTGTGTGGTAACTGAAGGGATGCCTCCTTAGAGCCTGACATCTTGAGAGTTGTTGGACTGAATGCTTTTTTTTAACGATTTTTTATTTATGCATACAAGAACTGGGGTACAGGCCAGAGGTGTGGGGGTTGAAAGGGCCCACCAGAAACAGAGTGGGGAACAGAACAGGCAGATCAACTGAAATACACTGCTGAGGGGAGCAGCAGGCAAGACAGGCGAGATCTGCTGCGCCATGTGGGTAGCTCCCTGGCTGAGCGGGATCAAACTCATGCTGCAGTGGCTGCAGATAGCTTCATAGTGCTGTGCTCAATCCCTTGCACCACCAGGGAGGCCCTGGACTGAATGATCATTGCAGCTTCCCTCAACTCCCAGTTTATGGGACCTAAAAACAAAATGTTTGTTTATATCAGGGAAAAAAACTTAAATTCCAAAATAGTATTTATTCAGAACTCTTTTTTTTCCCCCCAAGGTATTTTTTTTTAAATAATAAATTTTATTTTTATATTCCCCCATACAATTGCAAACGCCCCATTCTGACCCCAATCCTTCCCCTCCCGCCCCCCACCCCCCAAAAAGTGTCTCTGGTTCATAGTTTTTTGTTGATTTTGATTTTCACTTTCTTATGTTCATTTTCCTGGTCCCTTATTTAAGTTTTCTAGATTCCTGCTATGAGTGAGACCATCTGGTATTTTTCTTTTTCTTTTTGGCTTATTTCACTGAGCATGATCCCTTCCAGCGCCATCCATGTTGCTGCAAATTGCATGTGTTTATCTTTTTTGAATGCTGAGTAATATTCCATGGTATATATGTACCACATCTTCTTGATCCAGTCATCTATTTTTGGGCATTTGGGCTGTTTCCAAAGCTTAGCTATTGTAAACAGTGCTGCTATAAACATAGGGGTGCAGGTGTTCTTTGGAATTGATGTTTCTGTGTCTCCCCCAAGGTATTTTTAAAGTACATTTAATGTGGTGTTTTTTGGGGAGGAGGAGATTAGAAAGTTATGTTACTTATCCATTATAAAACTTTCTTAATATAAAAAAATCATTAAAAAAAGGAAAACATACCTCCACCCATATATAATCCTTGCTAATATTTTGGAATATAATCTTTTTCTATGGATAAATATATATTTATAATCAATTAATTTTATGGAAACCTTTTTAAAAAGACATATTTTAATGGTGTGCAAGGAACACTTGAACTTGACCACATTACCAGCTAGCTGTGCTCTTGGAAAAAATCATTTAACCTTTATGATCCTCAATTTTCTCATCGATAAAATGGAAATGATTCCCATATCAGGTTATCATGAGCTTTAAATGAATACCATTCACATGAAAGCAACACAGGGCCTAGCACAAAATAAATGCAGATTGTTGCATTTTATTTTTCATTCTTCCTTATTTAGAAATATTGTTAAGGGTTATTATTTTCTTAAAAGGTTTAAAGAATTTATTGTTTTGTTTTGTTTTTCAATTCAGTGCCATATGAAGGCTCAGAAAAGGGGTAAAGAACAACAACTTGACATTATGAGCAAGCAGTACAAACAACTTGAAAGCCGCTTGGATGAGATTCTTTCTAGAATTGCTAAAGAAACTGAAGAGATTAAGGACCTTGAACAACAGCTTACTGAAGGTGAGAATTTAAGTGTGATTTAGGTAAATTAGTTTCAATGTTAATAAAAGACAACCTATACAGCCATTAATGCAGATATTAGCCGAATACTCTTCTGTTATTAGTGATTGTCTTTAATGAGGAAATATTTGCAGACTACCCAGAAGTGTTTAATAAAATTAAAACATTTAGTTCAGTTTTATTCTTTTGCTGTCCTAGTGAGCCAGGTTATTTAGGCAAGAAGTGGACGCATGATCATCATGAGCTCTTGCATTTGCCTTCATAAGCGAAGAATCATTGATATCAGGCTTTCAGTGTCTAGTTATAAGAAGAGAGTAAAAAGAATTTCAAACTCTACTTTTGCAGTGCAATTTTAAATTGTGGCATTGCCATAATAGTGGAGGCGAAAGATGGTTGGTGTAGTGGGGAGAGACTTGACTTGGTGTGAAAAGATCTCAGTCCCTATTTTGCCATTTTCAGCTGTTATTTATAACTAACAAGTTATTTCTTTCTATCTCTACCATTAGTTGTCAGAAAGATTAAATGAGATAGTGTTCATAAAGTGCCTGATATATCGTAGGTACCCAAATATGGTAATCTTTTAATTTAATTTTTTTTATTTTTAGTCTTCACGTTGCACATTTATACTACAGTCCTGAATTAGTCTTGCATGTTGACTGGTTTTGTTTTGTGTATCTTAGCAGCAAGAATTCAGTTTTGCTGCACATTTCCATTATTTTATTTGCAAATTGCTACTTTAAAACTTTTTGCAGTATGAATTAAGCATTTTCTAAACAATGCCCACTGACTATACTATACTATTTCTGTTGTGTTGTCTAATACTCCTATGGGTAATAGAAGAAAAAATTTTATCTTAAAAAAGGAAAATGAGGGCCTCCCTGGTGGCACAAGGGGTAAAGCACTGCACTATGAAGCAATCCACAGCCTCTGCAGCACGAGTTTGATCCCCGGCCGGCCAGGGAGCAACCCACATGGCGAAGCAGACCTCTCCTGCCTCGCCCGCTGCTCCCCTCAGCAGTGTGTTTCAGTCAGTCTGTTCTGTTCCCCACTCTGTCTCTGGTGAATCCTCTCATCCCCCGCATCTCTGGCCTGTACCCCAGCTCTTGTATGCATAAATAAATAAATCTTTTAGAAAAAAAGGGGAAAATGAGACAAGACATAATTGAAAGCCTCAAATTTCATTCTTAGAAAGTAATATCTAAAGAAACTAAATGCAGTCTTTATTTCGTTATCTTGAAAGTACTTTCTTATATACATTATTACCTTCCTTTCCCCCAATTTGCTTAGGCCAGATAGCAGCAAATGAAGCCCTGAAAAAGGATTTAGAAGGTGTTATCAGTGGGTTACAAGAATACCTGGGGACTGTCAAAGGCCAGGCAACTCAGGCCCAGAATGAGTGCAGAAAGTTACAGGACGAAAGAGAGACATTGCTGCAGAGACTGACTGAAGTCGAACAGGAGAGGGACCAACTTGAAATAGTTGCCCTGGATGCAGAAAATATGAGGAAGGTATGATTTGCTTCTTCTTGCCTCTTTTCCTTAGCCTTAGAATCAGATGGTGCCCAAATTAAGTTAGCTAAGGAGATAGCAAGGTGCATTGATGTGCCAAAAGTATTAGTGGCTTTTTGGTGTTTTTTTCTTTTGCTTTCATTATAATATACTTGGAATCATTATTTTTTCCATTAGGAAAAGGAAGGTCATTTTGAATAAATTTCTATCCCTGAAAGGTATTGTTATCTAAAAACTCCAAAGAATGAAATAGGCAAATGTTGTATTAAATGTTCAGATTTTATTATTTGTGCAGCAAAATTAAGCACAACCTAATTTGCTTTATCGTTATTACACAGTAGTGTAAATTATACCTTAGGGTATCTGATTTGTTGCCATTTACTTGGAGATTTCACTTGCTCTATTTTAGTTTTTGGCATACTTGTCATGCTAGAGAACCCAGATTCCCAAACCTCATCCTCAGTAGGGCTGACTTTGGAAATTTGAATTAATATCTTTTAATATTTTGAAACTTCTCAGGGATATCAAAATATCAAAAGTAATATTTAATACCATGTACTCACAACTCAACTTAAGAAATAGAACATTGAAGATGTATTTGAATCCCTCTGCACACCCCCTTCTAGAGGTAACAAAGTCCTGAATATGGCTTTTAATTATATACACTATGACAGCCTTTTATATAAATCCTAAACTTAAGTAAAACAATACTTTTTTTTTTAAGAGCTGTACATCTCTTAAAAATAAGAATTTTTTTCCTACATTGTGATACCTTTATTATACCTAGAAATGTTAACTCTAATACCTGTATCATATTCAAAATTCCCTTATTGCACCAAGATGTTGAGTCAGGGTTTTATTTTCCCACCTAGATACACATAGCCTTCAGCTTCGTCATACTGTTAATGAGCATTTTATTTACAGTACTCAGGATCCTTATAATGACTTGCAAATGCTTACAGCAGAGTGTGCGTTCTGTAGTTAAACATGCACTGAATCCCTCCAGGAGCTCGCAGAGCTAGAAAGTGCCCTCCAGGAGCAGCATGAGGTGAACGCATCCCTACAGCAGACCCAGGGAGATCTCAGTGCCTATGAGGCTGAGCTAGAAGCTCAACTAAAAATAAGGGATGCAGAAGCCCACCAGCTCAAGGAAGACTTGGAAAAACTTACAAGACTCAGCCAGGTAAGTAGGAGCATAAATCTGTCTAGAGACCAACTAGCATGTGGCCTTAACTCATCAGCTTTAATTTAATGTAAATTTAAACTTTTTTTTTTAAAGATTTATTTTTATTTTATGCATACAAGAGCTGGGGTACAGGCCAGAGGTGTGGAGGATGAAACGATTCACCAGAGACAGAGTGGGGAACAGAACAGGCACATCAACCAAAGTACATTGCTGAGGGGAGCAGCGGGCGAGTCAGGAGAGGTCTGCTGTGCCATGTGGGTTGCTCCCTGGCCAGCCAGGGATTGAGTGTCTGGGGAGCAAATTTGCGCTGCAGAGGCTGTGGATAGCTTCACAGGCTGTGTCTTAACCCCTTGCGCCACCAGGGAGGCCCAGTTTAAACTCTTAAATATAATGTATATGGAGTTATAGAAAGAGTTCATTTTTGGAATCGGATATTTACCCCTTGAGAGCATGGCTAATCAGTTCCGAAATCCGGACCTCTAAATACCTTCTCATGTGTAGAATGGATTATGGTAAAGATAGTGATAATGATCATAGAAGCATCTTGTAGTTGGTATTCAATAAATTCTCGTTTTTCTTTCTGAAAACAACTTAAAGAGAGCTCTTTTAAGTTGATGTTAAATTTTATTTTGCTACTTTATATTTTAGTTGGGTGAAATATCCACTAGTTCAAATTATACTTGCAAATTAGAAAATTAATTATTTATTCAGTATTTATTTGCCACTGAAGGTCTGGAGTTGTGTATGCTGCAGTGGACAGCACAGTCATAGTCACTGTCCTTGTGAAGTTGAGAATCTACAAGGTGAAGCAGGTGTATGAGAAAAGTAGGGTGGTCAGGGAAGACTGTCTGACAGGGAGGATTCAGTCAAGACTTGAAGTGTGAGTAGGATTTGGATGTACAGAAGGACGAAGGATGAAAACGGCAAGGGTAAGGGATGAATACTCTAGGCTTCTCTGTGTGGGAGCCAGCACAGTGCATTGGAAGTGCCGAAGTATGCCTCCAGTGTCCCAGGAACAAGGAGAGGAGTAGGAAAAGACAGAGAGAAATAAACACAGAGAGGCAGTGAGAGGTTAATTATAGTACATTCTATCAGATTGCAAATGCAATTTTATTTAGCTATCAGCCAAATGGGCTGTATCTTCCTCCAGGAAACATACCCAGATGTTCCCCCTCTGCCTGCTGAAAGTGCGGGTTGAAGACTCCAATTTCGTTTCCCTGAAGCTTGTGCTTTGTCAAAACGCTTTGTCAGGTGTATGATGATCATCTGTTTAGATGGTCTGTCTCCCCTTCTAGACTCTGCGCACAGCATATGCCCAGATTGTAGGTGCCTAGCCTGTAAGAGGGGTCAGTATGTACATAGTGGATGAAAGTGAAATAAATTAGAGAGTTTGAATCCTGGGGACACATGTAGAGTAGCATTCATGTGATTGGAAAAGGAAATAAAAATAGGTTTAGCTTACTATAGTAATTATGATCATTTGTATTCCTGTATTTCCGAGATATTAAATGACAGTTTGCTAATTGTCAGGATTATATTTATCCAGATTGTCAAATTTTACAAATCTATAGTTGATAAAAGTACAGAAAATAGGCTAGGGGAAAGCAATTAAAATAATAGTAGACATATATCTTTAAATAACAGTAAGTACAATTTCTAGATGGCATCTCAAATAAATTCTCCTCTTAAAGGTTTTTAAGCCCGCCTTTACTAGCCCAAAATGCATTGTCCTTTATACTTCCATTATCCTTTGTCTTTTCTCATGAATCTTGACAAAATTATTAAAACAGCCTGGTCTTTTCACAAATCCACTGAGTAGTAAAAGGGACACTTTCTTCCTCATCAGCAGGACTGCCAGGACTGGTCCTCAGACCGCATAGACCATCACAGCTGAGATTTTCAATTATCTGCATTTTCATAGGCACACCAAGAGATTTTGATGCAGGTATTTGAGGGCCTTCATTTGAGAAACACAGTCTTAGGGGAAAAAGAGCAATAATTGTTGGTTCACTCACAGAGCTTTTAAAAGTAGGTACTGGGGCCTCCCTGGTGGCGTAGGGGGTTAAGTCTCAACACTATCAAGTTGTCACCAGCCACTGCAATGTGAGTTTGATCCCCGGCCAGGGAGCTGACGCACATGGCACAGCAGACCTCTCCTGTCTCGCCTGCTGCTCCCCTCAGCAGTGTATTTCAGTAGATCTGCCTTTTCTGCTCCCCACTCTCTCTCTGGTAAATCCTTTTACCTCTCCCCTGCATCTCTGGCTTATACCCCAGTTCTTGTATGCATAAATAAATACAAATAAATCTTTATAAATAAAAGTAGGGGGACCCACCCCTGGTGATTCTGATTTGGTCTTTCTACGATGAGCTGATTCTAACTCTTCCCTAAGTGTTCATTTCAGGAAGCATGTGAAAAATTACCTCAGGCTTTTAAAATCTGGCACACAAACATAATACTGAGTCATAAACCATAGTATGTAATTTTATTTATGCCTTTTTATATCATGTATCACTATTTGATGTTTTCATATCATTGCTTCCAATGGCAATAGTTAGAACAGTCAGCCCTTCAAGCAGAACTTGAGAAGGAAAAGCAAGCCCTCCAGAATGCCCTCGGAGAAGCCCAGCTCTCAGAAGAAAAGGAGCAAGAAAACAGTGAGCTCCGCATGCAACTTAAGCAGCTGCAGGTAGAGACTTGTTTGTTCAGAATATATTCTTACATAGGACACTCAAAGTGTCCTTTGTTTTAAATCAAACACCTAACCAATTCTAACATGTAGCAAGCAACCTGAATTATTAGAAAAAGGGAATTCTGAGGGGAACAGTGCCATAGTCTCTGTTCCCTTGTGAGCCCATATTGTAAGATCATTACTATGCATATCTTTTGTGTTGTTATGATGTTGCAGAGATGGAGGCGGTGTTGATAGTAAGGAGAGAAAACTTTGTAAACGCATGGGTGAAAGTTAACACCTTCCATTTCTCCTAGCAGCAGATTTGTCACCAGACTCAGCTGAAAGGATCCGATTGGTGCATTCTTCTTCCACTGAAATATCTTTGTGATTATCCAGGAATTTAACTAGAGTGGGTTACAGTAGAGCTTCTTAACTGTAAACAGTTATCACAACCCCCTTTCCAGAGGGGATGTTACCAAAAATGCAGTCCTTTTACATTTGTGGGGTCTTCTTTAGCAGAATATTTTTACAGCTATTGTCACAATAATTTGCCCAACAAATGGCAAGAGAAGCAGATGGACATGATTTTCCAGATAATTAAACTTTCTCAAAGAGGGCAGATGGCTGAACAAGCACCTGGGTCAAGGCTCCAAATCTGCAAGCTCTGGAGCCACTGGGCAGACAGATGGCAGCTGTTACACTTCACTGGAGATGAAAGGGCAGGGTGGCTGTGGTTTGGGAAAAGATTTCCCAAAAATTGTTCTCCAGCGTTCTCTCTGCTTCTCTGCTCTCCTGCTTCTTCTGGTGTCCCCGTGACACCACCCTTAAAAGCCCATTCTTAGCCCAGGTGAATCCCATCTATAGATGCCCACACCCTACTCCAGGTGCCCGCCATCAGGCATGCATTCAGGGCCGCAAATTTCTGTCATCTATCCTAATGGCGGGAGGGCAGAAAAGCCTGATACTTTTTACCTTACCCTACACACCCCTAAATATATCAGTATACGGGGCCTCCCTGGTGGCTCAGGTGGTAAAGCGCAGCGCAGTAAAGCTGTCCGCAGCCTCTGCAGTGCCGGTTCGATCCCCACCAGCCGCGGAGCAACCCACATAGCGAGGCAGACCTCTCCTGTCTCGCCCACTGCTCCCCTCAGCAGTATATTTCAGTCAGTTTGCCTGTTCTGTTCCCCACTCTGTCTCTGGTGAATCCTCTCACTCTCCCGCACATCTGGCCTGTACCCCAGTTCTTGTATAAATAAATCAATCTTAAATAAAATAAAATAAATATATCAGTATACATAACCAAAGGAAAAGGATTAAAATACTTCTACAGGGATCTTCTCCTTTAAGACAGAAACTGAACTTGGCTTCCAGAATAGTGACCTGTGAGCAGTCCTGTGAGACTGCTTAGCTGGAACTGGACTTCACGTGACCGCCTGACTGGCTGAGATCACACACAGCTAAACTCACTTTACATTTATTTGTTGGAAATCACATCTTCGTTGTGAACCAAATCCTACTAACACTTGCTCAATCAAGGAGGCAGCCTGCTAGGAACCAGAATAGCTTTCACTGATTCAAGGACTTCACAGATCCCTCATCTCCCCTTCCTTCCTTCCTCCTAGCATTGCATTTGACTGGAGTCCCCAGGCCTGAGCTGACATGTGTTTACAGGTCGAGCTCCTGCACAGACTTCCTGTACTGAATCTTGGTATAAATGTTGGAGAGAGTGAGTTTGTTTTGTATCTAGTGAGTGGATGGGCTGGTTTTGGTCCCTCATCTGAGGCCAGATAGATAATAGTGCAAATATGGGCAGCTGAGCATAGTGGGCAGAGAGTGTACATAGGTTAGCGATTCCAAATGGGACACCACTTAAAAACATTCATTGCAACTCTGATTTCTCCATATTAGTTCATAATGTTATAGCTCCCTTGAAGTCAATTAGTCATCCAGGTAGACCGTAGGTATCTAAGTGCATACAGTCAATAGCTTAGGATGTGGAACTATTTTTCTTCACAATTTAGGAAAATTTTCACAGTTTCTTTTTACTTGAAGCGCTGTGTGAATTTAATTCTTGGGTTTAGGTATGTTCCTTTGTTATATCTTCCTTTGTTTGAAAACATGCTGGTTATAACATATACTGCCACAGAGAATTAGAACTTACTAGGAAAACTTGAGTAGCAAATGTTCCATTTTTCGGTGGATTCACAGATGGAGCAAAACATAATAAGGAAGTGATTTTGGTTTGTTTTTTTTTTTGACTTTGATGCCTGGTTATGTCTTTTGTAACTTTAGTTTGGTCAATAAATTGGTCACCTATTGTCAGCCCAAGTGGAAAAGCTTTTGAAAAATTGGTAAAGGAAGTTAAATAAAACTACCATATGACAGATAATGCTGGCTATATGTATATGTGGGTGTATTTTTAATTTTGTTTTAGTAACTTTTATCCCCCCACTTCATCCCCTCCATAGGATGACAATAAACTGTTAAAACAGCAACTTAAAGATTTCCAGAATCATCTTAACCATGTAATTGATGGTTTGATTCGTCCAGAAGAAGTAGCAGCTCGTGTGGATGAACTGAGAAGAAAACTGAAATCAGGAGCAGGAGAAATAAGGTAAGGGGAATCAAGCACCCTGAGTAGAGAGTGGGGTGAGTTGTAAATGTTAGGGTCAGTGATGAACTTACCTTCCCAAGTGTGTGTTTGTTTCCTTACACCCGCCCTTATACCACTGTGACCCTTTCTCCCTTCCCCTCCTCCCACCCTCCTCTTCAGAACCTTGCTTCATTTATTAATATCTGCTAGTTTTTATAAGTATTTTGTTTTATTGAACTGCCTGCTATGTAAATGTCTCATGTTCGTCCTTGTCATTTTGACTTGCTTTACTGCATGTAATTCTGTCAATCTCATTCCATTTTGCACTTAGGAAATGCTCACTGAGTTGCTATGTCGCCAGCATATTTGTACCCAGCATCAAAAATAAAATGCCATGTTACCATTTTTTTTGCCCCTTACCAGAATCCATAGTCCTTCAGATGTCTTAGGGAAGAGTCTTGCTGATTTGCAAAAACAACTCAGTGAAATCCTTGCACGCTCCCAGTGGGAAAGAGAGGAAGCACAAGTGAGAGAAAGAAAACTGCAAGAAGAAATGGCTCTGCAACAAGAGAAACTGGCATCTGGACAAGAAGAGTTCAGGCAGGCCTGCGAGCGAGCTCTGGAAGCAAGAGTAAGAAAAGGGCAAGAGGCAGCTAGAGGGAAGCATTTGGCAAATATTCGTGTTTTTCAGCAAATTACAATGCTCTCTTTATCATGTAAATAAAGTATAATTATTGTTATTTTTACTTATAACTAGTCAAGCTGGGTATGACTAAAATTCATCTCTGAAAATGTTTACTGATGTCAAAGTTAGGCCTCTATGAGTTTTCCTAGTTTTGGAAACATGCAGGTATATCACACCATATTGCTGGAGTATATTGTGTGATGCCAGAATCTGATTTTTTGGTACAATTATTTCAGTGATGAGGCAAATACTAAAATGGATGCTAGGGAACATTCAAGATAAAGCCATCTCCCATGGTTCATTAGTATAAAATTTCATCATGCTCCTTAGTCAAATGAATTTCCTAAAAAGTTTTTATTTTGCTCAAAAACCATCTTTGAAACTTGATTTCCCCACAGATTAATTTTGATAAGAGACAACATGAAGCAAGAATCCAGCAGTTGGAAAATGAAATTCACTATTTGCAAGAAAATCTAAAAAGTATGGAGGAAATCCAAGGCCTTACAGATCTCCAACTTCAGGAAGCTGATGAAGAGAAGGAGAGAATTCTGGCCCAGCTCCAAGAATTAGAAAAAAAGGTTGGGAAAACTAGAAGAGTGATATGCGTGGGTCCTTGCTGCTGAGGTCCTTTCCCTGGCTGCATTGCCGGCCCGGATGTGAACCTGACCTGGGGAAAACCTGACTGCGTGTCATCAAATCTAGGGGCTGAGGCCAGGAGGTCGTTGGAGGTAGAAACGAGACCTGGGGATGTAAGTAGTGACCTCAGAGTTGCTGGATGGCACTTAAACGCTATGAACATGTTTTTTCCTAGCCCACCGGAACATCTCTGTGGAAAATTACTTTGAACCCTTCATCTTCTTTTCTAATACCTACCCTGACCTGTCCTTGAATTTCTCCATTCCACCTCAGCCAGCTACTCCCATGGTCCACATCCTAGACCTTGTCCAATTCAGAGATTGTGTGTTTCTGCCCCCTCTGAAATCTTAAACTGAAACATTCCATTCTGATCATAAACTCTTATCTGCTAGTACCCTCATACTGTTTGACAATTTTCACACTATTGAGAATTTCAGTGCATTAGGCTCTACCTTTTCTGTCAAGTCTTCCTGTTTTTATGTTTCTCCTTGTCCAAGTTAAATTTCAACTTAAAGTCTGCCACAATTATCAATTTTTTTGCAAATATGTATGTTCAAATCCCTTGTCCTTTTCTCCTATCTTATTTCTGACACTTTTCACTCTTCACACGACCCCCTCTCCCTTCTCCCAGCCTCAGTGAATGACTCACTTCATACTTCACTGAAAACCCATCAGTCAGAACCCATCAGTCCAAGTCCCATGGAGTCAGCTTCCAAAAGGCACTAGGCTTGGCACAGGGCAGGTGGCAGTGAACAGAATCCCTGCTCTCATGGAGTTGCGATCATAACTCATTGCTACCAAATGACTCATATGTTTAATGTTTCTTTTCTTTTAGAAGAAATATGAAGATGCCAAATCTCAAGAGCAGTTCCTTGGTTTGAATAAAGAACTGAAGAAACTAAAGAAAGCTGTAGCTGCCTCTGATAAGCTGGCCACAGCTGAGCTCACCATTGCCAAAGACCAGCTGAAGTCCCTTCATGGAACAGTTGTGAAAATTAACCAGGAGCGAGTGGAGGTGAGTCACATGTACAGAATTAGTTTCACCAGTGCTGCTGTCATGAAAAACATAGCAACTTGCATTACTGACTTCTCATAGAAGTTAGCTATTTTATAAACCACTGTACATTTGTCTGTTTCTCTTCGCATCTGAAGGTTAGATTTCCCCCAGCCCAGCCCCACCAGGGTCCTTTATTCTGTGGAGTTGTGCAGGGACCCATCAAATGAAGCATACATACCTCTCTCAAGGTGCAGGATCTGCCTGGGGAAGTAGCAGTCTATGCACACCTGAACAGAGGTCTTTGACCCTCCTGAACCTCAAACTTTTCATCTTGTGCAGTCAGATGATAATATGTCCCCTCCTCGAATGTTAATGACTGCTGGGATAAGTCTGTTTTAATCTTTATAAGGTGCGGATGCTAATAGAGCACAGGAGAGGAAATGATGAGCGTCCGGAGAGATGCCAGTCACAGAAGACTGTAGAACCACTCAGAAAAAATTAGCCTCCTGATCTTTCTGATGCAGCACCCTGCCCAGTTGGCCACCACAGAGGGGTAGAGCAGGCGGCCACGTGGTGGGGACAGCACAGGTGTCCTGTCCCCTCTTGGTGCTACCTCTTAAGGGATTTCAGGCAGGCAATATGAAGGAAACAAAAGAACCTGTCTGACAGGAAGGAAGAATGAGAGGACAACCTTGATAGCAGGGCGCCTTTCTCCCACCTCTGTCCCAACAGGAAATGCAAGAAACAGAGTGGTTCAGCAGAAAGGCAGCACAGGCGGCCAGGGATCTGACACGAGCAGAAGCGGAGATTGAACTCCTACAGAATCTTCTCAGGGAAAAGGAGGAACAGGTCAGTGCTAGTGCCCTCCTCTTTACTGGGTCCTGATGAGTTCCTGAAAGACTGAATTACTGTAGGCAATGGGTCAAAGAATTTGAAGTGCAACCAGTCGTTACTCAATACTCTATTCCTCTGCTGTGTTCCAGGCACAGTGTAGTTTAAATATGAGGAATAATCCCAAGTACATCTGGGAAAGAATATTTATTAGTGATTTTGTGTGTGGTTTTTCAATAGTTTCGAATTGAGATGGAGAAAGTAGACGTTGGCACTGGAGGAACAGACTCACAGGTGCTAGAAATTGAAAAGATGAATGAAACAATGACGAGACAAAGGACAGAGATTGCAAGGCTGCGGAATTTACTGGACCTCACCGGGACTGGTAAGGTATTAGGCTTTGATTTAGGTAGTGGTTTTGTAGTTATTCTAAAATCAAATCATGCTATTTGGCTTTTACTTTTAACAAACCTATTTAACTGTTATAGATCACTTCCATGCTTGATTTATGTAACTGTGATAACCAGCAGGATATGTTGATCCTCTTTAAGTGTTAGAAAAAACTTGTCACCAACAGGTGGGGTGAAAATCGGTTTTGCAGAACTGATAAAACTCATTAGCTCTCGCTGGAATCACTTTTGTATCTAGAGACAGAGGAAGTAGATGATTTCATGCTCAGCTTCATAGAAAGGCTTTCTTTTACAGATAACAAAGGAAGCTTCGAAAACATTCTGGAAGAAATTGCAGAACTCCGGCGGGAAGTTTCTTACCAGAATGACTACATCAGCAGCATGGCAGATCCTTTCAAAAGACGAGGCTATTGGTATTTTATGCCGCCACCATCATCATCAAAAGTAGGAAGTCTGTGGTGCTGGGAATGTCTGTTGAATTTTCTTGAAGAAAGTGTGACAGTGTTCCCTTCCCCAATTTTGTGAGCAGTTGTCAAGAACAGCTTCTCTATGCTAAGCCACATGTTGAGGTTTTTAAGGGTGTTTCATATTTGAGGTGAAAAGAGACCCATCCCTGGGAAGATGGCTCTGGCCTGTTTGGGCTCAGGTGGCATGTTGTTGAATGAGGATGCCATGAGGGGAGCAGCCTGGACAGCTTGTTGAAAATAGGTGTGGAATTGTACAGAGGCTCAGACAGAAAACAGGCACCTGGACTTCACTTCATTTGAACAGATGCTCGTTCAGTCCAGAATGGAGAGCAGGTTTAGTCCCCGCTCTCAAATACCTCATGGGACACATATGCCGATGTCATTGCAAAATAGTGACATGCGTGTGACAACTGACTTGACCTGTGTGCTTTAGTGAGAAGGGAAAAGGATTCCTGTCCTGGGGGAGTTGAGGAGGGAAAGCTTCATGAGCACTTGGTGCGCCTCAAGAATTGGGCCTTTAGGTGGGAGGAAGCAGTTTGTGTGGAAGAGGTGAGTTGCTTTAGCATTGGCATGGAGCCTGATGGGGCTGGAGAGCTGGATGGGAACAGTGAAGGTGAAGCTAGAAAAGTAGATTGGGGTCATGTCTTTTTTTAAAAGAACCTCAGAATCCTTCCACCTGATTAGGTAGGCCTTGGACAACTGAGGTCATGTAATAAGATCAGGACTGTAGTTAGGAAAAATAATTGGCTGAGTGTAGACACTGGACTTGTGGCAAGTGAATGTTCTGTGTTACTTTTGAACTCATTCAGGTGAAGAATAGAAGAAACCGGGACTAGAGCATTGGAGCTGGAGCAAAGGGGGTGGGATTGAGGGATGGGCCAGACTTGGTGCCTGAGTGTGGGAAGAGGAGAGACCTGTGACTAACACTCATGCAAAGCAGTGGGTCTGAGTGACATCCTGTTAGAATCAACAGAGGAACAGCAGTCAGGGAAAAGCATTTCCTACACCCCAAAGAATAGAATCTGAAATCCTTCTCCAAAAATCTAAAAGAAAGTCAATATTTTTGGCACAGTGGGGTGGAGGTAGAAGCTGTAGGTTACAGCAAAACATTGTAAGCCTGAGCTGGGTGAGGGTTTGGGGGACAGACCTACAGAGTGGAAGGAGGTGGCAAGGAGCAGAGTAGAGCTTTACCACCACACCAGCTCCCAGGTCATGGGAAACGGATATCCCCAGATTCCCTTGAAGTTCACTGCATTCCTTTGCTCCATCGCGGACAAGGTCAGAGAAGGGAACCCACTGGGAAAGATGGGCCTGAGGTGAGGCTGGCTCGATTAGGGAGAACTTGCATTCCCTTCTCACTCATGGGAAGCTGCAGCATAAAATTAACCCAGGCAAGGGAGCAGATTACATGCTTTTCCCATTTCAGTGTAGTCAAGGACTTGTTACTTTTAGAACTTCATACCTAAACACAGGAGAGGAGAGGAATGTTATGAAGTAACAATTTCTGAAGTCATCAGTAGACATCTGTTTGGGTCTGTTGCTTTCACCACATTTCACACCTTGCACTTTCACAGGGCAGTGTGATGTGGCCCAGCCATGGCACACAATCCACCCCTCTGCTTGCCTCCCTCATGCTGCCATGTCAGCTAAGTTCACCTGCCTTAAGAGGGACAGAAATAAACTAAACCTTGTGTCCGGGGCTGCAGCTTACAGGGCCATGTAATCATGTCTCACTTCTGTCTGTGAAAAATGAGAATTACAACATATTTTAAAAAATCAGTTCTCTCTTAGCTTTGCAGTAGATTTTGACATTTCTTTCTATTTGTAATCAGTGTTCAGCCATCTTTCATTTTAGGTTTCCAGCCACAGTTCCCAAGCCACCAAGGACTCTGGAGTTGGCCTAAAGTATGCAGCCTCAACTCCTGCTGAGAAAACACACCCCGAGCAGCAGGATGGCAAGGAAGGCAGTGGGCCGCCCCCTGCCCTAGGATACTGGGTTTATTCTCCCATCAGGAGTGGGTTACGTAAATCATTTTCAAATAAAGGTAAATCATATAAGGGAAGTAGCTTTTCTCTTGCCTATGTAATCACCTTATTGGTTCCCTGATAGTCATAAGACACAGTCTGAGCTCCTTAGCCTGCTTTGCAAGGCCCACTGTGGTCTGGTTGTGGCCAGTGACCTCTTGTCTCACCTCTCAGAGGTGAGACTGCTCATGTCAGCATAGCCAGCTGGTTAAGATACTCACTGCATGCTTTGTTCCTCCATGTTTTAAACCTTGTCTTTGAAATGTTCTCCTTTCCTCTCTCAATCCTATTCCTACTCATCTTTCAACAAGTCCCAGAGCCTTGAACAACATGCCTTCTACGGAATCTTCCTCCAGCCTGCCTCACCCAGGCGGGCGGACCGTTGCTTTGTGCTCCCAGAGTATGGCATCCTTGTATCCTGGCATGAAATAGCTTTACTGAAACGAAGTGTTATAGGGCTGTCTTCTAAAGCTCGGGGGCATGTGTGTGAGAGAGAGAGAAAGAGACAGACACCTGGGTAAATCCTACTTATGTTATCCTAGGCAAATTCTTTCACTGCTCTGGCACTGATATCTGTGAAATGGGCATCTGAGAATTTGTTCATTCAGGAGCTACTTACCGAGTGCTGCCATGTGCGAGGGTCTGTCACCATGATGAGCATAGCTCCTGCCTAGAGGAGAATCAGCAGCAAGCAGCACCTTAGGAGAATGCTGTGTTTCACGGCCGTGGTAAATGCCGAGAACTGGCTCTCATGGCACGTGTCTGTTACTCTTCTCTGTAGCATGAAGCAGGTACCTGAATGATGCAAAAGGAAGGGAGGGAAGAAGGAAGGCATAAGGAAAACCTCAAGTGTCAGCCACTAAAGATAATCTAATCCTCACTTCAGAACTGCTTTTTACCATTTTTTCAGATTTTTATTCTCATATCTCTAGTATCTTGGCCTAAGTGCTGCAGTCCTTTACTAACTTGTTTATTGAGAAAGCCATGGGAGTAAAGCACTCTGCTTTCTTCTTCCCAACATGCAGACAGTGGAGGAGACAGCCAGGAGGAGAGTGAGCTGGAAGACCAAGAGGACCGCACCTTTGTGCCCCCCTCCGGGTACATGGTATACACTGTGTTTCCTGATGGGTCTCCCGTCCCCCAAGGCATGGCCCTATATGCACCACCTCCACCCTTGCCCAACAATAGCCATCCTCTCACTCCTGGCACTGTTGTGTATGGCCCGCCACCTGCTGGGACACCCATCGTGTATGGGCCTCCACCCCCCAACTTCTCCGTCCCCTTCATCCCCGTGGGCGTGCTGCATTGCAATGTTCCGGAGCACCATGACTTAGTAAGTACAACGTGGGAGACCCCTGTTTACTCTGTGTTCATAACTGAATAAGATTATATACTTAGTAGTTGACCTGTTTATGAATAAGTGACATCCCAAAGTATGTTTGATAGCTGATTTTGGAACCGAGCAAGCATTCCCTCATTAAAATATTATTCTGGACAGTCATTTGGATAACAGACCAGTCTACAAACCTGATTTAACCTCTTACAACAAAAATGCTTTTAGTATTACCCATGGTTATTGACAAGTACTGTGTTAATGTGCATGTGTAAGTATGTCACATGCTTGTGCCTGTAGCTGTGCACATCTGTGTAAGGTCTGTGTGTGTCCACATGCGTCACATGTGTGTGAGCAGCTTACAGCAAGGTTTTGGTGGGGATAATCCTCTGGGTGGTGGGATTCATTGAATATTCCTTCTTTTTGTAGTTTTATATATGTATATTGTATGTACAACTCATAGTCTGTTTTTCTTGTGTAATGTTATAAGAATTTCCCCATCATTTTATAAATGTTTTAAAACTATTTTAATGGCACAGTACTTTTTTATTTGTAGGCACGATAGCCAACTTAACTGTATAAATTTTTACTGTATTTCATACTCTTTTTTCAGGCTAGATTCTGAAAAGTGAGCACTAGATTACCATGCATTTCCAGGGTCAGAATAGCAGATACATTATCTTGTCAGTCTTCAGTGTACTTGGTACTTAATAATATTCTAGCAACTCCACGTTTGATTATCTCTCAAGCTAGTTCTTTTACCTCTACCAGTACTTAGCCTTTTCTGTAATTTCCCAGAAACACCTTTATAACTCCATATGTTATTTCTTCAGCCCAGTTCTTTCTCCTTTCATTTGTTCTTCAAAACTCAGGCAAAACACCTCTTGGGACAGCCTGTCCCCACACTCCCCTCTCACATACCCCAATGGGGAGAGATCCCCGTGGCTGCCTCTCCTGCCAGATGCTCCACCTGAAGGCAGAGATTATCCTCAAGAGGTGCTTGGTGAATGGTTATAACCATAGTTGGACTGAGGAAAAAGATAAAAGCTCTGTTAGTCCAACAGTTTTATCTGTGGTGTGTGAAAAAAATTCATTTGACTTAATTTTTCTCTTCATACTGAAGTCTTAGAAGCTGCCACTGTTTTCACATCACAGATACCACTTCATCAACTTTTGGCAGGAAGGAAAGGAAACATTGGTGTTTCACTATTGCATTTTTTTCCTTTTCAGGAGAATGAAGTTTCAAGATTAGAAGATATAATGCAGCATTTAAAGTCTAAGAAACAGGAGCGGTGGAAGAGCACATCCAGGCAGCATTCTGAGAAAGAAATAGAAGAACTGCATGATAATATTGACATTCTTTTGCAAGAAAAGAAGGACTTAGAGCATGAAGTAGAAGAATTACAGATAACCATCCAGAAACATCATCAGCGAAAGTAATTATTCGTCATTTTGTAATTCAGATAAATATGAGTTTGTTAAGATAACCTGTATCAGTATTGTCCAATAGAACTTTCTGTGATCTTGGCAGTGTTTTAGATCTATACTGTCCAAAATAGTAGTCATTAGCCTCATGTGGCTAGCAAAGCTCTTGAAATGTGACTAGTGGAGCTGAGGGACATACTTTAACTTAATAGTCACATGGTGATTGCCAGACTGATTAGTGCAAGTCTGAATTCTCTTGACCAGTAATCCAAATCAGCTCATGTAGTCCCTCGTGGAGAATGACAGCCATCCCCTCTCCCAAGTTTCCTAGCTACAAACATATCAGAGTTCTTCAGCTCCTCCTCTTCCCTCACTCCTCCAGGCATTTAGTTGCCTCCAAGTCCTACTGACTATACATAAAGGGCACTTGTCCCCTTCTTCCACTCCCACTGCCCTGGTCTTTAATCAGTCTCTTCCCAGGTCATTGTAATAGCTTTTGCACTGACCTTCCATGTCTAGTCTCTTTCACTTCATTCTACTCTGGACATGGCCACTAATCTGACCATGCCTCTCCCATATGACTCAATCCCATTATATAATACATTGTCCTTCAGGAGCTGAACCCTGCCTGTGTTTATCCTTCTCGTGCCCACACAGTGTTTGTCCTGGTGCTGCTTGCTTCTCTGTGGTTTCTCTGAGCATCATATTTTTTCCTGCCTTCCCACCTTTGCACATGCTGTCCTCGCCCTCAGATGCCTTTCTCTGCCTAACTCCAGTGTGTCTGGATGAAGGTCAGGGATCCTCTCTTACACGAGGTGTTTCTCATTCCCTGCTCCCACAGTTGAGGCTGACAGCCTTGAGCATGGTACTCCTCACACCATGTCGTGAGGCGCCTAGGAGTCAGCAGTGGGCCTCCCCTCTATGCTCCCGCCGCCTGCACAGGGCCTATTAACCAGGGCAGCATCTGCTGCCTGGGTCAGTTGTATAGGAGCTCATTTTCTGCAGTAGCTTGTAAAATATGACGGCTCCCTAGTTTTTGTCGTCTAGGCAAGACTGGTCCAGGCACCAGGGTTGGAGGGAAACCTGTGGTGGACACAGGTCTTTTAATAAATGTGTGTATGATTTTTTTCTAGAGACTTCATTGATGGAAATTATGAGACTCTTATGAATGAACTAGAAATAGAAAAGTCTCTCAAACACCATGAAGATGTTGTTGATGAAATTGAGTGCATTGAGAAGACCCTTCTGAAGCGCCGAGCAGAGCTCAGGGAAGCTGACCGACTCCTGGCAGAGGCTGAGAGTGAACTCTCAAGCATCAAAGAGAAGGTGTGTTCTGTTGTGGTTTGGGGTGAGACATAGCTTACTGCCTTCAACATGAAGGATTAGAAAGAAAACATGAGAAGAGCAGTCATCTATATCAGACAGCTGGTCTCCAGGCTGGATTCTGCTGGGAGCTGGGAGAATTGGGGTCAGTCTTAAGTCCCTGAGCTTTGCTTTCCTTATTTATAAGTATCTGTAAGTACCTAGGCTGTACAGTGTGAATTAAATGAAGCTCCCAGAGTCTTATAATTCTTAATACACCTCATGTCTTCTCCTGTGTCTTTTTAAAATTATTTGGGCTCTAAGATTTGTATTTATTAAATAGATCGCTGTTTTAGTCTTATAAAGCAATAAGGGGCCTCACAAGATTCCTACTCTTTCTTTGTTCTCCAGGTTCAGTGCTATAAAGTCAAATAACTTTTTGGTTTAAGGTAGTATTTAGACTAAAACACAGAAGGAAGTTGGGCAAGAAGAGGAGGTACCATTTGTTGAGCCCCCATTATGGCTACATGTTGTCTGTTTTATAAATACCACTTTATTTAATCTGTAAGACAGTTATTAGCCCTTCACAGATAAAGCCCAGAGAGGCTGGAAATGCACCCAGGATCACACAGCTATAGTTCTGCCTCACCAAGAGAGCTTTTTAATTAGATGAGAATTCCAGGATGAAAACATCCCTTACCCACAGAACTTCTCAAGAACTACTATTTGTACATTGTTGCTTTTCCATGGACTGATTTTTAAGTTTTTAGAACTCTATTACCTAGGAGCTGAGATGGATGGTTTATTAAATTCTGTGAGCAGTGGCCTTTGATAAGGATGGAAAAGCATTCTTGACTCTTTTCAGGTGGTCGGTTCCTTCTGTCACATGTTAGATCACTGTGTAAGAAAGTAACTGTGAGCAGAACTAAGGAAGAATTTATCACTGGTCTGTAAAAGAAAATCAGTGAAACTGATAAGAGGAAGAGGGAGTAAGTGACCAAAGCTAATAAGCTCTTCCCCCTTCATCCTCCCAAAATGGCTCTGGTAAGGAGGAAATGAAGGGAGAAAGTGCTGCCTTTGTGAGGAATGTGTCAGATGCATTAACATCTGACTTAGGAGAGGAAAAACTGCTTAGCAGCATGGCCTTCTGGAGTTAATAGTGAGTTCTGTCTAATAACATTGCTGATGAAATTAATGGAAATGCACAATCTGAAATGGAAAGAAGTATGGCAAAATATCTAGCTCTTCAGATACCTACCAGCCCTTCTGCATCCACAGGATCCTTTAGTATATTAGCTTAACATACAGCACTTCTGATTTTAGTGCAAGTGCAGATCTTGATTTTTTTGACTGAAGGTGAATCACTGCTCAACCAAGTGCCAACCAAACTCTATTTTTGGACCTTGGATGACATTGTTTAAACCTCTTATTTCATATTTCAGACAGAAAAAGAAACCAACTTGTTGGGAAAAAAAACAACAACAACCTGTTTTTGCCAAATCTCACATAGGAATATTTTGAAATGTTTCAAAAGTATTTATTATTTGTGTTTATCAGCCATAATGAATTAATTATCATTTCAGATTAATGAAGTTTTTTTAAACTTGATAACATCTACGGTATAAACAAGAACCCCTATGGGGAGGAAATACTGCTAAAATCACTTTATTGTCTCTTACTTGGATATTTTTATTTTATTTTTTTTTAAGACTTGTCTTTATTTATTACAAGAACCAGGGTACAGGCCAGATGTGCGGGAGGGTGACAGGATTCACCAGAGACAGAGTGGGGAACAGAACAGGCAGACTGACAAAATACATGGCAGAGGGGAGCAGCGGGCAAGACAGGAGAGGTCTGCTTCACCATGTGGGATTCTCGCCAGCCGGCTGGGATTGAACCCGCTCTGCAGAGGCTGCGGACAGCTTCACAGTGCAGCGCTGAACCACCTGTGCCACCAGGGAGGCCCTGGATATTTTTAGATGAAAAAAATGACGTGTAATTATAGATTCGACAATAATAGTGTCACAGATTATTTTTAAAATAAGTCATCCATTGTCTCACCACCCTCAAATGATTTTTATTTTTGTATTGCCCTCCAATCATTGAAACAGATACAGTTTCACATGGTTGTTCTTCTAATGCTTTTATCATTTTAAGTTGTTTTTTTTTTTTCAGCCAACTTACTATCGTTAACATTCTTCCACATTTAAGGTTATACCGTATTCCATTGTGTTGATGCATTATCACTGACTGAATCTATTATTTGTCAAGTTCCTTTATTATTTCATTATACAGTCGGCATTGTTGTATAGTTGTTCCTTTCTTCTGAATTCTTTTCTGAGAATTAAGAGTCAAAGTGAATGAACATTTTTATAAGTCTCTGTATTGCCTTATTGTTTTCCATGAATTGTGCTAGTTTATACTACCAGTAGCTGTGTGTAGGTATTGTAATTGAATTGCTTTTAATGACAATTTCTCTTCTAGACAAAAACTGCTGTTGAAAAGTTCACTGATGCCAAGAGAAATTTATTACAAGCTGAGTCAGATGCTGAGGAGTTAGAAAGGAGAGCTCAGGAAACTGCTATTAACCTTGTCAAAGCTGATCAACAGCTCAGGTAGGTGGAATCCCTAAGTCATTGATGTGTTCAATGAGATGAATGAAACGTTTGCCTCTAAGGGATAGTAATTGCTTTATGACAAATAATGCATGTTAAGTCTGAGGGGCTGAGGGGAAATAAAGTGTGTGTTTTAGATTGCTCCAGGCTGACACAAAAGACTTGGAGCAGCACAAAATCAATCAAGAAGAAATCTTGAAAGAAATAAACAAAGTTGTTGCAGCAAAAGACTCAGACTTCCAATGTTTAAACAAGAAGAAGGAAAAACTGACAGAAGAGTAAGTCGTCTCCTGTGGGGCTGCAAAGGGCTTGTGCTGGGAGACAGTGCTCGGGGGTCAGTGTCCCTTCGGGTCTGCTCTAGCGATGCTCATGCTTTCTAGATTGCAGAAGCTGCAAAAAGATATTGAGGCTGCAGAACGCAGTGAGGACCACCACCTGCAGGTCCTTAAGGAATCTGAGACCCTCCTGCAGGCCAAGAGAGCAGAGCTGGAAAAGCTGAAAAGCCAGGTACGGCAGTCAGTGCCTTATGTACCCCTCATGCCACTTTGAAACCCACATTCATAGGATGATTATCAAAAGTAGTACATGTTTGTTTCTGGAAGTCTGAAAAATAACACCCCAAAATGTAAAGCATCCACAAGGCAATACCACAGTGGTTAAGGGTAAAGTCCAATTCAAATTTGAATCCCATACAATACAGTAAAAGAAGTGAGTCTCAGGAAGGACAGACTCTGAAGTCGTTTATGTTAAATATGTTTATGGATGCTGAGTTTGTGTTTTCAGTGTATACCAGTACAGAAGTGGTCATCTGGTAATGGGGGTTATGAGAATTTTCTATTTTCTTCCTTTGGCATGTATATATTTTTCTGTAAACAATTGTTTTTGTCCTTAAAATTGTAAGTAATTTGTAATTTACAGAATGAATAAAGTTTTAAAATCCTTGCTTAACTTCACAAATGCGTTAAGGTGTAGATAAGAAAGTTCTTTGAAAAACCACAACCATTATTCTTGTTCTTTAGCTTTGACTTATGTGATTTTACATATGTGAGTTCAAGGTCTCAATTAAGCATCTCATTCCTGTACTCTCAGTGGGGCCTGTCTGATTTGCTGCTAAGATAATCAGAATTAGACTAGCTCCTAATTTCTCCCCTCTCCCCCATGCCTTTTGCTGGACTAAATATTCTCTCTCTTAGCACTGAATCTACATGGCATTTGTCAAGCTTTACAATCTTCCCTTTTTGTTACTGCAGGTGACAGGCCAGCAGCAGGAGATGGCTGCCTTGGACAGGCAGTTAGGACATAAGCGGGAGGAGCTGCATCTACTGCAGGGAAGCATGGTCCAGGCCAAAGCTGACCTCCAGGAAGCTCTGCAGCTGGGAGAAACTGAAGTAGCTGAGAAGTGCAATCACATTAGGGTATGTTTTCCATGAGGTTCTCCTAAGAGTCATAGCGTTGTGCTGTAGATTTATTTTGAGATATCTTTATTACTTCTTCCTGAAATGCATATATAAATCCCTAAATCTTAACTCCACTGTAGCATCACTTTGATGGTGTGTTATGTGTCCATGCTGGCACAGCTGTGTATGACTGCCCCAGGTTTTCTGAATCTGCCCAACGTTTTCCTGTCTCTGTGTCTGTCTCATGCTATTTCTTCTCCAGAAACTCCCTTTCCCCCACCACTAGCCAGATCCTACCCATTTTTCATGCCCAGCTTCAGGCCACTAAGACAACTTCCCTGACATTTCCTTTGCCCTAGAATGTGTCTCTCTCTACTGAGTGTGATAGCACTCTGTTCTTTTCCTGGGGCATCTTAGCCCTTCGTGCCTCATTTCCCAGCAAGATGCTAGGTACCCTGAGGGCCGGAGAGGGGGGGTAAATTAAACCTTTTTTTCTTTCTAATACATTGCCTTGCACTTAAATATGGTGTTATACATCTAAATGAATATATATAATGTTAATTTCTTCTGTATATGCAGAATATTTATATGTGCCATAAAATATGGTGCTGTTTGTAATATAGAAGGAAAAATGAAAACTTGTTTTCAAATTATAATTTCTGTGAATTGAGAATTACCAACAAAAGAATATTTCCATTTATAATTTTGAGGAGGGAGGCTGACCCTTTTTTTTTTTTTTTTTTTTTTTTTTTTCACAGGAAGTAAAATCTCTTCTAGAAGAACTGAGTTTTCAGAAAGGAGAACTGAATGTCCAGATTAGTGAAAAAAAAACTCAACTTGCACTTATAAAGCAAGAAATTGAAAAAGAGGAAGAAAACCTTCAGGTAGTTTTAGGGCAAATGTCTAAACATAAAACCGGTAAGTTAAAACAACGTTATAATGTTTGAGTATACATAAAAATACAAATGATCAAATAAATTTAAACATTAACCTTACTAGTAATAAGCAAAGAAAAGTAGATTATAAAAAGCACATGTTATTTTCTGCCATTCAAATTGATAAAATTTATTTAAATGCAACATAATCACATTACTGACTAGAGTGTGTTGAAGAGCATATATAGGTTGTAGATTATTTATATAAAATGCAATAGTTCACTCTTGGTGATACAAATGCTATTTTTTGGCAATATTATTTCTGATATCAGTAGCATTATTTTCTGCTTCATTTTGTGGCTCTCTCCAAGTTCATTTAATAGCATGGACCATACTTTGTTTCTGTTAGAACTAAAGAATATTCTGGACATGTTGCAACTTGAAAACAATGAGCTACAAGGTTTGAAGATACAACATGACCAAAAGGTGTCTGAGTTAGAGAAGACTCAGCTTGAAATGCTAGAGGTAATAAGTGAAGCCATGTTTCTCTTAGCAAACTGCAGTCTTTCCCTTTTAACATGTTTGAATCCTCTTTTATTTGGTTTAGGAGAAACTGGAGTTAGAAAACTTGCAACAGACAGCTCTGCGGCAGAAAGGGGAAATAGAGTGGCAAAAGCAGGTCCTTGAGAGAGGCAAACGGGAAATAGAACAAATATCTGCTGAGACACGAGCATTACAATCCTGTCTTGAGTCTTTGAGTAAAGAAAAGGAAGACCTTGAAGATAAATGTGACAGCTGGGAAAAAAAGTTGGAGCAAACCAAACGGTAAGAGCAGAAACAGATTAAGTTGGCAGGATCACTTATTGAAAGCTAAAGCATCGTAAACACTATTAAAGTAAAAAATGTTCAACAAACTCAGTCTCATAATACAGTTCACTGATAGTATTTTGGGGAGAATGTCCACTTCGACCACCCCAAGGCATTCTTTAAAATAACCTGTTGTGATTTTTCTAAGTACAATAACACATGCTGGAAGATATAAATAAAAGAAGAAATATACCTTGTTTGTCGATGGGAACACAATATCACAACAAAATAATGTCTCAATTGATCTGTAGATTCAAAACAATCATAAAGTCCCAACAGACTTTTTTTTTTTAAAGATTTTTTTTTTTTTTTAATGTATCCAAGAACTGGGGTATAGACCAGAGGTGCAGGGAGATAAGAGGATTCACCAGAGACAGAGTAGGGAGAAGAACAGGTGGATCTACTGAAATACACTGCTGAAGGGAGCAGCAGGCAAGACAGGAGAGGTCTGCTGCACAATGTGGGTTTTAGCTCCCTGGCCAGGGATGAAACTCACATTGCAGTGGCTGGCAATAGCTTGATAGTGCTGAGACTTTAGCCCCTGTGCCACCAGGGAGGCCCCAACAGACTTTTTAAACAGAAGTTGACAATATGGTTCTAAAATCCATACAGATATGCAGAGGACCTAGAATAGAATCCAGCTGTAAAAAGGGAGTGAAATGTTGCTACACAAAATGACATCGATGCATCTCAAAGTAATTGTGTGTTAGTGAAAGAATCCAGACAAAACAAGTCCATCCTGTTTGGTTCCACTTATGGGAAAGAATGCAATAAATCATATACATACAGTTGTTGAAAAACTTGTGTTTCATGCTTTTTTACTGATCAGAAGTTAGCAGTCTAGTCTAACCACTCAGATTTTTGGAATTCTGAATGCTATACATATTTTTATCCCTGATTTTATAAAACTTAAATTTAGGGAGTCACTTTTGGAAAAAGCTCATTTGGAAAGATAAAAAAATTTCTTTGGAAAATGAGTTGAAGAGCTTTAATTTTGTTAATATTTATAATTATTTAGACTCCATAATTACATCATGAAAGCATAACAGTATTCCTCAGCTATCTCTTCTGTGTACTTGAACATCTTGTATTTGACAGTCTGACTTTTCTCTGCTTGTATGGTAGGGTTTTAGCAGCTACAGAAGAGAATAGCAAAATGGAACAGTCAAACTTAGAAAAGTTGAGATTGGATGCCAGAAAACTGCAACAGGAGCTAGACCAGTTAAACAGAGACAAGCTCTCACTGCATCAAGACATCACAGCAATGCAGCAGCAGCTACGAGGTAAAAGGCTCCCCTGGGAGAGGTGTGGCTCTTCCTTTTGGTAGATTCTTTTTTGAAATGCATGGTTTTCCCACTACAGAAGTAATTAATGCAAATGAGAATGGAGTTTCTTTTAGAAGTAACAAGAATGTTCTAAAATTAGATTGTGGTAATGGTTGAATATACTTTTTTTTTTTTAAAGATTTATTTATTTATTTTATATAAGCACTGGGTACAGTCAGAAGCGCGGGAGGGTGAGAGAATTCACCAGAGTCAGAGCGGAGAATAGAGCAGGCAGACTGACGAAGTACACTGCTGAGGGGAGCAGCGGGCGGCAGGAGAGGTCTGCGCATCATGTGGGACCCTCCTCCGGTGGCCGGGGAGCAGTCGGGGATCGAACCGGCGCTGCAGAGGCTGCAGGCAGCTTCGCAACCCAGCGCTCAACCGCTGAGCCACCAGGGAGGCCCCTGAATATACTTTTTAAAAAAGCCATTGAATTGTATAGTTGAGGAGAAACAAGAGGTATGTGAATTATATTGCAGTAAAGCTGTCAATTCCTATTTCTTAGAGAACAATTTAAAAACATATCAAGAAGATGAGATAAAAATTATAATTGATCTTCCCCCTCAGAGATAATTCCTATTATCAGTTTAGTGAATATTCTTCCAGATTTTTTTTTTTTTTTTATTCTTCCAGATTTTTTATTGGTGTTCAGGGGGATAGGTGGAAAACAAAGATGCAAATAGCATGTTTATTACCAAATCTTTTTAAACATTCATGATTATTTAGGAAAAGTTACTAAGTAATTCTATTTGATAATGTATTTGTTGAGACAAAACCATTGCTGATAAAAAATTTATACCCTAGTTGTCTTCCTGAAAGGTTGTGCCAAATTTACATTTCTACCTAGCGTTGTAGAAGATACCTGTTTTTAAGCCATACATCATCAACAGTAGGTCTTACCTATCAATTTTCTTATTGTGAGGATTTGAATATGTACATCTCCAAAAATGGAGGCTTCAGCCCAGATCTGGGTTGTGCATATCATGCTGTCCTTTGGCTTTTAGTGAGATCATGTGGTATAGTCTTACATGTCACAAAAAGAAATTTAAATTAATTTCCACTCTACTTTTGGAAAAACTGATGGGAATATGAAAGATTTCTACATATGTACTTGTTCTTTTTATAAATGTTATTTCTGTAGAAAAACGAGAAGCAATAAACTCACTACAAGAAGAACTAGCTGATGTCCGAGACCATTTGAACCTAGCAAAACAGGTAAGCTTAACAAATGCTATCTAGTAGTATCCTGAAGGCATACAGACAGCTAGTTAAAATAACAAACAAAATAACAAACAACGGAAGTAAGCTGGCTCCTTTTCAGACCAGCAGATCTCAGAAGGTCACGGACATAACATAGACATCCTATGTACACAAGAGTTTTGAAGCAGAACAGTGGCTTTCTAGTCTGTTTTAGCCCTGGGACTCTTGAGTCAAAGCTAATGAGGAAGGTGATGTCTGGATCAGAGCCTCACTCCTCAGGGTTTCGGGGATCAAAATGACTGTCTCTTATCAGTGGCACAGAGGAAGAAGAAGCTGGGTTCAGATTTGAGCATTCAGTGAGGTACAAAGTAACTGCAGATCTGGACTCCTCCTTATTAGATGTAGAATAGACTGGATCCTTGTCTCTTGTACTGCCTACAATCCAGGGTCAAGGTAATTCAGTGTTGTCCTGTGAGAATAGTGCTACAATTCGAGTGCTAGCCTCAGTTTCCACTGGTTAAATTAAGGGTTGGATTAGACATCCAAATTCTCTTCATTCTACCTTTAGGATTCTGTGTTTATAAGATGAATGAAGCTTTAAAGTGTTCTTTCTTTAAAAAATTTTTTAGAAAGATCCTTATAAATATATTCTGTCACTACAGGTATAATTTTTCCAAAAATGCTTAATTTGGGGTCCTTAAAAAAGAAGTATTTATTGTTTTCTGAGATTTTCAACCTGTATATATATTTCAAATACTAACAAAGCCATTACTGTTAGCTCATTTCCCATAAGGATTAAACCTTTTCTTAGTCTTCATAGCAATCCTGTGAGGGTGGGTGTCACTTACTCCCACCTCAGTGACAAGACAACTAAAGCTCAGAAGACTTGAGTCTCTTGCTGAGGTTTTGACATCTTCTCTCATCTTAATATTTAGGTACTAAAAGGTGGAAACCAATGATTAAATTGAGTTCTAGGTGCCTTTGTTTAAATAATAAAGAATGTGGCACCTTTATTCTTCTGATTCTGTTAGACATAATAGTGACTGGAGTGGTCCTAGCTACCTCTGGTAAACATAGATGTGTCATAGTTTCAATTTTCCTTTCACCCAAAGGACCTGCTTCACACCACCCAGCGTCAGGAAGCCCTGCTCAGCGAGCAGACCAGGCTCCAGAAAGGCATCAGTGAATGGAACACCAAGGTTGAAGACTGCCGAAAAGAAGGGGAGACAAAGCAACAGCAACTTCAAATGCTTCAGGCTGAGATAGAAGAAAGCAAAGTCAAGCTAGCCCAACAAGAAATGGTACTATACACCTTTCTGGCTTTACATAAAAGGAAGCACTTTGTCACTTGTATGTTATTTGCTCCTGGAAGAAAGCTGCTGAAGTAGCCCCCCTGGGACAAACTTCCCTGTGTAACCAGGAGTAATTTTACACCCGCTCTTTGACATTTTGGTATTAATATTGACAGACTGTGAAGACTGTAGAACATTGGTTCTGGTTAGAAATTTGATGGCACATGCCTTTGCTGTTTAAATCTCCCCTCATGTGCTGGCCAAATGTTTCTTTGTAAAGGAAACTCACTTTCTGTCACTTAGAGTTGTTTTCTACTTTATATTGAACGGGAATCCATCTTAGCATCCATGAAGGTTCCCTCAACTTGGATACTGGGTATTAGTTATTTTATGACTGATTAAGGTTGTTCTCTATTCAGTTGGTTCAGAGACTCCAGAAAGAGATGGAAAGTGAAGAAAAAAAGTTCGAAGCCAGCAAAATGATGCTGAGGGAGCAGCAGCACCAGCTGGAAAAAGAATTAACAGACCAGAAAGGGAAACTGGACCAGGTAGTCACTGAAGTGTTAGTGGCTGAAGAGCGTGTCAGGACTCTGCAGCAAGAGGAAAAGTGGGGTGAGACCCTGGAGAAGACGCTTTCCCAAACCAGTATGTATCCTGAAACACTACTCTGAGGGGGGTCTCGCCTGCTTGTGAGGTGTGTAAAAGAGGGAAGCCCAGGCCCCCAACACAGCCCAGAGAGGGGATAGGGGAGGGGGGGTGGGAAGTAGTCCCGGGAGGTGAGGAAGCGGGTTCAGAGATGAAGGAACTGGTGCTTTGGGAAGTGAGATTTGACCTGAGCCTATCAGGCCACTTTACTTGTCTGCATTGCCTTCCTCAGACATGTCACCTCAACGGTTCACGGGTGATGTGGTGGTGGGAGCTTTATGGGATTACACCTGAGGGAAGAAATCAAATATTGTACAAAAATCATCAATGATGTAAAAATAAATAAATTTAAAAAAAAAAAAAAAGAATGTCATCTCAAAAAAGTGTGACATGAAGGTGAAGCTCTTAAGACTTTCCAGGAAGAATATGATTTCTGAGCTTTGGGACAGTGATCAGCTTCACCTCAACCAGTCAAAAACCAGTATCAACAATTCTAGTTCTGTCCAAATTAGACATATACTGAATAGTACCAAAATACAGGTGTTTGCCTTTGGTTCTGTTTGCTCTTTCTTGAGCCAAATATAAGTGAAGATGATTGTTCTCACATTAGTAAATGATTTTTCTCTTTCTTAGGCTGCAGAGTTCCAAAATGCTCAGAAAATGTTGTTTGCACTGCATGATATCCCTCTAAACTCATTGGGCTTAGCAAACTAAAGGGTTCTCTGGGAACTCTTTATACATCCAAACCTAACTATTTCATTGTAAAAATGAAACTTAACAACTATGCTGAGTCTGGCCAAGCCAGAGGTGTGAAAAGTGAAAGGGTGGCAACCTGTTACTTTAAAGAGAGTCATTAGAAAGATTGGTTTGGAATGTGACTATGAGCTTCATTTATTGAGTTTTCACTGTATGCTGTTTGCATTCATGATTCCTATTCAACAGTAGGAGGGAGATTCCTTCTGTTAGCAAACAGGCTCACACTGCTCCAGATCCCTGTCCTCACCATTGCACCTTCTCCTGTGAAGGGAGAAGTACTGGTGTGCCTCCTTTATTAAATCAAGGTTTATATGGAGCAGTTCCACAGTCTGCTATATTCCCTATACCTCAGGATTGATGCTGTTTCCTCTTGCTGGTCTCAAAGACTCAAAGGGCAGGACAATAGGTCTGTGACTTTGGAATCAGGTGCTCCAGGAACCAGTTATATCAAGAGGCCTCTAGTCCTTTTCTGGGCCTCCTGTGTAGGTCAGGGCACTTGGAGGAGAGTAGTTGAGTGGATGGCATGTGGTTATGGATCTGCCCACAGGAAACAGCTCTGCCTGCTGCCAGTCCTGGCCTCTGGCTAACCTACTAATAACGCTCATTTCAGAACGACAGCTTTCAGAAAGGGAGCAGCAATTAATGGAAAAGTCAAGTGAGCTGCTGGCTCTCCAGAAAGAGACCGACTCCATGCGGGCAGACTTCAGCCTCCTCAGGAATCAGTTCTTGACAGAAAGAAAGAAGGCTGAGAACCAGGTTGCCACTCTGAAGGAAGCACTGAAGATCCAGCGGAGCCAGCTGGAGAAAAACCTCCTTGTGAGTACCTCCTGCCCTGACACTTTATGAAGAAATGATGAATTTAAATGTTTAAACTAAACTGCCTCTGTGCAGAGAAAATAAATTACCTGGCAACCCAGTCCTTAACCCAGCTATTCTTGGTGTAATTATGCATCATTTGTTCTAGAAGTTGATGGTAGATTTTGCCAGATTCTTGGGCTGTAGCCCTAAAACTGGAAAGCTAAACCTACCATGTTCAATGAGTTCAAAACAATTTATGGTGGGTGGTGGGAGCACTCAGTGCTTTCCCAGGAGTGGAGTCTCACAACACCCTCTGTTAACTGGAGGGTGTTAACAGAGCCCTGTGTGAATGGAACTTTCATATAATGTATTTCCCAAAGGGTGATGTCCTTCCACCTAGATAGGCAACATAAAGGTAGAATGTAGATGTCTAGACTTTAATCCAGCAACCCTGTGGTGCTGGGTTTTATTATCCCCACTTTACAGACAATTAATGGAGACTCAGAAAAGGAAAGTAACTTAATATCAAAGGCACTGTTGCTTATCTAGGATTCAGATTTTGGGCTAATGGACTCTGACCACCTAGGTGCCCCACAGCTGCTCAAGAAGGCAGGTAGTTAGCCCCATTTTCCAGCTAGAGAGACTGAGGCCCAGGTGGGAAGTAAAGTGCCCATGCTAGTGAGTGTGGAGGCCAGAACACACACCTCCATACACTAGACCCCAGATAGCTTTTCTCCTTCCCTTCTGCCTCGTGCTAGGAACAAAAGCAGGAGAACAGCTGCATGCAAAAGGAGATGGCAACAATCGAGCAGGTGGCCCAGGACAACCACGAGCGGGCCAGGCGCCTGATGAAGGAGCTCACCCAGATGCAGCAAGAGTACACGGAGCTCAAGAAGCAGGTGCGCGCCCAGGAGCCCAGCAGAGAGCACTCCCTAGGCATGCTCACTCCCCACTGGGCTCAAATGGATTTTATTTATTAAACAAATCTTTTAAGAGGAGTGTTTCTTTATGGAGATGCTCCGGTATCCCTTGGTGTCAGCATCTGGACTCAGGACCATCCCTGAGCACGCTCATCATGGCCACTCAGTGACCTGGCTGCATTTGTCCTGTAGATGACCCCATAATAACCTCTTAGTTTCACACATGCCTTCAAACACAGGCACCCTCTCTTCACATCCTACCCCCAACCATCAACACACCCTTTGGTTCAAGAAAAAATAACTTTTAAAGGCTCCAAGTCCCTGCAAACTTGGAAGGGCAATTAGCAGTGGATATAATCCCAATGTTTTCACTAAACTCTATGGGGAGTGCTACATAGAACAATCTCAGGGTTAAACAATCTGAGAAACCTCTACATTGTTCACACCACTGGATTCTTCACCTATAAAATGAAATTATTTAGCCACATCCTTCCTAAGAGCCCGTGCAAGATTCTCATGGATAATCTAGATTGCTTATGACTTCTTTCAGTCAATGGTCCTTTTCTCATTTGGGGCTTAGTCACTGTAGTTGTTATTTATTGGGTTACCACTAAGGTGCTTCCTATAAATTCTTACTTAGTTATTACATTTCTGAACACATGGTATTATCTGCATATGTGGGTGAGATTGCAAAATTAGCTAACTTGCCCTAAGCTGTACTGAAGTGTGTACTGGCTGTGAGGTTGGAATCCAGCTTCCGCCTGCAGGCTCTGACGTCTAGAATAATTTGCTCCGTGAATGTTGTACCTGTGCTCCAGTCAGTATACCAGTGAAATCATGGACTTGTGTTTTACAGTTACTTGTGTAGTTGAAAAGTCATAAATTTTGTACCAGTCTAATAATCATAGTAGTTGACATTGTAGGTGTTTAAATACATCACACATTAAGTAAGTACTGGTAAGTCCCAAGCGTGATGCAATGGTGTTTGACTCTCCCTCACTGTCTAGATGGCAAACCAAAAGGATTTGGAGAGAAGACAAATGGAAATCAGTGAAGCAATGAAGACACTTAAATCTGAGGTGAAAGATGAAATCAGAACCAGCCTGAAGAGTCTCAACCAGTTTCTTCCAGAATTACCACCAGATTTGGAAGTTATTTTGGAAAGAAATGAAAACCTCGGAGGAGGGTTGGAAAGCTTGAAAGAGAACTTTCCATTCTCCATGAACGAGAGACCATCACCTTTTGAAGAAAAACTGAACTTGTCCCAGGTTCACATAATGGTAAGGGTTTATCCTGCTGTTCTCTGGAATTTTTCGAAGGATAATTGGGTTCCTACCCTTCCCCGATAAGCTAAAAAACAGACTTCTGGAGGTTGGGGGAGGCTGGTTCTTTGGTGATTCTTTGATGTTTCACTTTCCCTCTGAAAAAGGATGAACACTGGCGAGGAGAAGCACTCCGAGAGAAACTGCGTCACCGTGAAGATCGGCTTAAGGTTGCGTATTTGGCATGTGGGGGGTTGCTGCTTACACTCAACCCCGGCTCCTACTCTCTTGCGGCTCACCCAGCACTTGGATAGATTACATGGTGGAAGCTCAGGGATGTTGGTATCACACATTCAGTAAATGACACTGTCAGTATACAAAACCATGAATTCTGGTGTGAAGCCCGTGTTCTTTGACCTTGGTAATATGGCTCTGCCTCAGGTCAAACTGATAGCTCTTGAATGTTGGGGTGCACAGTGAGGAGCTCACAGCCCAGTGGCTGGGGGGAGTTTGGGAGCACGGAAAAACTTAGCTTTGGCTCAGAACATGTTGTGTCTGAAGGCCTCATGAGACATCCAGGGAGGGAGCTGTCTGTGGGCACCTGAAAATAGGAGTCTAGGATTTAGGGGTTAACTGACCCTTAAGAGATTTGGGGTTGACAAAGGCCCAAAAATAGATGACTGGATTAAGAAGATGTGGTACAGATACACAATAGAATATCACTCAGCAATCAAAAAAGATAAACACATGCAATTTACAGCAACATGGATGGCGCTGGAAGGGATCATGCTCAGCGAAATAAGCCAGAAAGAAAAAGAAAAATTCCGGATGGTCTCACTCATAGCAGGAATCTAGAAAACCTAAATAAGGGACCAGGAAAAAGAATAACTATAAGAAAGAAAAAATCAAAATCAACAAACAACTGTGAACCAGAGACACACTTTGTGGGGTGGGGGGAGGGATTGGGGTCAAAATCAGGGGGTTGCAATTGTATGGGGAATATAAAAATTTAAAAAAAGTGAAAAAAAAAATAAGAGATTTGGGGTTGAGTCTGGGTGGGAGTGTAAAAATAAGAGTGAGGTGGATAAAGACGTATCTTGGACAACAGCTACCATCCGGCCTGGGCTGAGGGGAAGTGGTGTGCAGCGGGCCGTGGGCTCCAGCCCACATGGCTGTTTACATGTAAATTCATCATAAATAAATCAGAGTAAAATTCAGTCACCACATTCAAGTGTTCACAGCCACTTGTGACAAGTGGCTACTATATTGGACAGCACAGATACTGAGCATTCCCATCACCATGGAAAGTTCTGGACAGCACTAACATAGATTTTGAGAGAAACATTTCAAAGGTGTAGCATGGGGGAAAGCCAGAAAGTAGGCTATGGCTGAAATACATGTGGGAGACACTGAAGGGATCACATATAAATCAACCTTGTAAGTCAGAGCAGAAGAGGAAGAGAGATGAGGCAGTGATTTCACTGGGAAGTAGGAAATGCACATATCCTGAGCTTAGTTACACTAGGGAGAGTGGATGAGTTTGGTCCAGTTAACGACAGCACCGAATAGTGTAGAAGTTTCCACACACTGGCAGTAGCCATCTGGTGCCTCCATTTTTTTCAAATGAGCATTTTTTTTTTAAAGATTTATTTTTATTTATTTATACAAATACTGGGTACCAGTCAGAAGCGCGAGAGGGTAAGAGAATTCACCAGAGCCAGAGCGGGGAGCAGAGCAGGCAGAGGGACCGAGGCACACTGCTGAGGGGAGCAGCGGGCGGCAGGAAAGGTCTGCGCGCCATGTGGGACCCTCCTCCTGTGGCAGACGGGGATCGAACCGGCGCTACAGAGGCTGTGGGCAGCTTCACAACCCATCGCTCAACCGCTGTGCCGCTGGGGAGGCCCTCAAATGAGCATTTTTCAATAGTCATTCCTACTTTATGGTAGATTTACTTACCAAGTGATACATATGAAAATGCTACTAATCGTTCTGGTACATTTCTTCTGTGCAAAACCCTAAATTTTACTGTTAACACTTCCAGGCCCAACTTCGACACTGCATGTCCAAGCAAGCAGAGGTGTTAAGTAAAGGGAAGCGGCAGACAGAGGGCACTTTACACAGCTTGAGGAGACAAGTCGATGCTCTCGGGGAATTGGTCACCAGCCCCTCTGCGGACTCGCTGTCATCGACCAGTCTGTCTCAGCTGGACTCTTCTTCCCTTGCAGAGGACTCTCATCTTAGACCAGCCCAGGTGAGGGGGCGCTGCACAAGGGGTCTAAACATGCAGAGTACTTGAAAGCCTGTGTGTAATCCAAAGGAGATTCGGGACATAAGTGCCACCTTCATATCTTGTCTTAGGAAAGATTTGTTTATTTATGGTCCCTAGGAAACATGGAATCAATTGGCTTGAGGCTTAGGAAATAGACTGGAACTGGAGACAGGTGATCCCTTGGGAATGGAGTGCATCCTACTATTATTAATGATCTCCCCATTGGATATCTTTGTTTTCTATTCAGTCAATGCGTAGAACTTAGAACTGTGAAGCCAGTTTGAGTCCTAGTTTATAGTCTGACCATCTCCCTTTCCTCAACAAATGGGTGAATGCAGATCTCTTAACCCAGGGTCTATAAGAAATACCTGAGTTATGGGCCTCCCCGGTGGCAAAGCAGTTGAGCGCTGGGCTGCGAAGCTGCCTGCAGCCTCTGCAGCACCGGTTCGATCCCTCCCCGGCTGCTGGCTAGGGTTTCATATGGTGCGCAGACCTCTCCTGCCACGCCCACTGCTCCCCTCAGCAGTGCCCTTCATCAGTCTGCATGTTCTGCTCCCCGCTCTGGCTCTGGTGAGTTCTCTCACCCTCCCACGCTTCTGACTGTACCCAGTGCTTGTGTAAATAAATAAATCTTAAAAAAAAAAAAAAAACCTGAGTTTTCCAGAGGTTCTCCGTGTAAGACTTACTGTCAGAGACAATATCTACCATTTATAGTGCCTACTATATGCATGCATTTTACATACATCCTCTCATTTAATCTTTATATTCTGAGAGGTAGATTATCCCTTTATTTAGAGAAGGGTATGTTATGAACTATAAGATAATTGAAGATCACAGCAAAAGACAAAACCAGGACTTAGGGGTTGATGAAGTTTTGCTGCAGAGCTGTAAGAACATTCAAGGATAATCACCTCTTTAACAGGCCCACAGCTCAGCAGCAGGAGACCTAAGATTTCATTATTGTTACCTTTAAAACCTTCTCTGTGTTGTAGGACCCAAAGCAGGCACAGGCCAAACCCTTCATGGGCCTCAGTGTAGGCTTTAAGAGTGTCAGAGGACTGGCGATAAAAATTAGGTGACTTTGGAGGTAAGACAGCCCAGAGTGGGGGACATGAGTGCACAGAGCCAGGTTCAGGTCTCAGCTCTTGTGGCAGCCAGGAGAGCTCAGGTGCTCTAAATTTAGGAGAATGCAAAGGAAGTGTTAGGGGCATAGTAAGGAGACTGATCGAGTAACAGTTGACCCTTGAACAACATGGACTTGAACTGCCTGGGTCCACATCCTGTGATGTCTTCATGGATACACCTCACACCTAGGGAATAAACAGGAGACAGCTTCATGGAGGTGAGTGCTCCCCAGCCAGCGCCAGCCAGGGCGAAGGCACAGAAGCAGCAATGCCGGAAGAGAAGCTGGCCTCAGACCATCTGGTAGAAGGGTTCCGACAGCTCAAGACTGCTTTGAAAGTTTCACAACAGGGGCCCTTCTGTGACCCGGCACCAAGCTAAAACAGGAGGTGGAAGGGTTGGTACTACATAGAGACATTTTCAGAGAAGTAAAAAGACAAGTCAGAAATGAAGTTACATTTCTATAGCTACACTGGCGGCCCCTCCTGCCTCCCCTTCCACCTCAGCCAGCCTGGAGCCAGCAGGGCCCACACTCCCCTCCACGTGGAAAGAAGGCCTGTGCTGATGCTCTTCCACGGAATGGACAGTGAATACAAGTATGTGCTCACCCGCTGTCTAGACTCTGAAAGGCTTCAGGTAGGGCTTCCGGTCAGCAGCAGGCTATTGTAAAGTGTACGGGGGGATCTCTAGCTGCACAGGGGTTGGCATCCCTAACCTCCAGGTTGTTCAGGGGTCAGCTGTATTTGGGCATTTGGTGTCATAGCCCGGGTATGTGTGGGAGAAAAGCCTGGATTAGTTGGAGCTGGGGCTGGCATTTGTTCCCAGTGTTTTATCTCCCGTCTTTTCAGAACTCCTTCCAAGTTCTGCAAGGTCCACATTCAGCAGACAGTTACCGACACTGACGCCATTCCTTGCCTCCTGCTCACAGGGTACGTTAGTTCTTAATAACACTTTCAATTACATCTTTAATTCTAATTTATCAGTCTTAAGTCACCTTTTAAGTTTTCTCAATTTAGTAAGATGATTCATCTCAAAATAGTTTTCAAAGTACTCAAATACACATTGTATCTACCAAGTAGCCATCATGTCATTGCTTGTTAATTTTAAGTCCCTTTTCTACTGCTGAGAACTCATCCTTTCTACCTTTTTTGTGTTGCTGCAGGAAAAGGACTCCGCTAGTGAGAAGTACTGTATCTCGCATAAATATATCTGAGGAAATATCTTCAGTACTACCTCACTAACTTCGTAATTGGAATGCCATTTGGCTTTTATGAAGATCCAGTGAACTCAGATGCTAAAACCCCACTGTAGTTTATTTCACTTGTACGGTTAAGCCAGTTTTTGTAAATCACTTGTACATATGGGAATAGTTGCACACAATTCAAACCAAGGTCCTGGTATCGTAAGGTTTTTTTTAAATCTTTGAAATGTCTATGAAACCAATAATGATTTTAACTGCAAATTTAAGCCTCTGAACAGGTAAAATCTATAGTTACACAGGAAAAAATGTACTTGAAACTCTTCATTTATATTGTATCAAAAGGTATTTTTTAATTTTGCTTAAAAATTTATTTTCATATGAAAATAAAAGATAAAATCAACTTAGGTCTATTGTCAGACTTTATACATTTTACAGAGCTACAGTAAAGCCTTAATTTTACCTTAAATCCAAGAAAATGACAGTATTTTACATGGCCTTCCTTCTTTTGTCTGGAGGTTGAAAGGTGGTGTACTTATGAAGAAATACATTTCATTATTTGGAAATATCTAAAACTGGTATGCTTCAGGTAGTTTTCCTCAACCAAACAGTCTTTGGTAGACAATTAGAACTTTGTACTTTGAAGACTCCAGCCTTCAAATGCAAATTGTATTCAGACTTTAAAATTTTGAAGTACTATAATTAATGGCTCAGAGCTCTATAATTTTATCTTTTTTAAGATTTATTTATGCATACAAGAGCTGGGGTACAGGTCAGAGGTGGGGGTAAGGCAGGGGGGTGGTGGTGAGAGGATTCACCAGAGACAGAGCAGGGAACAGAACAGGCAGATTGACCAAAGTACACTGCTGAGGGGAGCAGCGGGTGAGCCACGAGAGGTCTGCTGCGCCATGTGAGTTGCTCCCTGGCTGGCTGGGAATCAAACTCATGCTGCAGTGGCTGCGGACAGCATTATAGGTTGCGTCTTAACCCTTGCGCCACCAGGGAGGCCCTGTAAATGTATTTCTTAAAAAATAGCAATGACTGCCACAGTTATGTGGCAATAATATTCTTCCCATGGGTTAAGTGGCATATGAAACTACATGTAATAGATTTGATGTTAAAATACAAGCGCTCTTTCAGGTTCCCTGACACCTTTTGAACTATAACTGATACATGTTATAATACAGAATAGCAGAGCAGTAACCATTACCGTCTACTGAGACTTACTCCTAAAATGTTGTTTGGCTAGAATGGAACCATTAGGGAATAATATGATAAAGACAATTAAAGTGGCATAAAATTTAACAGTTAAGTCCTAGAAGGTATCTACTTCCAAAATAAAATTGATTTGGTAGTAGCCTTTGTACTTACACTCGCCTTTGATTCATTTCACAAGTCTTAGCAACTAACACTTAAAAACCTGGCCTATTCACGATTACTGAAATCTTTCAGAACATATTTTCCTGTGCTATCCATGTGTTGAGAGAGGATAAGTATCTTATCACTGCCACCTGAGCCTTCTCTGTATTCCTGTATGAACAGGAATCAAAGTAATAATGTATCCCTCTGTTTAAAGGGCGTGAACTGAACCATACTTCTATAAAAAGCAATCACATTTAAAACAGTTGATGTGTGGGCAAAAAAGATCTCAAGATCTTACGGAATTAGAAAAGTGAATATATGGAGCTAGATACTTGGTTCCACGTACACTTTTCCAAAGAAACTTTACTACCTCTAACTACTAATACATGACCACCACCTCCCACCGCCCCCTCAAAAAAAAAAAAAAAAAAAATCAAGATCATTGCATCAAACACTTTATAACCCATGAAAAATACCTGAGCAGTGTAGTGGACTATCTAAGGCAGACAGTACTGAGCATGTGACTCATCAGGTGGGCCTCCTTGAGTGTGCAAGGGCAACGGGTGACTCAGACAAGCAGATGACTGCACAGGTTAAATAAGCCCTCATGTAAGAGATGAGAAGAATCTCACTCTTTCCAGAGTGCATGGTCCAGTGCCTGGCACACAGATGTGATGTTATGACAATGTGTTCCTGTCTCTGAGCACCCAAGTTCATTACAGGGGATTACACATGCAAACAATAGAATTTGGCCCCAAGTAGAGTCAATGGAGAGCATGTCAGTCACCAAATGTGCTGACTGTACACTGAAAAAGGTTGACTTGAAACTGATGTCAAGTGTGATCTAAACACAAAGGTAACTAGCTCAATTACTGAGGGGTGTGGACTTAAATACTACATATGTAGAATTCTCTATACAATAAGGACAATTCCGCAAGAAAAACTGACAACTTCTGCCAAGTAATTGAAGAAAATATGAAATCTTATTATAGCTTAGAAAATAATGCAAACGATTTTAATTTAATCTAGATACAGGTACTTTATTTACAAATATTTAGATTAATAGCATTTTGTTACATCAAATGAGGAGTACAGCAGTCTGCATAAATCCTGTCACAAAACAAAAAGACCCACTGTAACTAACTTGGGAGTCAGGGTATTGCACCTAAACAAGCCGCAGTCTGTAGTCTGTGATTGCTACCTTATATCCCAATGGGTGGTTTGTTTGTTCTGCTTTTGTAAATATATACACACACCGGCAGGTCATGGTCCCTGGGCAAATCCCTTGTGATGCAACAGTGTAAGCAAAATGGATCACTGTAAGTCTTGAAAAGAATACCAATCTACTCAGCAATCTTGTTTTGAAAAAATTAAAGACAAAAATAAAGATGAGTCTCCACAAATTAACAAAATCCTATTTTCTGCACATTCCAGTTTTGGCTTTTATTTAACATTGACTATACAATACTCTCATACTACTACGTTTACAACCCAGAAAGATGTATTTTTTTTTTACGTTAGTGTCTGTAAAGAGGGATTTAAAATGTGTATTTTAAACACAGCATTTGAGTGCATTTTATACAATATGCTCATTTTATCTTTCCTACCTCAAGTAACTTCTCAATTCCCAGCCCAAACCATAAAGTCAACTAGAAGTCAACCAACAGAAATAAAGAAGTTGGTAAAACATAAAGTATGCTGTCTAAAGAAATAAGATTGTTCCCCTTGCAGTACAGTATTCTTTCAGTCGCCAAACCACCTAATGCAAAGTAAAAACGTACTTTGTATTAGCACTAACATAGAAACACCATTAGAAACACTTTCCCTCTTACAAAACAATTTATGCCACAATGACATAAAATACCCCCCATACTAAGAACACAAGGGATATCTTAAATTATTTCACTGTAGTGTTAAAAATGCACAATTTAAAATCCCTTAACAGCAGACCTATGGTTACGGCTGTCTGGTTTAGAATCTCACCATTCCAAGAAGATAAAGGTATAAAAGCTTAAAATGTGCAATAATAAACCCAGCCTTTTTTCCTTTTCTATACAGTAAGGCAAGAAATGCAGCCTGTAATAATGCAAAACATTTACAAAAAGAGAAAAGCAGGTTAGCACATTGTCGATTGCACAAGAACAGTTAAGAAAATCAGCAGGTAAGCCACAGTGCAAAGATGGAACAGAACCTGCTAGTGTTAATCCTCTCACGCTAGGAGCTCTTTCCAGCAGAATGTCCCCTACACTGCCAGCACCAAAGGTTGGAGCCAGTATTACTTATGAACTGCAGCTGTGTCTATTTCCTTGTGTGAAATGGAAGGGGGGGGTAACATGGTCACATATAGGTCATACTGTACAAACTGGTATTTTATACTGCTCCAATGCCAGTAATCAATTTATTTTCTTCATTAAAATAATATACACAGAATGTATTGTTACTTCAGTTACTTCAAATTTTATACATATTTACTTTCTGCTAAAGAGAAAAGGATAAAATGGTATAAAAAAAAGATAAAGCTATTAATTAAGCACAAGAAAAAATAATAAACAGATAATTCCCAGTGCAAGGTTAAAACGAGCAAACTTTCTCAAGAAAAATGCCACCCACACAACAGGGAATTTATCCAACAAGAACAAAACCAATGCAGTTACAGAACCCCTTCTCTACCATCAGAAGTCATTTCATAGCAATAACCTTAATGGTTACAACAGACATACTCAAACAGTTAAAAACGAAGAGAAAGTCTTAAGATGTCAAATTAAACCGTAGAGTGAGACAAAGCTTCACCAGGAAGAGGAAGGGTAAAAATCGTGTAGTCCAGCATCAGTGCTCAGTTCAAATCATGTATTGGTGACATACCTATCACAAGAACAATCAAGGGGGAAAAAAAGTCTAGATTTACCATGCAGGAGAGATTTATTACTCTACTCGCCTTTGATAACCTGATTACAGCTAGCTGTTTAGCAGTTTAGTATTGTGTTAAACGATTTTACAACAGAGTTTTTTTCTTTTTGCTTTTTTAATTAAACCCAGTAAGATGTACAGAAGACAATGAGGCAGTAAAAAGTACTGCTCCAACAGACAGAGGTGAAAGGTCAAATGAGGGCCCCCGAAACAAGGTCACTAGCAGCCACATCCTTCTCTCTGGGGTTGGGGTTCACTGGTTAGCCGGCCTCCCTGTGGAGCTGAAGGTTTGTGTTGTACACCAGACTCGGCAGCATTCAGATCCAAGCTTCCATCCTGAATATTCTGATAGATTTTCTTGGCAGCCTCAAGGAATGCATCTTCTACATTCTCTCCCCTAAGAGGCAATACACAACTTTATTCACAAGAGAACATGGGAAAATATCTTCTGTGAAAAGTATATAAACATGGTATTTTAAGAGCTATTTCTATAACCTCTATTTGCATAACTATGTATTCTAATCATTCAAATGTTCTACAGTCATATAAAAAGGCAGTGAAGAAAGGCCTTTTCTATTATAATAGAAGTAATGCAAACGCAAATATCTCCAAACACGCAGGACAGGAATCCAGGATTACACAGCCTGGTTAGCCACATACGAACTGCAGTGTTTTTATCATGTGATAGTGCCCTGTTCATGCCTAGCAACAGTCAGACTTCAGTTCTCTTGGGCTAACAGTATACAGGATGAGGTAAATAAAAAGGCACTAAGCTTCACACAAGGGACTTTTTGCCTAATAAATGAGGAATTTCGATGGGAGTCCTGGGTTCAAAATGGACATGGAATAAAAATTTAGAAACTGCTAATTATGCAATTATTTGTAGACCTTGAGTATTTTATTAAGCCATGTTTTTCTTTACCACAATCAGAAGCATTAAATGAACAGGTTGACCACGCTTGGATCTAAGATGCCAAACTCAATCTCAGTTGTGAAAGTCAAAGACTTTGGAAATGTTAACACAATTTCATTAAATAACCTGGGTTATCAACAGGCATAATCAAGGTACAATCTTTGAGGTAAAGTATAAAAAATATTCTTTTAAAATGTGAAACACGGGCCTCCCCGGTGGCGCAGCAGTTGAGTGCTGGGTTGCAAAGCTGCCCGCAGCCTCTGCAGCACGGGTTAGATCCCCGGCTGCTCCCCGGCCACCGGAGGAGGGTCCCACATGGCGCACAGACCTCTCCTGCTGCCCACTGCTCCCCTCAGCAGTGTACTTCAGTCCTGCTGCTCTGCTCCCCGCTCTGGCTCTGGTGAATCCTCTCACCCTCCCACACTTCTGACTGTACCCAATGCTTGTATAAATAAATAAATCTTTTTAAAAAAAAAAAATAAATAAAATGTGAAACACAAGGCAAACGGATGTTTGTTTCCTTTTTCTCCATAAGCCGTAAGCATTACACACGTTACATATACATATTAGACATTTTTCATATATATGGTTCTACTTTGAGAAATTGAAAATTGAAAATGATCTGCATTTTAGCGATACTTACGTTTTTGCACTTGCTTCAAGGAACAATAAGCCTAAAATGAAATTCAAAATTATGATTAGGATGTTTGAAATGAACTTACAGGGCATGTAACCTCAGTAACATCTAAATAAAATTTTCCCATTAGCTTTCAATACTCTAACCATACTATTTTATGAGACTAATAAGAGTCTGAGATGGAAAAACTCTGTAGTTTCAAAATGCCACCTTTCCTTAGATATTCTCAAGTGCAACACCCCAAAAAAGTCATTAAAAGTCTTTTAAGATACCCACCATTTTCTTCAGCAAACTGTTTGGCTTCTTCATATGTAACATCTCTCTGTGCCTCCAAATCTGCTTTATTTCCTATGAGAATTATTACCTAATTTGTAACCAAAAGAAAGATATCTTAAAATAAAAGTATTAATTCAAATCAACTGTGAACATTCTGAAATCCAAAAAATGTGATAGAACAGGCATGTGAGTCTAAAAAGGAGCCAAGTACTAATAATTATCTACCACAAAGGATTACAGAATTACAAAGTCAGTACTAAAGTGTCTCAGCAATCATCTAGCCCAGGGGTTGACAAATTTTCTATAAAGCAATCATCTAGCCCAGGGATCAACAAATTTTCTATAAAGGGCAGGTTTGTGGGCCCCATAGTCTTTACATAGACTTCTTTGCTTTTTTTTTTAAACACTATTTTAAAAATATAAACACCATTCTTAACTTGAAAGTCATTCAAAACAAACCAAACCATGAGGAAACACCAGGTCCAGGAAGATTAGGATTTATGTAAGACTACGAAGGGTTCAGACAAGCTAGGGGGATCCATGAATGCACTGAAATTAAGCGAAAATGCTTTAAGCAAGGATATTCCCGGAAAGACAAGGCTCATGGCGTTCATCAGATTTTCAAAAGTTTCTGAGACCCGCAAAAGATTTAAATGCTGTTACTTAACTCCTTCAAGCTACAGGTAAGGGAATTAATTGGTCAATTAAGGCAAAGAGATTTGCCAAAGGTCATTTGGTGAGCCGTTGACAGGAGGATTCTGGAACCCAGGTAGAAAACCTAAGTGGTGCCCTTCAAATACTGTCCTACTCCACACTATCCCTAGGCAGGGCTACATTTATAGCATTGACAAATGTGTGTGTGTCCACTGAGGGCAGGGTGGGGGGGATATAAATGGACAGTGATTTCTAATCCAAAGGAAAAATATCACAGACCAATATCCACTTTGGAATCATTTATGTAAGTGAAGTTAGGCCACAGTTAAAGGCGTATCTGAAAAGTTTAAATTGTACAGCCTTGGCCTTTATTCGGCTTGGGACTAGGGATGGGGGTAGTTATGGATAAACAGTCTCTGTACATAAGCTTACTTGACACCAACTGATAAAAATAACCCTCTCCCCCACTTCCAAACAGATGTGGCAATCCAGATAAAGATACTTTAGGAATAGTCTCAACTAAAAGGCATTTCCATCATTAACTTCTTTTTCATGTGGAATTAGAGGCCCTGGCTCTTTCTTTTCCAAAATATGGTATCCAGTGAACTAAATAACTATCATAATTTTAATATAAAGCTTAAGTTATACGACAAAAGCATTTGGGGCCTCCCTGGTGGCACGGGGATTAAAAGTCTCAGCACTATTGAGCTATCCGCCAGCCACTCATATTTGATCCCGGACCAGGGAGCAAACCCCATGGCACAGCAGACCTCTCCAGTCTTGCCCGCTGCTCCCTCAGCAGTATATTTCAGAAGATCTGCCTGTTCTGCTCCCCATTTTGTCTCTGGTGAATCCTCTTACTCCCCCACACCTCTGGCCTGTACCCCAGTTCTTGTAGGCATAAGTAAAAAAAAAAAAATAAAAAGTTAAAAAAAAAAAAGCATTTGTTAGTCAATGTAGACAAATACCTCCCAAGGAAGAAAAGCTTTCACATAGTCCTACTAGTTCTTTATAGAATATGGTGACAACATTTTTTAAAAGTTAATTTTAAAAATCCAGGCTGGACCTCCCTGGTGGCACAGGGGTTAAAGTCTCAGCGCTACCAAGCTGTTGCCAGCCACTGCGGCATGAATTCAATCCCTGACCAGGGAGCTAACCCACATGGCACAGCAGACCTCTCCTGTCTCGCCCACTGTTCTCCTCAGCAGTGTATTTCAGTAGATCTGCCTGTTCTGCTCCTCTCTGTCTCTGGTGAATCCTCTTAGCCCCCGCACCTCTGGCCTATACCCCACTTCTTGTATGCATACATAAATATTTTTTTAAAAATGCCCAGGCTGGTAAACTCATAATGGCCCAGTGTAGGGTCACTCAAAACAAGAAATGTTTGCTGAATGGAAACACAACCTTCTCTCTCAATTCCTTATGAATTTCCAAGCTATACATCCTGTCATCCAGAAAGGGGAGACAAAGGGGCATGCTAACACAACAGACATATAAAGTACACCAACAAAATGAGAAAATACCTAACATCTACATAGAAATCAAAGGCAGCATTATAGATTATGTAGCATCTGAGCTGGACTTTAAGGAGATTTTCTTTCTTCTGAATATTTGGTGAGATTTTGAGATTTTAATAGAATCATAGAAGCTTAGAAAAGAACAGAGAGGTCCTGTCACACCTTCCAGCAAACTTCTCAACAGTAGCATCTCCCACACTTCTAATATTAAATCAGGAAACACATTGGTACAATCTACAGCCCTTACTCAGATTTTACCAGTTTCATACACAAACGCGTACAGTTCTGTGCAATTTTACTACAGGTATAGATCTGTGTCATCATAATCAGTATACAAACGCTCCATCATTACAGAGGAACTACTTTGTGCTGCCCCTTTATATATCAGGCCCACTGTCTCCATCCCCACAGCTAACCCCAGCCAACAATGAATTCTACTTCTCTACAATTTTGTCTAACTGAAAATGTTTTATAAATGACATCATATGTACATCATATACATCATATGTATATGGTATGTAATCTTTTGAGGCTTTTTTTCACTTAACATGATGCCTTTACGATCCATCCAAGTTGCTGCATGTATCATTCCTTACTATTGCTGAGGAGTATTAAAAACCAGAGTACCAGATCTCTAAATCATTCGCCTATCAGTGGCCATCTAGGTTTTAGCTATAGCAAATAAAGTTGCTATGAACCTTCATTTATAGGTCTATATGGCTACATACAGCAACGTTAATGAGATAATGGATATGAAAGTTCCAGAGACAGTCTGGAACTCTTCAGACTGGCATAATAGGCAAACCATGTTAACTGAATCAATATAATTAAATTGCTGTTCCCTGATAAAGGCCAACCCAACCACACTCACAGAACCAGGCCTTTGCCAGGTAGTGGGGTACACAAAGCTAAGTGAAACACATAGGCCTTGTTCTCGAGAACTTCGAAGTCTGCGACAGATCAGTGTCATTCCTTATTCGTTCCTGGAACACTTCCAATAGTACCTATTGAAACACTACTACCCCGAAAGTCTCAGCTCAAATACCACTTGGTGTCCTCTGTAAAGCTGGGTTCTCCAGATAGCACGGCTCAAGCTGGGCCCCTCATTCTATTTCTAACTCCTATTTCACTCTGTTTTGCAGCATAGTTGTATGTATACCCCACTGATTCCTCCCTGCTATAAACCTTTGAAGACCAAGGACTCACACTTATCTTTGTAAACTCTAGAGTTGGCCTTTAAAACCTTAATAAATATCTTTTCACTCAGGTTTAAAAAACAGTTTTTTAAAGCATGGAGAGCTCTTTTTAACTGAGATCTTATTTAGATAACTGCAGATTAACATGTAAAAATATCAGCTACAAATACTTGCACAAATTTATAGCAGTATAAAAGTATTTGTATGCTGCCCAATTTCCTCCAATGGCAGCATTTTATGAAATGAATACCGATCTCTTTTAAAGTGGTGGTTTCATATTTCATTATCTCCACTTAACATGTGAAATCACCAACTCATTAACTTTCATTTTTTAAACCACAAATATACACAAAAACCGTAAGTTAGAAAACTGCCCTAGCTAGGGCAGTTAGCATTGAAGATAGAAGATAAGATAGAAAAGCTAGGGCAGTTAGCATTGAATAAATGTTAAATTTTCTTCAACTAATTTAGGAATAATAAAGATTCCTTCATTCTTAGTGCCCACATACAAAAATTCCACCAGAAAATGACTTTCCTTTTTGGTTAGCTTCCATTTCAAATTTCCTGTGTATTTAACTTACAGTATTTGGATTGGTGAGATTCCTTGCATCTGTCAACCAGCTGCTTAAGTGGTTATATGTACTTCTTCTGCAAAAATGAAAGTTTATATTTGAGACTACCATATACAATTATCATTCTCAATAGAAAAAATAAAGAAATCAGTAATATTTTAAATATATACTTTAATCAATAAACCCTAAAAAAGAATTTTGCCTTGACTAATTGTTACCCTAAAGAATAGCTGTGGAATCTAATCATGTTTTTCAAAACCTACCCACAACCATAATTTTTAAATAAATAATTCAATAACTCTGATGACGACTTGCATGTGAGGAATAAACTGTTTACATCTGTAAACAGACCAATAAGCAAGCAAAGAACATAGCAAGTTGATGGAAAACAATTCTGAACTCAGAATTTCCAATGTGATATATAAACTAAATTTATTTTTACGTCATCTAGATTTTCAATCATTTTTCCAGATTTTTCAATCAGAAAATAGAGACAATACCAAAATGTCTAACCAATAACGTTCACTGGAAAATTTTTTTCACATCTCTTTTTAAATCAGAAACCAAGACAGTCACATTGCTATAGGCAGATACAAAATTCACCTTTCCTTAATAATAGAGGGCCCAAGTACAACAGCATATAAACTGGCTTTTAAAAAGCATTTAATACATTTGACTGGAAATTCAGTCCCCAGGTATCAGAGATAAATTTATCCTAACTTTGTGCTATTATTTACCAGCAGCTAAATCATTTTGAAATTTAAACTGCCTCAGTTCTCCACTTTCTCCAAGCAAGAGTTTAGAAAGCCACGCACATATTTGCACAAGTCTCATAGGCCCTAAAATAGCAAACAAATCCAAACAATTTACAATATTATACAGAGTACAATACTCATCAGACTTTACTTAATGGGTCAAGGTAATAAAAATTTTGAAGGTTAAAAATGTTTCTGATTTATAAATTCACAGCATATTGATCCAACTTACTCATTTAACAGGTAAGGAAACAGAAGCCTAAGAAATTTAAGTAAGTCCAGAACCAGGCCTAGCAGCTTTTTTACATACATCATGTCCTCAAAGTGTTTGAGTTCAGCTTTCTAAACACATTCCATGATCTCCAGCTGCTCGTGCCATATAAAATTCAGTGTTCCAGACATTTAATCCTTTCCCAGTGAGAAATGAAAAGAACTCTTTGTTCAGACTCTTTTTAATGTGCTATATATTACAGACAAATCATCATCTAAATGTCAAAGAAAGTCACATAAATAACTTTCCCCCCAATGTTTTAAAATTTTCCAAGTAGGGGCCTCCCCGGTGGCGCAACGGTTGAGCACTGGGCTGCAAAACTGCCCGCAGCCTCTGTAGCGCCGGTTCAATCCCGGCCGCCAGCAAGGGCCCCACATGGCGCACAGACCTCTCCTGCTGCGCCCGCTGCTCCCCTTAGCAGTTTACTTCATCAGTCTGCCTGTTCTGCTCCCTGCTCTCACCCTCCCGCAGTTCTGACTATATATCCTTAAAAAAATAAAATAAAATTTTAAATTTTCTAAGTAAACAATCAAATAGCATTTATTTACTTTTATAGTACCAGCATACCTTGCTTTTACACAATGCACAAAGCCTTAAATAACACAAGTCCAAAAATACTTATAATGACATTGATAAATTTTTAAATGTGGAAACTGGTAGCAAGGGTTAATTACAAACTGCCAACACTATGATAAACAGAAAACCTGTATAATCTCTGTTAGTAGCACCAAAATAATGTAACTTTTTCTAATGGTTCTGGTAACTGTTTCATTATTAATTTAAAATTCACTATCATTATTATTCCAAATCTATAAATATAGTATCATCCAAATTTTCATTAACTGATGGTACAAATGCTAGAAAAAAAGTGCTAAAAAGAGCTTTGGCATGGATATTAGATATATCAAACAAATGATATACCTACACAAAACACCACAAGGAACTACGCTATCAATTTAAGCTAGTACCTATAATAAATGGAGTTAATGCCAAGAATAAAAATATTATTAAAGCAAGGACTTTTAAGTTTGTAGAATGTCAAGGATTAATAGGAAAATAAAGTGTCATGGTTGCAACATGATACTTGAAGTATCAATGAGTCAAGAAAGCCCCTCTCAAAGTCTGCAGTGTTTTATTTCAATAACAATTTTATTGTGCTAGAATGAGTATACCAGAAAGCTTATCCATTCAGTAAGTACAATGGATGGTTTTTAGTGTATTTGAAAAGTTTTATGCGCACTGATCACCACTATCTAATTCAAGAACATTTGCATCACCCCCAAAAAGAAATCTCACACCTGATAGCACTTATACCCCATTCTATGGCAACTCAATTTCTATCTTTATGAATAGGCCTATTCTGGGTATTTCATATAAATGGAATCATACATGTAATCTTTTGTATCTGGCTTCTTTCACTTAGTAAAATGATTTTAAGGTTGATCCCCCTGGGCCTCCCCAGTGGCGCAGTGGTTGCGTGCTGGGTTGCGAAGCTGCCCACAGCCTCTGCAACGCCGGTTCGATCCCCGGCTGCTCCCCAGCCACCTGAGGAGGGTCCCACATGGCGCGCAGACCTCTCCTGCCGCCCGCTGCTCCCCTCAGCAGTGTACTTCGGTCCTTCTGCCTGCTCTGCTCCCCACTCTGGCTCTGGTGAATTCTCTCACCCTCCCGCGCTTCTGACTATACCCAATGCTTGTATAAATAAATAAAAATAAATCTTTAAAAAAAAAAAAAAAGTTGATCCACCTTATTGCATGTATCAGTACTTTCCTTTTAATAGTTGCATTATATTCCATAGTATGGATACAGCACATCTGCTCATCTATTCATTATTGATGGACATTTGGGATGTTTTCAGCAGAAGTACTTTTTATGACTTGAAAAGACACACAAATTTTACCAAAAATATGTACTATGTTTAAAAGGCATGTTTAAATACAAAATACGTATGTATATCTTTGTAGACCTTAAAATATGTCAATTATATGTCAACGAAGCAGGGGTAAAAAGAATACATATGCACATAAGCAAAACAAACTATAACACTATATAAATCGATATATCCTAAGCATACATCACCATATTTAACTTTCATTAAAAATCATGGTGTTTTGGGGCCTCCCTGGTGCCTACGGGTTAAGTTTCAGTGCTATCACCACTACAGCCTGAGTTTGCTCTCTGGCCAGGAAACTAACTCACACACAGGGCAGCAGACCACTCCTGTCTTGCCCGTTGCTCCCCTCAGCAGTGTATTTCAATAAATATGCCTGTTCTGCTCCCCACTCTGTCTCTGGTGAATCCTCTCGACACCCTCCTCTCTCAAACCTCTGGCCTAATACCCAGTTCTTCTGTGCAGGAAAAAAAAAAAAAAATGGTGTTTTTAATTATGCAAAGTCTTTAGATCAGAATACTTCCTACACAGATGCCCAGGTTAAGAATCTTCCCACAATGCTATTTACTATTGTTACCAACTACATGGCTAAAGTGAAGAACATTGAAGTCGTTCTGCTCTAAAACTTCCAAACTTTACAATTTACAGAAATTTCTATATTTATTCTAAGCATTTCCCAAAGTATTTTCCTCAATAAAATAAGCTTAAGAAACACCAAATTAAAGAAGATCTTTATTGCAGAACTTCTCATGGTTCTGATATGCTAATGTGCAACTGTGACTCAAGAGGAAGCAGAATAAAGCAATCCCCAAAGGGAAATATGCTTGAAAGTCTAATTACCATTTGGTCCCACTTATTCATCCCTATTCCCTCACTGTCCCCACCTCCGCCACAAAAAAATAGTGTGACAGAGTCTCAGTGTTTTAGACTGGCAATCTGCATGAAAGGCGATCATTTTCTAGGTTGTGGTAAAATAATACTGGGTCTAATGAAGTTGTGTAGGTTTCCACGCTCTCTTTTATAAAACAGTTTTTGTTACTTGTAGCAAGTGCTTTGAGTTTCCAAAAAGAGCCATGTTGAAGTAAATTTAATCTCCCAGAAAGAAGTACTCTAAGCCACTTCAAACAATTTTATGACAAAAAGAACTTAAATGGGGCCTCCCTGGTGGCACAGCAGTTGAGCGCTGGGCTGCAAAGCTGCCCGCAGCCTCTGCAGCGCTGGTTTGATCCCCGGCCACCGGCAACGGTCCCACATGGCACGCAGACCTCTCCTGCGGCCTGCTGCTCCCCTCAGCAGTGTACTTTGGTCCTTCTGCCTGTTCTGCTCCCCGCTCTGGCTCTGGTGAATCCTCTCACCCTCCTGCGCTTCTGACTGTACCCAGTGCTTGTATAAATAAATAAATAAATCTTTTAAAAAAAAAAAAAAGAACTTAAATGAATAATTAAATAGTCAAACACCTTCCAATGCAAACAGAACTATTTATAATCTACCATGTTGAATTAGCAAAGCTACTTAACTCCTTGCTTGGCCTTGTTTTAAAGAGGTGTAAACTTTTACACTGAACAGAGTAACTCCGCAAGATTTGCTTTCTACTAAAGCGAAAAGAACAAAATTTGGTATAAAATATTATTTCACCTCAAATAATTCAACTGATGCTGCTTTTCAGAACAGTATTCTTCTATTAGCTCCACCAGCCTCTCCTAAAGTTTTTCTTCAGCCATACCCACTTTCAGAAAAGGAAATCAACATGTTACATCAAGTCTTACACAATTTAGAGAACTATAAAACTCAAATAAACTCATTTATATTCACATACACACAATCTAAAGAATGTCTATCTCAATTAAAAAAACAACACATTGTTAAGACAGATTTTTTTCCCCCCAAGAATAAAAGATGAAAAATCATTAACCTCTTACCTAGTGATATCATACACCATAAGTGCTCCCGCAGCTCCTCTGTAGTAGCTTCGTGTAACAGCCCTAAACCTCTCCTGTCCTGCTGTATCCCAAATCTGCAGCTTGATTTTTTGGCCACTAACTTCAATTATTCTTGTACCAAATTCAACACCAATTGTGTGAGGACAATCAGCCATAACTGTCAGGGAGGAAAAGAAATATAATATAATGTACCAACTTCCAGAAAACTGCAAATAAAGACGGGGGGGAGGGGGGTAATTAGGTTGGAAATTCATTGACTAATCAAACAACTTATTAATGCTTGTAGTTTATGGATAAAATTAACACTAAAAAAGAAAGGGAGAACTGACAAAAACCCAGAAATAAAAAGTCACAGAAGGGAGCTCTCTGGTGGCCTAGGGGTTAAGTATCAGCACTATCACGCTATCGCCACTGTGTTGCTTTGGATCTGGCCAGGCAGCTAACCCACATGGCCCAGCAGTGTTTTTCAGTAGATCCACCTTTTCTGCTCCCCACTCTGTCCCTGGTGAATCCTTTCACTTCACCTTCCCCCCTCACCTTTGGCCTATACCCCAGTTCTTCTATACATAAATTAAAAAAAAAAAATAAAGTTGGGGCCTCCCTGGTGGCGCAGGGGTTGAGACGCAACCTATGAAGCTATCCACAGCCTCTGCACGAGCTCGGTACCCAGCCAAGGAGCTACCCACATGGTGCAGCAGACCTCTCCTATCTTGCCCGCTGCTCTCCTCAGCAGTGTATTTCAGTCCATCTGCCTGTTCTGTTCCCCACTCTGTCTCTGGTGAATCCTCTCACACCCGACACCTCTGACCTGTACCCAGTTCTTGTATGCATAAATAAATCAATCTTTTAAAAAAAAATAAAGCCATAGAAATATCACTGAAATATAATGGCTCAAAATTTTTTTCTGTAATAGACCTAATAATAAATATTTTAAGTTTTGTAACCCAAAAGTTTTCTACCACAACTACTCAACTTTGCTGCTGAAGCACAAAAGCAGCCACTGCCAATATATAAAATTTGCATAGCTGTGTTCTAATAAAACTTTTACTACAAAATAGGCAGTGGCTCGATTCAGTCATCTGACACCGATTAGATACAATAAATTAATCAACAGCTTTAGAACTTCTAGGAGTTGTAATCAAATTTTTCTCCTAGAAAATATTATTAGTAAAGAAAACCACATTTACTACATACCTATAAATATATATTAGCAAGTTATGTATGTAGAGTCTAACAGGACAAGCTTACTAGTCCTTTCCTTATAATTAGGCAACTGAAAACCTAAACCCACTATTTTCTGTTACAAGTACTACTAGATACTTCATAAAGTGTCAGGATGGGGAAAAACATGTCATACAAACAATTTCAACTATATAGAAACAATTTCAACTATACTTAACCTATCAGTTACATAAAATAAATTGCCCCTCTTTCCCTACCATCCAAGATAGAGTTGTACTTTGAATCTTAACTAGTCATAATTATAAAGAGAATTCCATTTTAAATATTTCCAATTTGTTTTTATTTAGTTAATAAATGTCATAGGCAGGAAATTTCCCCTAGTAATGCAATTTCTGTAACAGAGAATAATAAAGATTATTTAGATGACATAATACACATTTTTTTGAAATTAAGATTTACCATCAAGAAGGCGAAACAAATGAATCAAGTTTTATGTGGCACATAAAAATCTAAACCCCCTACACATGTACTGGTATATTTCATTTTTATTTACACCTACTTAAAAGATAAAGTTACATTCATAAAGATATTTAAATGCATAGAATACATTGAGAAAGACAATTTTTAAAAGATGGAGAAGTGAAAATAGAGAATTTACTAATGTCTTGCCTTATATATTGAACTTACATTTTTTTTCTGTAAATTGATGAAGCAAGCAAGACTTTCCTACTCCCATGTCCCCTGTTTAAAAAAAAAGAAGTTGTTTCAGGTAGCAATTACATTTCTCAATTTTAACTCTTATAATTACATGCAATGATTACCATACCCCTTTATGATATCACATCACAACTTTCTAGGACACTTAGCAAAGCTGTTTTCCCCTACTTACAATAAGAATCTAAAATCTTACAGGTTAGATTTCAATGATGTACAAATTGACTCTCCCAACCTTCAACTGTTATAGAATTTGGTTATAAATGATGTTAATAGTCACCTGCCGGGGAGTGCTCTATAACAGAGAAACTGTTGTGATGGTATATTTTTAGTCTGAGCTGTTTCAAATCTTGTAGCTTTTTTCCTCTTAACCCATGTATAAAAGCAAAAGACTCCCCTGAGTAACAACAGGGTAGGGAGCAAAGAAGCAAAATTAAGAAGTTTTGGAAGTTTATTCACTAGGCTTCATTTCATATTTCTCATATAATTACACACACGCACACACATACACTCTCTCACAAAGAATAATGTGCATTACAAACTGTAATAAAACAGATGTCTCTGATTTCACTACAGGAATTTTAACCCTTGAAGGAAGCATCATAATGTGATCACTTAAGTGCAACATTAAAGCAAATTGTTCTAATGTGAAAAATTAACTGAAAAGCATATGTACTTTCAACTGTGCTCTTACCATATATGGAAAAGCAGCACTATTCTGAGCAAAAATTTTCTTGAAACTTAAGGGGAAATCACCACTTTATATTTTTTATGTATTACTTAATTATTCTGAATTAATAATCTCTATCCATTTCTGGAATCCAGGAATTTCTGAAGGCTTTCAAGATTATTTCTGAAACAGATCCACACTCCTAGGAAATTAATCTCATTCCCACTATATACAGGTTTTCAGGTAGCCCTCAAGAACAACCAACATCACTTGATAAAGCACCCAGCATTGTGCTATGGAAGTACCTAGAGCCCCAATGCAAAAGGTACATTGTTAAAGCCAAAATTTATCTTAATCAAAGGAGCTTTAATTTTGCAGTGAGAAAATCATCCACTGCTGCTGTAGTGGTACACTTAACTATCAGAATATAAATATTTAGTATGTTAACCTCCTTTGGAGAACACTAATGTTAAGTTAAATGAACTTACCAATAATAATATATTTAAAGATGTAAGAGTAGTTGTATGGTGCAGTTGCCATGGTGGCACTAAAAACAAAGAAAAATGGTATTATGTCAGAATGAATGTATATACATGTTATCCAAGCTGATCACTGCTCTCCTTTAAAGACATAAAATAAAGCAAACCAAATATAAATGAAACAGAGTAAAACTTTATTTCCCAAATGGAGCAGATGCACAAATTCTCTTCAATGAACAATGCTTTAATAACCTCACATATTATCCACAGAAAAGCTAGAAACCATTTATACCAAAACATTTCCAATATTTCACTTCAGGAAATATCCAATAAGAAACATTACTTTGGAAAACTTCAAACAAGAAAATCTTTATAAACTTGTGTTAAATATCATTATACACAGTCCTTTCCTCCTTAAGGCCCCCATTCCCGTTAACTGATAGCTGAATTGCTACTCTGTTTTCACAACAGAATGGTATAAAAAGTAGCCTCTGTCTTATAAACACAAAATAACCCATTTACTTTATATCAATGATTAGCACAGCATCCAAAGAAAATCAAATTATTTCCAAAATAAATTAATGTCAGAATCACATGAAACTACTGTTCTTGTGGATTAAAAAGTTATTTATTGGCAATTTCATATGTCTCAACCTAATAGATTTGAAAATAAACACTATATCAAGTGGCTATTATATACTATGCTAAGAGTACAGAGAAATAATAAAATGCTACGTGTGGTTGTAAATTTTGAAAGTTTATGTATTAGAACATATTTCAAAAGATGACAGCTAGCTCCATGCTCTTGGAGACTTAACCTGAAGATATGTAATTTACTTCTCTCCTACTTTTAACAACTTAAAAAAACACTCCAATTTATTCAAATGAATGTCTTAGATGTGTCAGACACTGTGCCAGGTGCTAGAGAAACAAAAGTGAATTCTAATACTGGCAATAACAAAATTTATTTTCAACCCAGTTTTCAGTTTAAAGAAATATTACATTTCTTCAGGCCTCCCTGGCAGCCAAGGGGTTAACTCATAGCACTAGGAAGCTAGCAGAAGCCACTGCAGCATGAGTTCAATCCCTGGCAAGGGACCAGAACTCTCCTGTCTCCCCAACTGCTCCCCTCAGCTCTGTATTTATAAATCCGCCTGTTCTGCTCCCCACTGTCTCTGGTGAATCCTCTCACCACCCCCATACCACCCTTCTCCCGCCTACACCTCAGCTCCTGTATGCATAAACAAATCTTTAAAATAAATAAATAAATTTCTTCAATATATATGAAGATTTAATTCCATCTTTAAAAATTTGATTTGCAGTACTTTATCTGGTTTTTACTGTTTTGTTCAACTGTGACATTCAATACAAGACAATGCAAGACATACAAGACATTCAATACGACTGGATAAATTCATTTACTGACATTAATATCATACTATACATCATATCGCAAATAAAATTTTATATAATAAAATCTAACTTGTAGAAAAAGTATATACAAATGACTTGTTATGAGGAAGAGGTAGCTATTAATTACAATAAATAAACAAAACAATCACTTCACACAATATATTCTTCTCACTTACCTGTATGAATTACATTAACAAAAGTAGCCAGCTTGACATGTTCTAACACATTTATAAATCAGTCCTTGACATCACAGAAAACTCCCTTAACCAGTTCTTTCAGGAAATGGAACTTTCTAGTTAGATTAACTCTGATTGTGAAGATCTTAACTTGAATCTCTTTTCCAGACACTGGGGATTCAAACATTTAAGAATGATCTTGGTCCAGAGGCTAAAACTAGTACAGATTATTTACCAGACTCTGAAGCAGATCACAAACAAGGAAAAAAATAATTTCAAACAAAAATGTTATCGTTAAGGTTATAAACTTCCTAAGCTGCATTCCTTCCATACTTTTCTTTCAACAATCTTTAACTCCTTTTTTTTAGAAACCTTTCTCCATTCAAACTTGGAGGAAAATAATCATTTAGTTACCTTAAAATTGCTATTTGCCTCATGCTCCTCCTCTTCTGATTTTCCTATGTGCCTTCCTCTTCTTGCTGAAAGTTGCCACTTTACATACTTTGCTTCCTTCCATTTTATCATGTCAAAACTCTGGCCTCTGACAATTTCAGTGTTCACTGAAGCCTAATCATGTAATTATAACCAAACTCTAGTTACACCAATTTGTGTACTTGCTAATTATCACATAAACATTCACTAACATCTACGAAGATGATTGATTCTGAAATTATTTTTAATATCCATTAATCAGTATAAATTATTTCCAAATGAAAAGAATAATCACTATTTCAGACTAATCTACTGACACCATGTTTCCACTTCACCATGCAATTTTGTGGTTCTGTTACAGGGCAACCCCAGTGTGAAATGGGTTGGCCTGAGTGTGGGTCCTCACCTGCATGCTTAAAAGGGACTTACAATAACACTCAACTGCAGGCACACTTAAAAGTTTAATAAAGGGTTCATTTACAAAAAGGGGAAAGGAAGAGAGGAATAACCCAGGGAGAAAGAAAGAGAGATAAATTGGTAAATGTGTCCTACCAGTTCCACTGATCTGGAACCCCAAGGTTAGTGAAAAACCAACCACCCCCCAAAGCCCACGTCTTTGGTTTTATACCAAGTCTGGCTGCTTAACTCCATCCCTAGTTCCCAGCAATCCTCCCTTTGGTGGTGGTGATGGCATTATGGGATTTGCAGTCCTTGGCACCTTGGATCTCTGGTCTGGGGTGAGGGTGGGGTCCATAAAGCCTGTTATTTGTGGGATTCATTCAGGACAATTTTCCCCTCAACAGTTCAAGTTTCTTAAAAATTACAAATAAAAATTCTAAAAGCAAAATCAAAGGAAAACTACTCAAATTTACTAATTTCAGTAGAAAAGAACAAAACGGAAAAGAGCATTAGAACATTAGACCCCACTAAAACAAAAGAATCTTCCCTTTCTTATTCTAAGACACTTACTAGGTTTCTATATATTCCAAAGTTTTTTTACTCAAAAATATGCAGAATTATATTCAAATGGTCCCTGTTAAGTATTAGTTATAATTAACAGTGCCGTAACAAAGGATTTCTCAACCTCAATTCTTAAGCATGAAATATACCACTGTTAAGGTAAGGCATATATTTTACCTAGATTTGGAAAAGGGAAAATTTTTCCCTTCATTACTTTAAGGGTGCTTAGCTTTTAGTTACTTTGAAAATTCAAAAGTAAAAAAAAGACAAGAAACAATGTACTTCAAACATTCTGAAAACAGGAGTTCACGCAGCCCTACAATATCCATTAACCTAAAAACCTTGGTAATATTCTATGTAATCAAAATGCACTTCCCTCCATGCTTCACAAAACGCATCTCAATAAAGTTCATAGATAAAATCTCCTTTAATGTTTAGGATTTCTCTAAGAAAAAGAGTGCTACATTCAGACAACAGGCATTATTAAATACATATGAATGATACGTAAACTAATCACAAACACAACTGTTATATATCACATATTGAACACATGTATGTGCAGGCTATATGCTAAATACTTCATATGTAATCTCATTTAATCCTTACTACCACCCTTAAGACAGTTACTATTATCCTCATTTTACAATGGGTAAGTAACATGCTCAGGTCTCAAAGTAATCAAGACCACACCAAACCTAGGACTGTTTGGAATGCAGAGTCCTTTGTAGCTTCTGAGCCAGCCTCCATCCTCCACAGTTATGAGATGCACCAGGAAACCTTAGTGGTGCTTTAGGACACAAACCTTTCTCAGTTCACTGACTTGGTCCTAAAATTCTAAATAAGCAATATTAAATAATTTTTTCAGAGGACCATTATCTTCATGATTTGTAAATATGGATAAATAATAATACTAGCAATAGTTACTATTCTACCTACTTAGAAAAAGCTCCTGAAGGAAACTAACTTTCATTGAGAGTGAATTCTTACTTAATTCTCACAACTCCGCAGAGTAATCATCATTATGTCCATGTAAAACTTGAAGAAACTGGGCCTCCCCTGGTGGCACAGCGGTTGAGCGCTGGGCTGCGAAGCTGCCTGCAGCCTCTGCAGCACCGGTTCGATCCCCAGCCCCCAGCGAGGGTCCCACATGGCGCGACAGACCTCTCCTGCAGCTCCCACTGCTCCCCTCAGCAGTGTATTTCAGTACATCTGCTGTTCTGTTCCCTGCTCTGGCTCTGGTGAATTCTCTCAGCCTCCTGCGCTTCTGCCTGTACCCAGTGCTTGTATAAATAAATAAACAAATCTTTAAAAAAAAAAAAAAAACTTGAAGAAACTGAGGTTTGGAGAAATACATTCATTTGGCCAGCATTACAAGTTAGTAAATACCAGAGCTGAAATTTGAACCCAGGTCAGATTCCAAAGATCATGATTTTCTCTAAGCTTCTTAAAGTACATAAATGTAGACTGATAAAAGCAAAAAAGCAGTATCAAACAAAGATAAAGTTAAACTAAAAATTTAGTAAAATAATTTTACTATCAGTGCCTCTAGAATTTAGCTCTAAATTTCCTGCCTATCAATTGACATGTTTACCAATTGCACAGCAAAACTGAATAATTGTGTGGGCCTTTACACATATTTACTACACGTAATGCTTTAACATTATTAAGAAAGAATTTCTCAACTTCGTCTCCCCAACATGAAACATACCACTGTTAAGACTGGAAATACTTATTTTAAATGAGGCATGCAAGCTCTTGCATAAAACTCTGCAACATGTTTTTCACTTAAAATCATAGATGTATTTCCAGGCCAATGTGTATAGATCTAAATGGTTACTAGATGCATATTAAACACTAACTATTGTTGTGCCCAAAAGGAATTGAATGTTTACCAGAAGATAATACTGATAATTAGTTTTGAAATTGTCCACACATAGATGTGAGGGTAGGCACTTTCATACACTCTGCTTGTGGGGATCTGCACTGCCACATTGGGGAAGTAACTGGTATATTTTAAAATCTTAAAAATAATCCAAATCACCTTTGGTCAAGAAACCTACTTCAAAGTATCCTACAGAAACAAAAATTTCATCCATGATGCAGGTAATTTAATTCACCATTTTTATAGCAATAAAAACCATGGATGCACTCTCATCAACAGGGAAATGACTGAATATAGTACATCTGTACTATAATGTACATCCAGTTAAAAATCCATTTCAATCTATAGCTATAAACCTGGAAATATATTCATGATTTTTTTTTTAAAGATTTATTTATTTATACAAGCACTGAGTACAGTCAGAGGCACGGGAGGGTGAAAGAATTCACCAGAGTCAGAGCAGAGAGAGCAGAACAGGCAGAGTGATGAAGTACACTGCTGAGGGGAGCAGCGGGCAGCAGAAGAGGTGTGCGCGCCATGTGGGACCCTCGTGGTGGCCGGGGATGGAACCGACACTGCAAAGGCTGCGGGCAGCCTCGCAACCCAGCGCTCAACCGCTGCGCCACCAGGGAGGCCCTATATCCACGATTTTAAGTAAAAAAAAGTTACATACTTTTGTGCTACATACAGCCCATTTTAAGCACAGACAACACATTTAAGCATATACACCAAATTGTGAAAAATACATTAATTAAGAGTAGGAATAAAAGGGGAAATTATTATTTTCCTCAGGAATTCTTGTACTAACAGCACAAGAATATGCTATAACATTTAGTAATATTCTAAAATATTTAGAGAAAATAAAGGGCTATTAAATATTTTAAGAGCTTTTATGTATGTAGTTCTAATACAAAGCAAGTAAAATAATAAGCTCCCACTTTCAATATTTGTAACATTACTTCCACATTTACCATTAATAATATGGCGAACATCATATGAAGTCAGTCATATGATCAGCTCAAAAAACAAAAACACCACAATAACCAAAGGCATTTCCCCCATTTTTTAATAGTTCCTTAGTATTAACTTATGCACTGTATCTGACTAATCCTTTCTTGATTGTTCTATAGCTATTTTATTCTATTCTTTAGAACATATAATGTTACTGTGTAATTTTTACATAACTTATTCAAGACAGAAGAAATGTAACCCATTAAATATTCCAGGTGATTTAAATTCAGATAGTCATTGTTGAGATCAGGTTTTTTTTCTTACATGTAAGGCAGTCTGCTAAAAACATCAGATCCAAGATTAGACTGCTTTTGTGATTTCAGTATAAAAATATTTATTGAGAATCTACTAAGCACAAAATATGATGCTAGCATCTTGACATAAGTATGGCTGTCCCTGCCTTTTGGGGGGTTTCCATTTGCTTGTAGGATTGTTTTCCATTTACTTTGAGTCTGTTTATCATTGGAGCGCTGATGGGTCTCCTGGAGACAACAGAAAGTTGGACTTTGTTTTCTGATCCAACTAGCCACTCTGCCTTTCAATTGGTGAGTTCAGCCCATTTCCATTTAGGGTTGTTATTATAATAAATGAGTTCCTACTAATGCCATTTTAAACAGAAACATTTCGATTTACAGGTCTCCTACTAAAGTAGAACAGTACTTGATTTGTCAGTCAAGGTGAACACAAAATTGTGGCAGTTAATCTAATATAATCTAAATGAGCACTTAATTACCTTTCCTCAACAGTTTGTACAGTCTCTGAAAAGAATCCACCCATTTCCAAGGCCCACTTGGGAAAAAAAAAAACTCATTTTTTACAAGATAGTTAATGTCACACTTTATATATAATGTGAGTTAAGGGAAAAAAAATGTACTCCTAAATGTATCAAGAAAAAAACACAATTTTCCAATTATGATGCTGTGGTATGAATAAGAAATAAAGTACCCCAAAACTGCACCTTTCTTCATGAAGAAAAGTACTTAGGAGGGATAAACAACCACCACCACCACCAATCCTGCACTTATTAGTAGAACTAAAAGTATTAGTAAAAGAAATATTTACTGATGAAATATGACATCTAAAATTTTCTTCAAAATAAAAGGTGTATACAGATGAAGATCAATCACTACTGACACTGTCACTGGCTACTTGAAGACTCAGTAGACAACTCTGTTTTATATATTTATTTAAAGTTGCCTAGATGAAAAGGTTTTTTAAAAGTAAAATATCCTACCTTTGATACCTCTACTTGTATACTGTTATCTCCAGTATTGCCTGGCAT